AACAACAACAACAACAACAACAACAACAGCAACAGCAACAGCAACAGCAACAGCAACAGCAACAGCAACAGCAACAGCAACAGCAACAGCAACAGCAACAGCAACAACAACAACAAAAACATCAACATCAACATCAACATCAACAACAACAACAACAACAACAACAACAACAACAACAACAACAACAACAACAACAACAACAACAACAACAACAACAACAACAACAACAACAAAAACAACAACAAAAACAACAACAACACCAACACCAACACCAACACCAACACCAACACCAACACCAACAATAGTAATAATGATAACAGGCAACAACAACATGACCAACAACCAAAAACAACAACCAAACACAACAACCACACACACAACGACGACAACACCGACAACAATGACAACGACAACGCCAACAATAACGACAACAACGGCATCGACAACGACACCGACAACCACCACGACCACGGCCACAAGCACAAGCACAACAGGAGCAACGACAAGAGGAGCAACAGCAACAAGGGAGGTTTCGCATGTCTCACTTGTGGCTCCTGTCAAAGAGAATTCACCGACTACCCAAAATTCGCCTGCGGAATCGTTGTGCATTGTGGTTTTGATTGAAAAACGAGGCTCCAGAAATAAAGAGGGAGATGAGATCGGGTTTCACAGGCAAAACATTTGCACGTTGTGGTCGTCTTGACTCTGTTGCCGCAGGCCACAGAAGTCAAGTCCGCCCCTTCCTGATCAAGGCCTTTCTTTTGCAGGATTCTTCACGTCGCCGAATCTCGTCAGTGCATCCGCATAAACTGACGAAGGGCCTGATTAAATGGCTCAGCCTCCAAAATGGGGAGCCGCATGCTGGGTTTATCTTCTTCCGAGGACCCCCCCAAAATGGTGTTTTCTTTGTTTCAGGCCTTCCTTTAAACCGCACAGGAGCTTCTCAAAAGAAGGCAGCGCTCCGAGTCCCGGACTCTTTGGTCTCCTGGGAAATTCGTCACTTCGGCGAAGATGGGTGATGAAACGAATCTGTTGGGACCAGTTTGGTACGCCTGGAAAACTAACGATTATACTATACGACTTTGGTACACCTATACTTAGACAAGTTTGGTACATCTAGTTTGGGACAAGTTGGTACACCGTTAGAGGCGCAAACAAGAACTGTTGAACTGCTTGTTTACTCCTCTTGTCATGACTAACTTTGGTCTTTAAGTTCTGCACAACTGCATTCTAATTGGCCCTTTACACGTTGCTGGGGGAACCCTTTCTCTTTAGGATCGACAAGGCAGCCTGAGAAGGAAAAACGGGGTCTGCAGGTACATGCCTTGGGGGGCTATGGGCAGTCTATACCAAAGAGAGGCTGTGATGAGTCTGAAGCTCGCCAACTCTCCGCATCTCATCGCTTGCCCAAGGCACTTGGAAGTAAAAGCCGAACCTTTGGAAAGGTCCGCCTTTGGCAAGTGAGCTTGTTAGCGCTACAAACTCCGAGTTCTCTAGCCCTTCTTGACATGCCCCACCTCAGACATTGATTAGACTCCCACTCAGGTCTAGTCAACGATTGCACAATGACCACGAGCATGGCGCATACACACGCGCCTTGTGATGTGTACAAAGAAGAGACACACGGCCTCTTGGTGTGTGGGCGTATCGATGACTCGATCCCATAGCCATTATTTGTCCGTTGGCCACGCACGGAGCGGGCATACAGTAGGATGTGTAGTATCTCTTATCTCCAATGGTGACCCTCTTCCCTGTTTCTACTAGGATACCAACCATTTATCAAGCAGGCAGCAAGGATCTATAAATGCAGTGAGGCCTGTTACTGCTAAGCCCCCTGATACCCAAAAGCACAAGAGATAGGAAAGCTGCCAAAACCTAGCTTGGCCGGAGGCCAATCATCCTGTCAAGGCGGACACCTCCCCATCAACCAAATGCATATCCGTGTGCATTCCCAGGCAAAAAGTGGACCGAACACCACCATTTCCAGAGGTGTCCTTCATTTCTGGGGCCAGGGACCATCAACGCCCATGTCCCGCCTCTGCTTTGGGCTCATCTGCCGCTTTAGTCGCGGACTCCGCGTTGGCCGCGGCCTCGGCTGCCTTGAGGCGCAAAGAGAAGCCACTGGCTTGGTAGCACACCACCAACTCGTGTGTCATTTATTGGACCGTTTTGGTGGTCCAAATCCCTGTTTGTCCCAAGGTCCCATTTTCACATATACAATATGCCCAGGTAGGGCCCCCCCCGCTGTATTTTCACATACAGGTAGGAGTTTCAATTAGGGGCAAACTCATTTGGGTTGAGTTCGCAGGAAAGATAGCAACGAACGTCTTCGCTAAAGTCTTCCGTCCACAGTCAACATGTCCAATTCCCACGACAACCTGTGAAAGGTGCAAACAACCAATTTGCATGCTTGGGCGAATTCAACAAAGAATATGCCAACCTGGTGTAAGGGCCCTTCAAGAAAGACATCGTCATCATGGGCCGCATGGGCAAACCCACACCGTTTGTGAGGGCCTTGGCTTTTCTTTCCCAGAAACCAGAAGGTCTTGCACAAACCGGCAACGAAGTATCCCGTAAAAATAATTACCAGAGTAGAAATTCTGATATACAAGGACACTACTACGATTGTCAGGGTATATGATCTCCTTAAATAAGGGCAGTTTATAAGAGCGTACATACCACCCCCAAACCCTTGCACCCGCCTCGGATGCACAGAGTGCATAATGGGAGAGAGCGGTTCAAAATAAACTTTCACGCAATAATAAGAGATGCTGGCAAATGGGTGCGTGGTTTTTGAGGGCACCAATTTCAGGTTGGTTCAAAGTGGGGGCCGCCCTATTGTGTCACATACCCATATTGAAGGGTCCCTTGCTTGGACATGCGAGCCAAGGCGAAAATGGCCCTTAAAGGGAAGCCAGGTGATTACGTGTGGCATGTGACACATACCCATATCATTGCTCTTTTTGTTGAGGGTACTGCTATGTATCCAAGCAGAAACCCAAACTGGGCTGATCTAAGCAAACTAAAAGCCCTGCCAAATGGCGAGCCGTCAAGAAAAAGGGGCACCACCTTTTGTTTTTGTGGGGGGGGACGGGGGGCTCCACCAACAAAAAACCGACACACCCATATAGAATTAGAACCCCCCCCCCCCTGCCCCCCCTGACCTCCATGAACCCCCCTGACCCCCCCCGCCTTGGTCGCCTGGGCCTTGGCCTCCGCCTTGGTGAGCCTTGCCAAGACCTCCGCTGTGGAGGTCACGGGCCTCGCTCGCTGCATCGACGCTTCCAGCTCCGTATGGAGGGTAGCGCCATTTGAACATCAGAAACAGAAACCCAAACAGGAAAAATGAGAAGCTTCATGAGAGCAAATGTTCAAATTGAGTTCCCCCTGGTTGAGCACGTTAAGCCCTTTGGTACACATCAAACCATGAACCTAGAAGATTCCGGTTTAAGGGACCCCAGGTTTTGGCGGGGATTTCTAAATTGAATCTTACCCCACCAGTCAACTGGAATCGTTGGACGAGTAAAGCTGGGCTTGGAGCAGTTTTCCTCTTTCAGACCGGGTCCCGCACGTCAGCTTCAATGTAAGGGTGGGAGGGTAGAGTCGCATCTCCTGGGCCTTTGGCCTGTCAATGACTTCACATAGCCTTCCGCGAAGCTTCTGCGGTCCAGCGCCGTTGCAAGAATACCCATCCGCTCGCTTGGTAAAATCGGGTAGAAAAAAATAGGGGAAAAAACAAGCTCCGATTTGGGGGGGATGGCGGGTCGAGCTGTGCGCCTCTTGTCTGCCTTCGCCTGCCGGGCTGGTCGATTGGCACAAGAAACCCCCTTCCCGCCCCTAAGATCGGCCTGAGTCATTAGAATGCGGTTGGGGGTACTACCCACTGAATTACGTCTTGAATCATGGTTGAGGACATTTAGCCCATTCTGTCATTCACTGGTCCTGTCCAAAAGAGTGCATCCACTTTGGGAACTGGACATCCTTTCCATGGCACAAGCTCATTTGGCAAGACCTTTTCTGGGTTGACGCAGGACCTTCTTATCAACGGAATGTCAACAAGGCGCCTAAGGAGCCAAACGTCGAGCCACCATGGAGCCACGGAGCCTGGGAATACTCCTGCAATGGATGCATCTCAGGCTTCATGTTGGGTGGTTACCCCACGCTTGGTCTGGTCTGAACCCATCACTTGAGCCATGGGAATGCCGGATCTGGTTTGGAAGTTGCAGGCTTCCCGAAAGTGGCGTCTGAAATCAGGGACCCTTTTCCCGTTGGCTCATGTTCGGGAAACCAACATGTTCAACAACATTTGGAGGGGTCTGTGGTCTTGAAGTGCCATTTCTCCGAACCCAACGAGCACTAGAAGAAAGGGGGCTGAGCAATGCTGGAGTTGCATGTGTCGACAAAGGAATCCGATTCAGCCTCACACTCCTTGCGCTTACAATGTTCAGAGCAGTTCGTCAAACCCCGTGACCTGTGGCTTTTTCGTTTGGAGGCAACCCAGCACCAACGGTTCGGGCTATCATACCTGGCAATTTGCCGGCTTTCCCACTGCAATGCGGTCGGAAGCTGCTCGCAACTTTGCTCGGGAACCCATGGCACATACTTGCCACGGGAGCGTGCGAGAGACTCGGTCGGCATTGGGCAAACGTGAAACAGAAACCCACCCAGGTTCGTTAAACATCACAACGATGCCATGAGTTCCAAAGATGGCCAGTGCTTCGGGTCGCAACTCAAAAAGACCCAAAGCCAAACTCCCCCCCTATGATGGACACTTAGGGTCTATGTTGCATCCTCTTTTATTTTGGGTATTGGCATTCTAGGGTTCTTGGCTGCAACATATGCTCTAAGACCCTCCAAAGCCCAACCCGCCTGGCCTTTGGGGTTTCCACCTTTGCCACCTTCTCCACCTTCGCTTTGGGCGCTGCTGAAGGGGTCTCGCTGTTGACCTTGGCCTTCTTCAGCATGGCCTCGGACGAACCAACGAGAACAGACCTCCGGTCAAAGCCCTAGGTGTCCTTTTCTCGGGTAAATAGATGGCCCTGGTAGATGAAATTAAACCACCAGGTAAACCAGAACCATCTATTTTTAGACCCTTCGGTCTTGAATTGGACAAATTGTCGGAAGACCCGGGTCGACAAATTGTCGGAAGACCCGGGTCAGCCCATTTTCCTATCCAAACATCACATTAGGGGAGCATAAGGAACCTGGCACTCCAAAAGTAGAAATGAGGAAGCAACAGACTGGGTGTCTGGGACGATGAACTGGTTCGATGGAAAATCAAGCACATCCCTGTGAAAGGACCGGCCAACATGAAAGCCACCCGGTACCTTGGAAAGAGACAAAGAGTTGCTTCAGTGGGTGGAAGCTTCGATCTTAGCTGAACTTAGCTCCACCAGTTTGGTCGAATCGAATCCCTCGATGTGCCCTTTTTGGCGGAAGGTGGCTGGCTGCCCCACTTGCGGGGCAAAGCCGGGGACCTTGCAAATCCCCTCTGCTTCATGCTATGAGACGTCTCAATTCAAGACCCCCAGGGGTGGACATGGAAACCTGACCAAGTTTCTGGCCTCGAGGCCGTTTCTCCCCCCCCCCTCCCCCCTCCCGATATGGGAGGGGGGCAGTTCTCAGAATAGTGGTCCCCCAACAGGCAACAGTTCCTTTTGGTTTCCGTGTAACTACGAACCAAATTACACCAGCATAGACCCCAAATAGCGAAGAACTGCACCTGCGCCAGCACCCCATCAAATCTCGAAAGAACACGCCGCGCCTCCAACAGCACCCCGAACAGCACCCCCCAAACAGCACCTACACCTTCACCCCAAACTGTACACCCCCTAGCGCCCAACCGTCAATCTCGCAAATCACGTTCCCCTCTTTATTTGAGGATAGAACCCCTATAGCCTTCAGCTATCTGGGGAATCACTTCCCCTGTTTACTAGAAGATAGAACCCCTATAGCTTTCAGCTATCTGGGGAAAGCTATTTCCAGTACCATTCTGCGAAACTCCGTCAAAAGCTCCGAGGAACTTTGCGCGAACGAAAACGCCTGCCTCGAATTCGCCCAGGCGCTTCTCAACTTCCTGTGGCAATATCTCTCGCCAGGCTTCAAGGGTACCCGTTTTAGGTCAAACCAAAGGTAAGTCAAAGGGAAACTGAAACCACAGAAAACTCCAGCGGGAAGCAACACGAAAATCAAAGTGGAAACCAAGGGATAGGTTAAATAGTATCATGATTTTTGGGGCTACATAAATACTGCGTGGATCCTTTTGTTGCTCCTGCGCAACAAACTGATTTTCTGACCGAAGAATGGGGCCAGGGATAGAAAGCCAGGCCAGTTCTCACAAGCGGTTTTGTCCACTTGATTTTGGGATCTTGTTCAAGGCGAATGCCAAACTAGTCGGCTTGGTTTGTCCGTCCTTTCATCTTGGGCCCTGCTCTCGGGCGCAAACGGGGCTCCAAGCAACACCTTGTTGTTTTAAGGGAAAGGATGGGTAAATGTCAAATGTATTTCCCTAGGTTTTCACCACCCAGCCAGCCACCCATTGTGGCCCAGAAACGGTGCCGCCCCAAGCGCCCTCACCCCCGGAACCTTCGAGCCGGTCCTGGAGGCGGCGCTGGAGCTTGCCGCCCTTGTCCTCGCGCAGCTCCTTCACCGTGGCGCTCATGAAGGCGTCTAAGGAGTCCTACGGCTCGGGTTAGCCGGGCGGGGTTTGGACGTGCAACAACCAGACACGAATCGAGCCCCTTTACGGGGAAGGTAAGGGAGCTGGTTTAAGCAAAGGGTATTCTGACCGTAAAGCTTCATACTGTGTCCCATGGCCACAATAGGAATCTGTATAACTGTTCTCTATACCCGCTGGAAGGGTCCATGGCCATGGCTGGGAGACCTGGTCTCCCACTTACATTGCAACTGCACGCACCTTGAATCTTCATGTTCAATGCTTTCAAGAATCCCAGCTTGCAGCCCTGCATGTTTCCCAAACCAGTCGCAGAGTTGGTTCCTTGCGCGTCCTTTCTACACAGAGCCCTTCTTCCTCGGGCTCCTAGCACAAAAATGAAAGCTCCGTCAGCAGAGCAGGCCCATGCAGGCCATTTGAAATGCCCAGCCCCCTCTACTCAAATTGTATCTCTTTGATTCGGATCTTGAGCGTTGAGCTTGGACACAATTCTCCAGACATATCCGTTGTAGGTGGACATCTCTAGAAGGCCTTCACGTCGGGCATACTTATGGCGTCCATCATCTTCCTCAATGAGTCCTTTGGACATCAGTGCAGTGTCTTCGGGAGCCCGCCTCCATTGTCCATCACCCAGTGCCCTGTGAATCTTCCTCATCTTGGCCGGCGTGTCAAACACATCAGGCAAGGCGCCCTTCTTCCTGAGAACTCGCTTGTTTCTCGTATTGTTGACAAAAACACGCAAACCTTCGCTGTAGTCATTATTCAAGCAATTGTCCCACCCAGTATCCAAGCTTCCATAGGACTCCGAGCACCATGTCTTTGGAGTTTGGCAAAAGAAAGGTCCGCCACCCAAACCAAGCTGCTTGGCCTTGCTGCTTCCGTACGTCTGCAAATCTTTCTGGGAAAGCTTGTGACTACAACGCTCCTGAAACAGCACAAACGCAAAATCATGATTGTGTGTCTGCCATCCTTGTGAAGTGGTGTGGGTGAAGAGATTATGCAGGCTCCTTGCTGCAAGCAATCCAGGAAACACTGGAATGGGTCCCAGCAAATGCTGATCCCAAAACTTTGCACTTGGTGCAACCAGCTCAAACATCATCATGCCCTGCTCACCTGCAAACTTCCAGCGCTGCAAAAAGCTTCGAGCCTCCGCAATGACTTGGTCAGTGAGCGCATCATGATCAAGATGTTGTTCAAGGCTGACCCTTCCACTACCATCAGCTTCAAGTATGGCTTGGACTCGAAATTCCCGCACCCTCTCCAAGGGTGCCCATTTGAGCGCTTGGTACAAACCTCGCAATGAATATGATAAATGTTCTTGCATAATGAGCACACATTCTTTTCCAGCTGAACGGACATTGCGCACGAGTTCCACATAGCCCGAGTCGTTTGTGAGCAGCGCCACGCAGCGGGTGCCTTGATCATGGGCAACCTCAAGGGCAGTGGCTTTGATGGCCTCATCAGTAGGATCCAAAGTACCTAAGCGGTTAACCGGTTGAAAGCGTACACACGTTGTTTCCAAGAAGCTGCGCCACTCCTTATTCTGGCTTCGAAGCGGAGGTGCGAACACGGTTACCTGCTGCTGCCCATGAAAGACTTGCATGGCGCGCTTGATATGGTCTATGCTTTGGTCAGCATCCACCAGGTGCGCAAGGCCTGGGTCTGTGGAAAGCCCCCACACCCGATGCCAAAATCCTGCTAGGTCTGGATTCTTGGCCCAGCGGCGAACTTGAAGCACTTCAACCTTTGGCAGGCCAGCCAAAGGCTCATCTTGCGATGCCAAAAGGACTTGAGAGATCTGAGCCCCAAATGGCGCAATCGGTAGGGGTGTTTTGGGCCTGGAAAGCAACAAGAATCGGACGGTCTCGATAGCTTGGCAACTGCTCTTTTGCTCCTTCACCGAGCCAACCCACTTTTGCAAGGTAGAGCCCGGCCACAAATAGAAAGAGATATTGCTTGGAGGCATCCTTCCCAGGTACCAAATTCCTATTGAAAGGACCGTGCCAAGCGCGATGCTAGTGGGAGAGCCAACGCCCAATTTGCCTGTCTCAAGGATCCATCTTGGTATTGGGGGTATAATTAAGCATCTTGAAAACAGAATGGCCCCCACCGAAGGAACCTTCATGGTGGGAGAGGTCGCAAAACAAACTCGTAGAAAATCATATCTGCTGGTATGGCCATAATGAAACCATATCCGTTCCCGTGTAGTTGCCATGCTTCGAAATATATATATATATATATATTTGTATATGCATGGGTTATTCACCACCCTCGAAACATCGCGGACCCATCCAGGGTTGGGCTCGCTGTCCGATCTCCCCAAAAAACAGCTAACCCTTCGAAGTTCAAATTTTGTCCCATGAAAAACAAAAGCATTGCTGTCCCATCGCCCAATGCCCAACCATCAGCGGCAGGCAGGCCGGCGTCCTCCATGTCTCCCACCTCCGCCTCCTTCTTGGCCTTCACCTAACGCGCGAGCCATTCTGAGGCCATGTTCGTAAGCATTCATTAACGTTCATGTCGCCGGCGCACACGGATGTTGGACTTGAGACAGCCCATGAAAATCAAGCTCCGCGACAACCCACATCTTTCAATCATTCAAACTGCTCTCCAATGGGGCCCCGTTGGGGCCCCGTTGGCCCCACCCGCTAAAGTCACAGAGCTGCAACTCAAGGAAAACGATGCTGCCTGTTTGGGTTGATTTAAAGGGACACCAATAGGAGCCAATCATTTTGTGGGTCGTCCAACATTGACACATACACAAATACCAAGGCTAAGACGCTGAAAAGGAAGACAGGTGATAGTTCACACCCCTGAAAGGGAACATGAGAAAGCTAAAGAACTACGGAGAGGGCAACGGAAATTAGGGGACAAAGTATATCCTGCCAAAAGAGGCAACAGTCCTGACTCCCGAAAGAGAATAGACCCCTTCAAAAGGAATCAGACCATTTGCAAGACTTCTGCCCCAGCCCATGCCAGCAACCAACCTGGGTTTCCTATGAAAGACACTTTCATCAAGGGTGAAATCGGTCCCAAAGCAAAACACATTGTCTGGGGCGGACTTGGACCACCTGCAAAAAGTTCAATGAAACAAGAAACCAGCAAGCCGAACAGGTAAGCTAATTCCAGGTTATGTTGTGCAGTCGCGCGTTTCCATCTGCCCAGCACATGTTCTCAAAGGGTCTCAAAGGTCGTCAGCTGCCCACCTCACACCCCCAGTGGATTTCTATGAGAAAACAAGGCACCCTTGGTTGCTTGATTTTGGAGAGAACCCAGAACAAGGACACCAGAAAGCAAACCACCGGGTGTTTGTGCGATTCTCCGAAAGAGATCAACAGGTTTGTTTCGTTCTCTAGGTCCTCCAGTAGAGAGGTTGGAATACGGGTACCCATTTTTCTGTAGTCTATTTAGTAGGGGAACCCGACCCAGACCCGTCCAGGCCTTCTCAGCTGCCAGCTGCGCGGAGACGCGGGCCTTCTCCGCTTTGAGCTGAAGCAGCTTGGCCTTCGCGGAACTGGAAGCGGAACGGGTGAAAATGCTCCGTCCCATCCCCTTTTGGCTCCATCCCCTTGTGACTTGTTTTGGTGAAAATCAAATTGCTCCCCCTTTTGGCAATTCTCTTGGGGGAACTTTGGGGAGTTGAAAAGAAGATACTGTGGACAAAATCCTGCACTTACGGAGCCCTGGTTTCTGATGATTCCTCTGCAAATACCAAGAAACAATGGTTTCAACCATGGTTTCAAAGTGGCGCGAAATGGATTTCGTCCATCAACAGTATGGCGCTCAGGTTTTTCAAACTGCGCGCGCTCGGCTCCATAGATTTCCCCCTTCGAGCACTTCTGGGCCCAAAAAGGTGATGATTTTTGAAGAACTGAACAGCGACTTAGAGGGAGCCTTGCGCTAAAGGAACATGATCATACCTCCTACTCAAAATGCACGCTTCTTTTTAGGGTATCTTTTAAAAAACCTGGATTTCCATAATAAATACCTCCCGTTTTAGTAGAGGGTCGACGTGATACCCTGAACAAAGAGGGTATTTGGAGTAGCCGGTAGTTGTCTTTTCCCCTGGGGATGGATGCTTGTTTTGTCCAAAGTGGGGAGAATTAAACAGTTGTGGAGGAAGAACAAAAGATGTCCAATTTCAGTTGTGTGGTGTTCTTGAACATTTGGTGAGGGGAACAGGTTCTCGTTCAATCATCCAAGTTGATGAACAGATGTCAACCGGGCAAGCTGCCTCCGTTTAGTAACTGCTCTTCTAGCCCCCGAATACCTCTGCTCAGGGCCTTCTGGAACAGAGAAAATTCCTCTTGGGGGTCGAACCGCTTAGCGCAGTACCGCCTTCGGTGTTTTCGAGCAGACCAAAACGAAAGTCCTTGACCGAGCCCACATCTTGGAATGACCCAGGTTTTTGGGAATGAACCTAGTTCCCGTAAAGGACACCATCGGGAACGGTTTTTTTCTTGGGCTCATTCCAACTCAGCCCAACCAGTCGCCCATTTGGGGGCGGCTTCGTGCTTCGTTCGGCCTCCAGAGACTTCTCGTTCTCCACCTCCGCCATCCTTCCGGACACGGGCAACCAAACACCCGGAACCCCTGCAGGGCAAAGCAACTGGGTGGGGATGCTCAAAGTGCTGTTCCTAAAACAAGATATTATCCACTTTAAACTTATCCAACACCTTGCGGCTCCTTAAATTGGAACTGGACCCCTACAAATCGGTGCTTTCCTTTTGAAGCCTTGGGCCGGCCCTTGATATGCAGTTGAACCACCCATCCCGTCTGGGGCAAACAAGGGCCTGGAACCTGAACCGCCCAAAGGTTGCTTGAGTTCTGGGGGCCGTGTCCCGCGAACACACAGTGTGGCGTCCAGGCACCGAACGTTGACAACGCCCTTGGGTACCAGGTACCCGACAAAAACGGGAAGCGCTTCAATCAGGACCCTCGCGAAGTTCGTAGCGTGTCTTTCCACAGGGCTCTCGTTTCCAGGCACTAATGAAGGGAGGAGGAAAACTGAAGCTTGCGCATAGTTCCACATCCCCTATTTTCAGAGCCAAAGCTGCACATCCCATCGCCCAAACAAATCCGAGCAGCGTGGGCAGGCCAATCAGCTCCGAGGGTATGTCCACGGCCTGCAAGGCGCATGAACTCCATCTGTTGGGTTCGGTGGGGCTGGGTATCGTTGTCGAGATGGATGGCGAACAGCACGTTTTGCCCTGCATAGATCCCTGGATTCTAGTGGCAAAGATCAATCCACGGAAGAGGGATGACGCACGGCACATGTTTGAGCCGGACTCTTCGTGGCCGCAAACATGAATATTTAATTACAATTAAGGCGTAACTGAGCATCTTTAACCAAATAACAACACCCACAAAACATACGTGTCGCCCACAAGGTCTTATTAGGCTGTATGACCGTGTTGGCAGGTTTAGGGTTCTTCGGGTTTAGGTTTAGGGTTTTAGGGTTTAGGCTTCAGGTTTTTAGGGTTTAGGTTTATGTTTTTTAGGGTTTAGGTTTAGGGTTGTTAGGGCTTAGGTTTAGGACTGTTAGGGTTTAGGTTGAGGGCTTTAGGGTTTAGGTTTAGGGTTTTCAGGGTCTTTAACAATATTTTAGGGTTTAGGTTTAAGGTCTTTAGGGTTTAGGTTTGGGGGGTTTGAGGGCTTTTAGGGCTTAGGTGTAGGGTTTCTAGGGTTTAGGTTTGCTTGGAGCTGGCTGTCCGGTGCATCCGAGGCTGGCTTCTCTGGTTTAGATTTATGCTTGTGTTGATGATAGCAGTATATAACCAGGAAAAGTCGCCGCGCTCCATGAAGGGGGTATGGAGCATGAAGCTGGGGTGAGGGGGTGGGGCACGGGGGCTCGGAAGTGTTCTTTGGCTGCGCCTGCCACGCTTTTTGGAGGTCTCAGGGACCCGCTTCCGGGCGGTCGCGGGCAACACATACGTTTTGGCCGATTTAAGTAACAAAAGAGTCGCCATATCCAGCCATTGCCGCGGGCTTCAACTGCACTGTTGGCAAATCACACAGTGCGAATCTGGCAAGCTGACAATGGAACACGCCCGTGCTGTTTGGAGCTCTTTTGTTTGAACAAGAATTGGCCAGAAACAGGCAAGCATTGGTGTCCAAACAAAAATGGAAATCAGACCATAAACACTTGCTGGTCCCTTTTGGATTCACTTCAAACCATCCAAGGAGGTTCCTCGTCTTGAATACTCACAGCCGAAGTGGCCTTGTTTTAGGTACAAACCGCCAGCCCGTAAGGTACTCCACTGGCAGTTGGGAACTTCGCCCTGGGCCTTGTGCTTTGTCCCCAATCATCTGGGCCTGAAGGAAAACCTCCAGTGACTCTTTGAAGCAGCTCTACGTATGTCCATATGCATACATATAATATATATAATGTATTAATATCTATATATATATATATATTGTACATTGAAACCCCTTGGGGGTACCCAGAATCCAATCGAAGAGGAAGAAACATTGTGAAGATGAATTCCCAGCAAAGTCACAACCAGGCGAAGACGAACTACCCAGCGAAGATGAATTGCGAAGACGAATTCTGCGAAAACGAATTCCCCAGCGAAAACGAATTGGCGAAGACGCTTCACCTACTAGGCGAATGTGAATTGCGTAGCAGAATCGAACCGCAAGGGCGGGTTCCAGAAAGGCGAAGACAAGTTGCGAGACGAGCTGCGCGAAGACGAACTACCAGGCGAAGGCGAGTTTCCCAGCGAAGTCGACGTGCGAACACAAATCCCGGGAAGACGAATTCCGCGAAGACGAAATACTGAGAAGACGAAAGACCCAATGACGAATGCAAAGATGAATTTAAGACGAATTGCCGGGTGAAGTCGAAAGACCCATCAAAGACGAATTGCGAAGACGAATTGCATGAAGACGAATTACCGGGCGAAGTCAAAAGACCCATCAAAGACGAATTGCGAAGACGAATTACACGAAGACAAATGACCGGGCGAAGTCGAAAGACCCATCGAAGACGAATTGCGAAGACGAGTTACACGAAGACGAATTACTGGGCGAAGTCGAAAGACCCATCGAAGACGAATTGCACGAATTCCGCGAAGACGAATTGCTGAGCGAGGACGAAAGACCCAAAGACGAATGCGAAGAGGAATTACACGAAGACGAATTACCGGGCGAAGTCGAAAGACCCATCGAAGACGAATTGCGAAGACGAATTCCGCGAAGACGAATTGCTGAGCGAAGACGAAAGACCCATCGAAGACGAATTGCGAAGACGAATTCCGCGAAGACGAATTGCTGAGCGAAGACGAAAGACCCAAAGACGAATGCGAAGAGGAACTACACGAAGACAAATTACCGGGCGAAGTCCAAAGACCCATCAAAGAAGAATGCGAAGAGGAAGTACACGAAGATGAATTACTGGGTGAAGTCGAAAGACCCATGAAAAACAAATTGCGAAGACGAATCAAAGACGAATTGTGAAGACAAATTACACAAAGACGAATTACCGGGCGAAGTCGAAAAACCCATCAAGGACGAATTGCGAAGACAAATTACATGAAGAGAAATTACTGGGCGAAGTCGAAAGACCCATGAAAGACGAATTACGAAGACAAATTACGCGAGCACGAATTACCGGGGGAAGTCGAAAGACCCATCAAAGACGAATTGCGAAGACGAATTGCATGAAGACGAATTACCGGGCGAAGTCAAAAGACCCATCAAAGACGAATTGCGAAGACGAATTACACGAAGACAAATGACCGGGCGAAGTCGAAAGACCCATCGAAGACGAATTGCGAAGACGAGTTACACGAAGACGAATTACTGGGCGAAGTCGAAAGACCCATCGAAGACGAATTGCACGAATTCCGCGAAGACGAATTGCTGAGCGAGGACGAAAGACCCAAAGACGAATGCGAAGAGGAATTACACGAAGACGAATTACCGGGCGAAGTCGAAAGACCCATCGAAGACGAATTGCGAAGACGAATTCCGCGAAGACGAATTGCTGAGCGAAGACGAAACCCATCGAAGACGAATTGCGAAGACGAATTCCGCGAAGACGAATTGCTGAGCGAAGACGAAAGACCCAAAGACGAATGCGAAGAGGAACTACACGAAGACAAATTACCGGGCGAAGTCCAAAGACCCATCAAAGAAGAATGCGAAGAGGAAGTACACGAAGATAAATTACCGGGTGAAGTCGAAAAACCCATCAAAGACGAATTGCGAAGACAAATTACATGAAGACAAATTACGCGAGCACGAATTACCGGGGGAAGTCGAAAGACCCATCAAAGACGAATTGCGAAGACGAATTACACAAAGACGAAATACCGGGCGAAGTCGATCGCCCCATCACAGACGAATTGCCAAGACAAATTACACGAAGACGAATTACTGGGCGAAGTCGAAAGACCCATCAAAAACAAATGGCGAAGACGAATCAAAGACGAATTGTGAAGACAAATTACACAAAGACGAATTACCGGGCGAAGTCGAAAAACCCATCAAAGACGAATTGCGAAGACAAATTACATGAAGAGAAATTACTGGGCGAAGTCGAAAGACCCATCAAAGACGAATTACGAAGACAAATTACGCGAGCACGAATTACCGGGGAAGTCGAAAAACCCATCAAAGACGAATTGCGAAGACGAATTACACAAAGACGAAATACCGGGCGAAGTCGATCGCCCCATCACAGACGAATTGCCAAGACAAATTACACGAAGACGAACTACCGGGCGAAGTCGAAAGACCCATCAAAGACGAATGCGAAGAGGAATTACACGAAGACGAAGTCGAAAGACCCATCAAAGATGAATTGCGAAGACGAATTACACGAAGACGAATTACAGGGCGAAGTCGAAAGACCCATCAAAGACGAATTGCGAAGCTCGGGGTGGGCTCCAGTTTAGGGCAAGTTTTGGGGTGGCTACGTTTTAGGTACTGGGATGGTTTAGTGCTTTATGGTGGGCTTCTTGGGGTTGGTTTGGGGTGAGCTTAGGGCTGGTTTAGGGTGGGTTTAGAGTTCGGTCGTTGTGTTTAGGTGGGCTTAGGGTGCTTTCAGGGTAGGTTCAGGTGGCTTAGCGATGGTTTAGTGTTGGGGGGGGGTTGGGGGGTTGGTGTAGGGTTTGCTTTGGGTTTGGTATAGGGTTTGCCTAGGGGGAGTGGCTTGAGGTGGGCTTCTCAGAGATGGTTTTGTCTTTGTTTAGTGCAGGCTTAGGGTTGGTTTGGGTGGGGTTGGGTGGGTTTCAGGATATGTTTAGACTTGGTTTAGGGATAGTCTATTGCTGGTTTAGAGTGGGTTTGTTTAGGCGTTCCTTTAGGGAATGTTGCTGGTTTAAAGTTTCTTGAGGGTTTCTTTAGGGTTGGCTTAGGTTTGGTTCTCAGGTCGGTTCTAGTTTGAGAGGGGTTTAGTGGTGGTTTATTTGCCTTTTGAGGTCATCACAAAGCGAAACAACGGCCCTATGAAAGCGGGGGAGGGGGTTGGGAGGGGGGGGGGGCGCAGCCCCCCCGCCCATGTACAGAAACCAGGGAGCCAAGAAGCCACCAAGCCAAGCCAAAAAGCCAAAAGCCAAGAGGAAAACGGGGAAAACTCCAACAATACATGGGGCCACAATATGAGGCGCCACAATGCGGCTTCAGCGCCAGGTGGAATTAGGGTACCCCGTCGGCGGCGCCCTGTATGTGTATATATATATATATAATAAGAGGGTCGTTGTTTGCGAGTCCCATTTTGTTTTCTGCTTCAAATGGAAAGCAAAGGGACACCTCTCATGCAACATTCTGCGTGAGCGATATTCAGACCAACCAGACATCCACAAGGACTCTGCTGGAATTCCCCTCCGCCAAGAATACGCGGTATAAAGTTGTCAACAGGGCCCCTTGTGACCCGGAAACCACCTGTGTGCAACTGATAGGGGCACCCCCCCAAAAAAAAAACAAACAATTTGCATTCCCTCAAAACCACAGAAAAGGGGCACCCCGCAAAACTGAAACTTCCTTGTACCGCTCCCCTCCCATTCCCGGCACTTGGAAATGTTTTGGGGACCTGCGGATGCCTGAGCCCCTTTCCCAGCGGTCAAAACCTGCGAATTCTCGCCTGAGAAATGCGGGCGTGGGTCAAACGGGGACCCTGCCAAAAATCAGGTCATATCCCCACCCAAGAAAACCAAGAACATCGCTGGGCTTCAAGCCCAAAACGGGTACCATTCAAATAAATCGACGAGTCGAGTGGGTTGCCAACTTCCTGCGCGCCTCCTTCTCCTTCACGGCGTCCTTCCCTGCCTGGCTGCGTGCAGTGAGTTGTTGGGCAAAAGGAACCGTGAGTGGCTGTGGGTTTGTTTTCTTGTTTGTTTGTTTCTTTCCTTTGGGTTGCTTTGTTGGTGACGTTTGTTTCGCTTCGTTTTGACTTTGTTTGCTTTGTTTATGGTTTTGGTTTGTGCTTGTTTTGTCCCGTTTTGGCTTGTTTTGTTTGCATGTGTGTGTGTAAGTGTTTAAGGGAACCTTTCAGCTTGGTTTGAAGGGAATGCAAAGGAGAACCACTTACTTTGACAAACCCCCACATGTCAAACAACTGCACGCTGGCTGTGATTGACAACTCCTTGACAACTAGCCGAACAACCCCCCAGTGCTGGGCACAAGCTAGCTCTGCCTCCACTGTTGCAGCTTCTGTCTGTGGAAAGGATCGGAACATCACTGCCTCTATCATGCAGTCATTTCGGTAAAGTATGTTCCTTCTGACTTGGACCACTTTTCTTTCTGCTGGGTTGAAGCAAGGCTGTATGCATGGCACCAAGCCCAGCTTCCACCCCATAGATTCTTCCCGTAGCCTAGGCTCGTCTCAGCCTAGCGGATTGAGCGCAAGCTAGCACTGGGATGTTGCAATGTACTGGTGTGTCTTTTTCTATTTTGGCATGCTTGTTTGGGGATAGTTCAATCAGGGGTCACTTGGTTTCCCCTCCAAAAGTTGCAATTTACTTGTGGGTTCCGTTGAAACTGTCACTTTTGGAGGTCAAAGAGGGAAATTGAGGGACGTCTGTCGAAATGGACAGGCGGACACATTTTGGTGGGGCTGCCCTGTTTCAAGACATATCCTCCAGTGCCGTAAGCCCCCTGGCAAGCAGGCCAAAACCGCTTGATCCTTGAACCGCACAACCGCCTCACGGTAGAAACGCAGAAAGCGGCCTTGGGTCGTACAACAAGTGAGTCAAGGATGGGCTCAACTACAATAGAATAGAACAGAATAGAATAGAATATCACATCGCATCACATTACACACACACACACCCTTACTTGCACTTGCAGTGATGCTTGCACTTCCACGACGTTCACCTGAACTACACACACGCATTCACGCCAGCGCCAAGCAAATCACCCGGCCCCAACTCGCCCTCCGCCTGCGCCGTTCGGTCAAAGAACTCGTCGTCGCTGCCGTCGTCGCGTGTGTCATAGAGCGCTGCTTGCCTCTTGCTCACACGCCCGAAGCCTGCCTGGCTCGCAAAGCTTCGGGTGTGAATTGGCCAAAAACCGCTGGAGCTGCAAAAGAGGCTCAAGGTGGTGAATGTCAGAAAGAGTTGATACTTGTTTCTTAACTTCTCCTACCGGCCAGTGGCATGAACCTGCACGACAAGCCGGGGCGAGTAGCCTCCTATGTATTGATGCCGCACCAAGCTGGAAATAACTCACCAGTTCGAAATCAGAAATCAAAAGCCAGGGATACAACGGAGCTCTCATGCCGCGGCTGCTTGTGTCTTTCCCAGCTGGTCGCCTTTCAAGCTCCATGTCATTTCCTATTGAGTCAAGCGTTTCGTCACTGTCCCGGACGCCTTCTTCAAGCCCAAGGACACATAGAGCGTGTCAGCCTTGCACTGGAGGCTTTCGTACGGCGTTTCGTAGGGCGCCAGGTTCAAAAAAAAGATTCCAAAGGACATACACAAGTCGTCATGGTTTTCCAATCGCCATATCTTAACACTTGTTTTTATCAAGGATTTAGGGGTTTCTCAAAAGTAGGGACCCCTCCAGGTGGTTTGGATTTCCTTTCAAGGCCATGCAAGAAGGGTTCCCGTATTTCTGTGAGCATTGAAACAGAACCAGCATGACATCAGCCAGGAGGGGGTTGCATTGTTGACACATACCTGGGACCAAAGATGGAAGCCATCTTCGGCAAATCTTTGCTTCAGTCAAGTGGGGTGATCTAAGGAAACGACCCTGGCTCTACCACTGCCAAGAGAGCAACGTCCAAAAACCCAGATGGCCATATTCTTGGTTTATGCTTCGCTTTGTCGGGTGTGTCTCGAAATTGGGGGGCCTCCGCAATGGTGGCTCGCCTTTGGTTTCTCTTTTACACTATCACAACAAGGTGCCCTCAAAAAACACACAACCACTAAATACCTTCCCTATCACTACCCCCATTATATTACCATTATCAAAGTCACCAATTTCAGTCTGACTTTGATCGCCCCTAGAAACACTTAAAATGATGCCCCCATGAAGTCACAGAGTAAGCAGACCGCACCGCTCTGGGGGCTATGGGTCCAGGGACAAGCCGAGCCCCAAGAAAGATACCAACGAAAACGCATGGCGGGCAACCGCTGCGGTTTTTGCACAACCGGGGCCCACCAAACTTTTTCAGGGAGCGATCTAACACCACAAGTGAGACATACTCAAACCCTGGCATCAAAAGGATGCCAACACCATCCCCTTTATACTTGGGCGCTGTAGACCCCACAGCAAGAAGTTTAAGTTTCTGCAGCTTAAAACGACATATGAGGGGTATCCAAACAGTTAAGAAACCTCTAAAGCTCCGACCCAATAGCAGAGACTTCCTTCATGCGGTGATTTGGGGACAAGCCATGAGAGCAGTGACGAAGCACTGGCCGCTGGGCGCCGCGCTTGGTTTCCAAAGTCCTCCTCAGACTTCTCGATCCTGGGCGCGTCTGTGGCCGACCATCACAGGCAGCCGTGTTGGGACATAGGGGTGCCTTCCATTTCCATTCTTTCCAGGGATCCTTCTTTCCAAAAAACCACCAACAACTCTGGGGAGCCAGCGGGTTTTTGAGAAGAACGATGGTTGAAAAGAGTGGTTGGAATCAACCCGTAGAACATTGGCATGTTTCTCACTCCTTGAGCAATCTGATCTTGGACCCAACCATTTCGGCCCAGACGCCCCTTCCTGCTTGAAAACAACTATTTGGGCCAAAAGACGGAAGAAGCAGTCGGCCAACTAGCTAGATTCCGGATGCGCAGTTGAACGTGCCACCCAAACTCAGCCATTTGAATTCAGAAACTCAGAGGCCCTGTACCGAAAGAAACGAGAACATGCTTTGGACTGGCCAAACAACGGGTGCGTTGCTTGAACATTCCACACCGGAGTCCCGACTTTGAACTCAGCCCAGTGCCTGCCTAAGTTGATTTGAAAGCAAACCTGTGCACCCCTTCAAATTTGCCTTCCCGAACGGTGACATGTAAACAAAGGCAAGGGCCGGGTTTCGGTTTCCGCTTTCTGGTTACAGGCTTGTGTTCAAGGGGATCAAAGTCCCAGAAGGGGACTTTAAATTCCTCGTAACCATTAACATTCAATGACAGGACCCTCTAGCTTCAGTTTCCCGGTTAATTTGTGTCTCGCTCGCCACAAAAAGGGTATTGGTACCCTCCCGAAAAAAAGCGCCGTCTCTGGGTCCCCCGCTTCTCCGTCAACCGCTGGATCTTCTCCATGTTCTGCGTGCCCATGCCCGCGTCTGGGAGCTCCTCGGCACGAGCGTCTGTCCCACAAATGGGGTGAAGTGATCAGGCTGGGCTGTCCGTTTTCAGCTCCGCTAAAAGTGACTAACTCTTGGTGGGTGAAATGGAAACTACTACCAAAGATTAAAAGGCTAAAAAGCTAAGGGGATGGCTAGGAGCCACCAAGAAGTGATCAGGCTACCTTAGGCTTACCTTGTGGGCACCTTAGGGCGGAGTTTAGTCTTTTTGCTTATCCTCCCAAAGGAACACGGGACCGTCCGGCTCACCAATTCAGGCAAACAACCCGCACAAAACGTGCCCACCAGGCTGGCGACGAACCCTTCTTGGTGGCCCCCTGTAAAGCCGGCACAACTGACACCAAGCTCCCAAAGGGCGCAAATGGCAAAGCTGATCAAAGTCACCCCCCAAATGGTGGGTAAAGGGAAACAACCCCAGCTTCTCACTTTGATACTTCGCGGAAACTATCAAAGTAATGACCCCCGTGGTAAGGCTCATTATTGATACACTGCAAAACAACAAGGTCATTCACCGGCATCCACGTTGGCCGGGACCAACACCTACACTGCGTACCTGCTTGCAACTACATGCGCAAATGCGATTGCGAGCGCGCGTTAAACATCGCCTCTGCTGACCCAACACATTTTTAAGTGAGAACTCGGGGAGTTGTACTGTTCGCATATTGCGCGTTTGAACATGTCCCCACGACCCGCACACCACGCAGGTTTCGGTGTGGGCTAAAGACTTGTTGCAACCCCTTCTTTTGCATCGTGATGATGGCAGCTCGCGACTGCTGGGAAACTGTTGCGTTTCAACATCCAAACAAAAGAAACAGTGAGATTGTCTCAAGGCAACGTGGTCCGATTCAAGGGTCATTGCCCCGAATCCAAATCAGGGCAAAAGGTCCGGAGTGCCACATCACATCGTCACGATGCTAACTTTATGAGCCCCCCTAGGAGCAGTCGCAGGTCTGCAACCCCTTCTTAGAGATCCTGGACATTCCTTTTACCGACTCGAGGTCCGTTGTTCAACCCTTTTATGCAAATACAGGATCACCATGATTAAGCCCCCCCGTGAAAAAGCGAAATGACCCACTTCGGGAGGAACCAACTCTAGAGACGCCCTGAGATTCGTCTTGGACGTCCATGTCTGGAACCCGCTCGATCGATCGAAATCCGGAAGCCAAGCTACATCGATGTCCAGGTCGGATTGCTGTTTCCGGCGTGCCCGGGTGGCTGCCTGCTCCTGACAAACAAAAAAGGATTCCGGCGATCCATGGAACCGCATGGAGGGCCCGTGGATGAATAACACTTCACACACAAGGAACAAAGCATGCATATATATATATATAGTCGCTATAACCCAAGTAGATTGAGCTAAATACAAACCATGTGTCTTAAGGGTAGTGGTGATGGGAGGGGGCAGTGGACACCCTGTTGGAATCAAGTGGATGCTCATGCACAGCAACCCTCTCCCGATGAAATACAACATGTAACGTCTTGGTCCTCTATATCTTTATATACACAAAAGCACGCTTATTGAGTTGAATACGATGCCATGAGAGAAGCCAGCCCCACCAACCCACTTGACGTTGCTCCATGAGTTCACAGCCGCTCCAATTGCACCTGATCTCGTTGGACCCCTGTTGGTGCGGGTACAAAAAGGCCGCGACTCGTGACCCAATGCCGTCGCCCTGAAACTCAATTGCTCGTTCCAATGGAAGGGTCGCTGGCTAGAGTCCAAGGGCCAACCATGACCACACGCTTCCCAAGGCAAGGACACCCCTTGGCCTGTGAAGTGAAGGCAAAGGAAATTCAAATCCATTTGTATCAATTGCTCGTTCCGTTTGAGGACACACCCGACGGGTCAGCCTTGGAGGAAGCACTGCCTTCCAGCTGCTAAAACCTCACCCCACCCTGTCCTCTTGACGCTGCTTTTCCCTGGCGGAGCTGAACCCACCAAGCGCCAGCGCAGCGATGGAAAATGCACATGGGGATTGATCAAGAGGTCCTTCACATGGGATGATCGTTGGGGAAAACCACGAAAAAAATGGACATGTCCCACTAAACGGGAAAAAGCCTCCCACGGTCATTTGGGGCCAGGAGTATTGATCAACACCCACATGGACACCAATCGGAACATCAGCAGCAGCAGCGGCGGCAGAAGCATGCACAATTCATGATTTGACTATTCCACACACGGACTTGACAATTGCCTGGAAGAAAAACGGAGTTTGTCGGCTTCAAGAATTGATTAGTCAGCTTCAAGCTGCCTTCCAACTTTCGGAAGGGAACCATGGACTGAGTTTGATGGGAACATAGTGGCCCCTGCTCAATCGCGCACAGGTCACTGGAATCTGGGCTTTCAGAAGGAAAGTGGGACATTCAGATTCGAACACAAACACCTGACAATTTACCAAGGCACTTCTCGCACAACTCTCACACACACAGACACAACTCGATCTCATTATCAAGTTGCCGGGGGTGTTGACCCCTGTTGCCGAGCTGCAGCAATTCTTCATGCCCACTACACGTTCTCCTCCCGCATAAATACAATCCCGCGCAAAACAGTCTGCAGGCTTAGGTTGTCCACAAATTCCACAACTGTCAAGCATGGAAGTGCACATGGGAAGGCTAACATCATCTTAAAAGGTCCCGTATCCGCTGCCATCGTTAGAAAGAAAAACAAAACACCTCAAACACAAGCACTTCATTCCATCTGGAAGGGTAAAACACTGCGATGACCTCGGCCCTCAATAGCAGGCACGCCCGATCTGACCAGCTGGCTGCGCTTGCAGCAAGGAAACGCGCGCTGACCGAAAACTGCTCAAGCGAAAAGAGCAGGGTTGTCCAGCTCAATGCATCCTTGTGCCGGGGCATACCTGAGGAAGTAATTACTATCAGTTGGTTCGGGGAATGCATCTCATGCCAAAACCATGTGATCGAGGAAGGTCATGCGAGTTCAAATCTCGCCTGAGCAGGTTCGCAATCTTCTTTTGCTTCTGCTCCAACTTCTGCACCATCGCCTCCTGCCAAATGGTCACTGGGAACCCCTGTTCCATTTTTCACGACCCCCTAGACGGGGCATGGTTGGATGTGCCCGGCGAGTTCATTGGAATTCGTGGCAATTTGGGTTTTGCACTTGCTCGAATGGGAAATTAGTTTCGAAGGTGTCCTAAAACAGGAAGCCGCATTGAAAAGGTATGAAAGATTAGGTTTGCTGAAATCTCGCTTTCAACCCAGTAGAATGGAAACCCGAAAACCCTCATCATCAGAGAATATCTCCTTTTGGAAGAGGGCAGTTTCGGAGTCTGTAAAATTGAGGGGGGCGTCTCAGAGGCACCAGTTGAAGGAATATGCTGCCGAATGCCCAGGGAGGCCACAAAAGGGAAGCCACAAAGGGAAGCCACAACGGGCAAAAGCAGTGGCCCTGCTGGCTGGAGGTCCCACCCCTGCCCATATGGAGGGTTGTGTTGTGGTTCAAAATCATAGGCAATCCTAAAAGCCCAAATCTACCTGAAAGCTCTTCCAAGTCTAGCATCATGGTTGTAACCTAGAAAACGATCATCATTCCACCATGTTGGTCAACCCCCCTGACATAGGTTGTTGAAGTCATGACTCCTCAAAATGGCCTCAAAGTCGTTTCAGAACTTCTCCTTTCCTTCGCCGCTCGCTGGGCTCCTGCTTCTGCGTGAGGCTCAGCTGCCGGACTTTCTCCAAGTCCAGCTTGCCATTGGCCTCAGCTGACTTCCGCCCAAGCGTCACAGGTTTCGGGCGAAGGGAGGGACGCTCCGCCAAGTTGCGTGACAAAGGACAAACACATTCGCCTCAACCCCCCACCCCACCCCCTCCCCATTTTCAATATGATTCAGAAACAATCACATGTTTCCGCGGCTTCGCTGACCTCGCGGAAGCAAACTTAGACTTGAGAGCCAGCGAGCGGGGTGGCGCCTGTTGTTCATGTGGATTTGGGGAGATGCTGTTCACAGCAAACGCGACACTTCGATGTCGGCCGAAACACATCAGCAATATGGCAATATATCAGAAACACTTCTTCGTGGTTGTCGTCCAGAGGTCTTGGTTCATCGCGCCATAAAGAAGACACGAAGGAGGAGGAAAAAGAGCGAGCCTTGCTTTGCGCGCAGCTGGTCATCTGCGTGGATTCACTGAAAGAGTTGAATCAGCTTCTGTCAGTTGCCCACCATTTGTTTCCTCCCGGACAAACAATCATACCCATGAACGCTAGAAGCCATCAAGCTTCCTTGATTGCTAAACCACCTTGCAATTCTATACCCCAACATGGGCGGCTTCTTCTGTTCTTGCGCTCAAGCAAACCAAAAGGGGTACACTCAAGTGCAGGCAGACCCATGTGCGGCTTAATTAAAGTCCAGCGGCATCCATCAACTTCTGGGCGTCGCCATGTAGCTCCTGCAGCCGATGTCAGCCGAGTTCAGCGAACTGGGCCTTGTAACCCAAGAAAGATTTGGACACCGGGTCCATGTTCATAGGGGGGTGTTTGCAGGAATGAATTAGATCGGGATCCCATGTTTGACTGGTGATGTTCATTCACCCCACATCAATCAACCCAGTTTGTCAAGGTTTGACTTGCATTTGGGGGTTGATCAAAATGTCCCACGAACATGGGATGACTGGGGGACACCACTCAAATGATGATATTTCCCACATTGGACAAGTGACCCGTGGTCATTTGGGGGGCGAACGGAATATTGATCAACCCCCATGTGACCAGGCCATTGTTAACTGGATTCCCAGGGCTTCTGATGGATCTACCTGAGTGGAGGCTGTTCCTGTTGTAGCTGCGCTGCTGCTGCTTCTGATGCTGGTGCCTGTGGAATTGCAGCCCCGCCCGTCACGCGTCTGCCTGAGCAAGCGCAGGTAGCCCTGGATGGGCCTTGGGCTTCGCAGACTCCTTCTTGCTGGTGCAGGCTTGTTGGTCCAAAGTGCCGAAAACCAGTGGTCGACTCTGTAAACAAAACTTGGCACCCAAGCCAGCCTCCTCGAAACACGATGGTTTTTGGACAGCGGCAACCTAAAAGCCCAGCCTTTGCACTGCCCATGGGTCACCCTGGGGGATCGCTTTGATACCCTACAATCAAGAGCAACAACTCCTGGGCTGTTGGGCCCTCTCCTCCAGCGGAATTTCCACAGCATCCTCACCCATGCCCCAATTGACCTCAGGCCAAGAAGTGCTGACCAAGCCTGTCCGCGAGGAAAGAAGCAAGTTGCAAATGGACTGGCAGAACAGTCGGCGGTGTCGATCCTTCTCCGCTGCGTTTTAGGGGGCCTCTGGACTCCAGGACTCCGTCTAACGCACCGGTTGGAGCTCATTTTCAGCATGCCACTGAGACGGCACCCAGATACACGGACTCTGCCAAGCTGCTTCGTGCAGCTTCTCCCGATCCTTCTCCTCCTGATCCTCTTCAGGCACGGATCGATCTGGGCGCTCTCTAAATTGGAGGGCCCATACAAAGGGCCCAGAAGCTTCCAGGTTGACCAAAGGAGTTTTCATGGGTTCAGCCAGATGTCCTTCCTCTGCTGCATCTGGTGCTGAGCCTGGCCGTGCGCGAAAACCAGGGTGAACACATTTTTTTTGTTGTACCAAAGCTAGCCCAAATGAGCACGGGACAGATCGACGGCCCCCTCCCGCCGTTTTCTTCTGCTTCGTGTTGCGACACGTCTCACAGCTGGGCTGCCATCAGGTCCCCTGCGAAACCTGGAAACTACCGCTAAACCCAAGCAAGGCGAAAGACCTAAGGGGATGGCAGGGAAACAGCAAGACCTGTCTCGATCCTATGCCAATGGTCTGTTTCCCGAAGGCACCGCTCATTCTGATACGATGATCGGGTAAAGCAGAAGGTCCTCTTGGCCATGGGAAGTCATTATTCCTGAAGGAAACCAAGAGGACTGTGCATGCAGAAATGCGGGCAACGTGACACTCAGGCACCCACATCCCCCTATGGCAGTGAGTCATCTTCTCGACAGCGAGTCTCAGCAAGCCGCAGTTTGATTTTCCTGTCCGAATTTCCAGCGCACGGCGCAATACGGAAACAACCCTTGATGTTCAAAACGTGTCTGGTTTCATGCCGGCTTTTAAACACTGTCCCCAGAAGGGCCTTTACCTGGAGCCTCAGCACATCCTGGTCTTGGCGCAACTCCCTCCCTAAATAAGCTCGGAAAACTACACCAACTTTGGCATTTCAACCGGAGCCTCTCAGGCCCTCCTCACATCCACCGCTTTGGAAAGCTTTACGAAATGGACACCCAAGACACCCAGAGGGGCTCAAATACCGATGCTTCTATTTGTGACATGGATCCAAAGGAACCCCGAGTTTCAGACACCTGCAGCAAACCCAACTTCGGCGTTCCCCCAACGCGGCCTTAGCTGCATACGCTTTCGCGACAGCTTCTCTCTGTGCCTGGAGCGGGTTGATGAAGACGCAATCCGAGCGAGACCTGCCACCCTTTTACGACACCACAAGTGTCTGCTTGGGTGCTTGGGCGGTCGACTGGTTGCTCTTTCAAGTCTTGTGCATGGGCTTGTTGTCAGAACGCGTGCTTCTTAATGCCGTTTATGCAGGTAACTGTGTGGTGTGCAAGTGCGTTTGCGTTGCGTTGGTGCGTGTGTGTGTGTGTGTGGGTGGGTGGGTGGGTGTGTGTGGGTGTGTGGGTGTGTGCGTGTGCGCGTGTGCGCGCGTGCGTGTGCGCGTGCGTGTGTTGTGCAGTGCGCGCCGTGTGTGTGCGCGTGCGTGCGTGTGCGAGCGTTGCGTGCGTGCGTGCGTGCGTGCGTGCGTGCGTGCGTGCGTGCGTGCGTGCGTGCGTGCGTGCGTGCGTGTGCGTGCGTGCGTGCGTGGGTGGGTGGGTGGGTGTGTGTGTGTGTGTGTGTGTGTGGCGTGCACGTGCACGTGCGCGTGTGTGCGTGTGGTGCGGGCGGGCGTGCGTGCGTGCGTGCGTGCGTGCGTGCGTGCGTGCGTGGGTGGGTGTGTGTGTGTGTGTGTGTGTCTGTGTTTCTTTCTCTCTCTCTCTCTGTCTGTCTGTCTGTCTGTCTGTCTGTCTGTCTGTCTGTCTGTCTGTCTGTCTGTCTGTCTGTCTGTCTGTCTGTCTGTCTCTCTCTCTGTCTGTCTCTGTCTGTCTGTCTGTCTGTCTGTCTGTCTGTCAGTCAGTCAGCCAGTCAGTCAGTCAGTCAGTCAGTCAGTGTGTGTGTGTGTGTGTTTGTTTCTTTGTTTCTTTGTTTCTTTGTTTGTTTGTTTGCGTGTGTGTGTGTTGTTTAGCATCGTTGCTGAAGCGTCTTCGTGTCTTGCCGTCCTGTCGTGATGCTTGCGCGCGCATGCTTGCATGCGGCGGCATTGTTTGAGACCTTCCACCAGGTTGTGGTGCACGCTGACCCGTTGGGAAGTCACACAGCAATTGCAATGCGCAAGTTCATTCCACCTGGGGGCCATGGGCTGTTGCCCAGCCTTCTCTTGAACATGACAGCGCCAGGACAAGTGCTTGTCCAGGACAGCATGAATGAGCCGACTTAACACGTTCAGCATGATTTGGATCAAAGTGCGCCTCCATAGTTATCAGCGCTGGCCGTCTGTTTTCAACATCTACTTCACTAGGCCGTGACCAAGGGTTCATGAGACTCAGCTCGTATTTCTTGACAAAACTAATGCTCGAAACATTTAACACAGCGGCAACAACCACGAGTGTCCGTTAAAGCCCATACACAGTGTATCTTCAACCTCCATCATGGACCATTTGGTGGGTTGACAAAATGCTGAACCTCTTGGGAACAAGGGAAACTATTGAATGGTATTTGAAAGGGATACTGAGATAACGCGTTCCCACTTGTTGCGCCCCTCTTGTTGGAGACACCCACTTTACTGGTCCAGCGCGTTCATCAAAGACATCTGGATCTTGACTGAGTCAAAGGCCTCATGGTTTCTGGGCGCCTTTTTGGTGGCTGTTGCCCGCCTTCACGACCTTCGAAAGGGTGTCACAAAATTGAGGACCAGCCTTGGGCGCTGGAATGAACATATGCCCACGCTGGGGACTGCATTTTTTCGAATGCTTCCGGGGAGTTGGGGGTCCAACCCGAGGCAGCCTCCGCATGCATGCGCTTCTTCTTGGCAGCTTTCCTCCGGGCCAGGTCCTGGGCACAGGCTCGAATGCAGTCGCGCACTGGCTCGAGACAGCTTGAAGGCTTCCCCTGTCACAACCCAGAGAAGTGATAGCTTGAATCAGGCGTTGGAAGCGGTAAGTGGGAAGTCCGCGAGATCAAAAGTCTTTGACATTTGGAACCTGCTTCAGCAGGTCTTCATGGGTGTTCTTTGAAGGGCCTGGCCCAGTTCAAACACAGATTGAGATTCAATCCGAATCACCACTTGCCGACAGCAGGCAAAGGCAGGAAATCAAGGGTGTAAGTTAAGGTGCTGCACATCTCCTTGCACAAGGGATTGGGGTCTGCAAATATGTAAGCGTACAAACATGCCGCCTGGAAGCCCGAGCCAAACCTTTGCGAATACACACATCTCTTTCGAGGACTCCTTCTCGAATCTTTCGCATCCAGACACACTGGCAGTGCAATGGTCCTCCACCTACATCGAAGAAGGACCTCTTGCCACATAAGGAAACTCACTATCTAGGTCCTGCAGTAGAGAGGTTAGAACAAGCCTACCCTCTTTTCTGTAGTCTTTAGTAGGGGAACCCTCCCCCCAAAAAGAAACGGGCGAGAAGGGGCACCAATTGCTGGGGTACGCTGTGGGTGGGCTACTGGACCTAGAAAAGGTGCGGTTTCTGTTTGTCCCAAAGTCAGCGCGCCGATCCACGGCCGTTAGAGCCATGTCCTCGAGCATGGCCTTCTCTTTGGCTGCCAGCTCCTGGCGGCTTTTTTCTCGGTCTCCCTGCGCGATGCTGTGCGCGAAATGGGAAACCTGGTTGGTCAGATGTGGACCAGCGCGAAGCGAGAATAGTGCGATGCATGACACATATGTACCTGGAATTACACAATGTAGGTAGTAGACAGAGTAAACGAAGAGATGGAGGCAAAGAGAGAGAGAGAGGTAAAGAGTTCAAGTCGTCCTGAGACAGAGTCTGAGACCAAACAAGGTCATTGCCGCAACTTGACGGTGCAACATTGCTCGGTGTGCATGTGAGGGCCATTTCTGGGCTACATTTGAAAGGCCAATGGCCAGCAAAAAACAAAACCCGACCCATTTGGAGGGTTCACAGTCCTCGAAACACCGCGCGCCAAAAACGCAACGACGGCTCCGTCCTTGGCCGCTTGTTCCCGGTAGTCCGAGAGGTCGATGTCTCCCTCTTCCTCCATGGCCTGCCAAATGGTAAACCGATCCTCCCGGATCACATAGGGCACAGCCCCTCAACAAACGTGGCCATGGGTCAAAATGCCGTATCCCCAGTGAACATCCCAATCCCCACTAAAATAGACTAAAATGGGTGGTGCTCCAACCCTAAAATGGAACCATTGGTTTTGACCCACAGCCACATCGAGCCTAGGGAACCTTCTTTGACTGAACGTTTAGAGGGCAACCCGCCAAGCGAAATGAAATCCTGAGGGTGGAACCACTCGACTGGGAACAGCAGGTACAAACCAACAAACAAAAACAATCCAAGGGAAATGCCAGTCTAATTGGCATCGTCAGCTTTCACCAATGTGACAGGATGTAATGCACCTCTGCGGTCTCACAGAACCGGTCGCATCTTCCGCTTAAACTTGCTTGCACCCCGAACAGTCACCAGCTCCTTCTGCAGATTGAGAAGGAACCCTACTCAGGAAGCGAGTACAGGTGTCCTTTTGATCGGTTGGTTTGGTTTTGTTCATAGATGGGTTCCACTTGTTTAGATTGGCGTCATGCCCCGTGTACCAGGGGAACCCATCTATTTTTCGCAACACCCAATGCTGGATCCCTCTGTCAAAAGGTGCTCACCCCGAAGTGGGATGCACAGTGATCTCTACCGCCGCCTTCCTTTCTGAACGGGCGAATTCAGTGAACCCCGAAGTGAGCAATTATACTGTTAGTCACCCCGTGTCACGACAAAACACACTTTCCTCTAATTGGTGGGTTGGAGGTTGTGGTTGTGGTTTCCAGCTTACCCTCCCATCAGCTAGCATGGAAGTGCACAGACCCCTGTAGAAAGACCACTTTCCTCTTGGAAAGAGGCTTTTTACACTCTCATGTGAATTGGTGGGAGGGTACCCTCTACAAGCCATCCTTGGTATTCTCCACGCAATCCCTCGATCTCGCACCTCCTCCGGCCCACACAGCACCGCCAGCACGTCCCGCGGTGTCGGCCTAACAACCGGTCCCGGTAATCCGAGCGTTTTTGCCAAAGCAAGTTCCTTCTGTTTTCATCCGGGGTTCACATGATACAAGCAGGTATTTGGAGTACCTCAAGTACTCTGATCCTTGGTGATGCCCCTTGCTGACCCTGCTTCAGATGCCTTTTGGGGGTTGATTGGTCAAGTCACAACATGTAACCATGGAGCTTTGACGCTGACCAGAAACTCACGAATGATTGAACCATGTGATTTTGGGATCGGGTCGATGATGCCATGTGTAGTGGGAATTCCCACGCTATCAAAATGATTGATTTTACCACTCTGGACCCCTCTGCAAGGGCACAGAATGAGGCTCGAAAACGGGCCTTCCCGCGCACATGCGTATCATATATATATATATATATGTATATTGGATATTGTAGGTGTGCCTCACAATAGAATTCGGCCCCTACTTTGGTAAAAGTTTCCGTTCGTTGCCCACCGCAAGGGGCCAGGCTGGCATTTGGGCTCGACTCTGAGGGCCCGAGCTTCACCGCGTTGAACTTGAGCCTCAGACCATGGACCCTCCCACCAAAAGCGTGGGCTCTTCTCGGGTTTCCCAATAAAACCGATGGAATGCATGGAACGCAAGAAACAAACAAAATGACCCAGCTCTGCAAAGAACAAACAGTAGTTGAAGCTTCTATTGGGGGCTTGGGGAAAGGACCAAGCACTGTGGCGTTCCATTTGCAGAGCTGCCCTAGTTCGGCCGTTCCTACATCAGGGTGGGCCAAAGCCCCGGCATCCCACTAAGCTGGTTTCGAGGATTAAAATTCGGATTCCGGATTTGGAAGTGAACAGAACTGATCCTGGAACTGCGGCAGTCTGTTTTGTGCTGAGTCCCTTTTCGGATTGGCTTACGCTTTGCAACCCAAAGGTCCATTTCGAGGCTAGAAAAACCTGGGGCCCCCAGCTGTCCACCCACACGAAGTGGCTCGAACTGGCAAGACCATTCGCATCGATACCGCAAGCGGTCGGAGTTGAGAGCCAAGGGACTCACTAGCGTCTCTTCCACGGGTTCGAAACCATGAAGACTATAGAGGCACCAAGCATGTGCGCCAAAAGCGGCCAAAAGGGTAAAAATTGGTTCTGAATTTGGTTCTGAATTTGGTTCTTACTTGGATCTAAATTTGGTTCTGTTTCTGGGGGTTAAAGTCAGAAACTGGGACAGCCTCCAAAGTTAGAGACACTGCACACGCCGAAGCAAGCCCGAGATAATGAGAAGCTGGGTGCTTCCGCAACACATCGGGAAGCACTCTTGTGGACATTAACCGACAACAACAACAGTTGCGGAAGTGCCATAGATTTCCTTTTGCCGCCTCCAGTCTGCCGGAAACATGACACCAAGAATCTGAAGAGGTCTCGCGTCTCTTCCAAGGGTTCCAAGCAATCAGGAAGAGGTGCATGCAACTTTTCCGGTCCAAGGGGACCCTTCTGCTTTGCTTTCAGCCGGATTCTATCTCCCACCTTCATGGGATCGATCTGATTGCCATTCCTTGGAGTCCGCAAGCGCACGCCACTGAGAAATGAGTGGACAGCAAGCTCACCCATCGAGACATGGGGGGGTTCTTCAAGACTTTGAATTTTGGAGGACGTCCCAAAAGGTGTTTTGGACTTGTTTTGCATTTTCTCAAAAGTACCCAAGGAGTTTTGGCATCTTTCTCAACGAAAAAGATTCGTTACCAAGAGAAGCGACCCCACGGGCAGCAAGTGAGGTTCTTGCAGCGAAGGCTCACTACAGTGCCATGAGAGCTCTTGAGATCGTAGACATAGATCTCTGGCGAATTCTCCTGCGCAGTGTGCCCCCTACGCCCGCCCCCTAACTCAGCTTTGGTTGACCCTGGATTCATCGACAGGGGGGGGCTTTGCCCCTGCCAAGTCGAAGGATCTCCCACCGATTCGCACCGCAGACCGAATCGATCAATCCTGGATCAAGCACGTTGTTCAATAAGCACCCTGTGGCCTGTGGCAAGCTGCACACAAAAACGAATGGCCGTAAGTGACCATCTTGGATCCTCGGAGAACCTGAAATTGTACACCAAACAACTCAAGAACCTGGGCGATGGCATGTCTCTTCCAGCGGGTCCTTGCAAATGAGATCCTTAGCCTCAAATGGAGTTCCTTAAACATCTGGACGTGAGAGGGCGCTAACCGGCTACCTGAAAGGCTGGGGCTACACAACATGATGATCCAGTTTTGGACGCCCCACACTGGGTCGCCAAATGGCCCTGATTTCGGTCTCACATGATTGTCCTTTTGGTAAAATAGATGCATCTTCCTGGTGATTGGGGAAGATGACACCAATCTAAACCAGTGGAACCCATCTAACCAAACCAACCTGGACTGTCCCCCAACGCTTGGCGTTCTCATCGCTCATTCCACGCCTTGCACTGCAGAATGCAATGGTAGCGTGAGGCCATCTTCCTGAGGTTTGCGGTGATCATCTGTCATTGGGCGACTCACCGTGCGCCATGTGGGTATGGGTCAAAATTAAACCACCAGGAATTGGACCACAGGTTTTAGCCATTGTTTTCATTTACCAGGGTGATTTTGGGTACCTATTTTTGACCCGCAGCCTTTTGTTGGAATAACCTCCTCTTGGTTTCCCAAGGGGATCAATCGCTTTGAACAAGCAAAAGTTGCCCGAGCTGTGCAAAGCATGATTGTTGACATCTGGAACCGTTTGTCAACGCCTCCAAGCAAGCGGGGCTTACATGACACTTGTGGATGCTTTGCGATGTCTGCGCAAAAAAAGAAAGCAGGTCCTAGCAAACACTGGAACGCCCTTCCAATGAATCCCATCATCAGATTACCTTTCAGGGCCTCTAAGACAGACCCCAGATGACTGGTGCTGTGGCCAACGCTGTTATTGATGGCGACTCTTGGCAGCTCACATTTGAGGATCTTGGACGATGTTGGTGCTTTCAATGAGGTTGCTTCAAATCCAGTTGCACTGGCAGCGATCTCATGTTCTCTGTTGAAACCGTCGAGAAGGGTCCCCTTGTTTGGACAGCACCACAAGCAACACCAGTAATTTCAACCGATGCTTCGGGAATTTGGCTTCCACACATTTGCGAAGGATTTTGGCTCCGCCAGAAGCTCCTCACGATCTTGGGAAGACATTTGACCCTGAAGAGTCCATTGAGCGGACCCTTGCAGCCCGGGCAAAAAAGGGAGCCGTCGCATAGGTGCATGGCCAGGCAGCTGGAATCTCCAAGAGGAGCGCTCACAAAAGCCTCCAACACCGTTTCAAAATACCGGGAATCCCGAAAAAATCCCCACCCAAAATCCCCAAAATGGGTGGTTTCCCTTGAAACACCCCTCCAAAATCGGTACGAAATATGACATGCCATGACCTTCGGCTATAGCCGGGCGGCTCAAGGCCCTCCAGCACCACGTCGCAGTTCTTCTCGCGGCCTGAGATGCGTCAGAACTTGGGCTTCAAACTTTCTTCCCGGCAGTTCGTTTTGCGATGCGATGGCTCACCCAAATCGTACCCCAGTGACCATCCCAATCCAACAATCCAACCACTAAGATAGACTAAAATGGGTGGTCCACCTACCCCAAAAGGGAACCATCGCAGCCATGTGTTGCAACATCTGAATTAGTTCCACGTGGGTTTAACTGGTCAAACATCTTCATGTTTCCTGTCTTCATGGCTTGTTTCTCTGATTTCTGGCAAATACGTTATAGCTATTCTTGATTGTGATGTGTTGCAAAGGCTGATTTGATCCAAATGGTGTATCGTTGTTATGTTCATTGAAGCCAAAACTATCGCCCTCCTTCCCAGGAACCTTCAACCCACCACAAGCTCGCTTTGAAGCTTTGAGCGGACAATTGCTTTCCACACTATATTCGCAATGTCTTGGTTTAAGGGTACCCTTGTTGCTTGCTTTCCTTTTGTGAAATAATGCGGCTTCCTTCTGGGATGCCTCTTTTGAGGGTTCATGACAAGAACTTGAGACACACTGGGTCTTTGGTTTGACAATAGCATTTCAAATTGGAAATGGTGACAAATTTCATCAAGGCTCACTTGCCAAGCCCAAGACATGTGCAACTTCAAATTGGAAAACAAGACTCACTTGCCAAGCATCCAATTTGAGTGAATTCTAAGTATGACAATTTCTTTGTCGACCACCTAAGGCAAACTTGGGTTGGTTCCTGCTCGCACCCCCGGCTTCGCATGTTTGCACCAACAACCCGGTTAGGGCAGCTTCTCTGGTTGGCCGGGTTTTCCATTTAATCAAGCCGCGCGGCGTGCGGTTCGCTCCCTGTTGAACCCACAGTCTGTATCGGGTATGGCGAGTCCCAATGTCATCTCCTCCGTAGATGGGGCTTATGTTGCCCGATATCCGAAGTCTATCCAAACCAGTAGTTTAAGGCGCAGAGTTCACTGCCTACAACCACGTGGGTTTTCAGCAGGGAAGCAGGCTTCACAAGGGGCTCACTTTTGGTGTGCAACATAGCCTCTTTCCGTGACACATCCTCTCATCCCCGGCAAAATGTCACTGTCAAGGGGGTTCCCTTGGCCACAGAAAGTGGCGGCCTTTTTGCCGCATTCTCACAACCATCTGGGTGAATAGTCACACTTCGCCCGGTTATCTTGCCCAAGGTTACAAACGAAGCCCGTTTTGCAAGGTCCTCAACTTCGCCAGGGGAAGCCTGGCCAAGGTATCCCCGAGGCCAAGCACAAATACAGCTGCCCTTGACTCTGCCATGGGGATCCCAAAGCTTGGTTTCTGTTGACCCCTCTGCAAAAAGTTTAACTGTTTGTGAGTTTAATAGAAACCACCTTGATTTCCCAAAAAGTTAAAGTCCAAAGATCCAACCCAAGAGCAATCAAGACAAAAAGGACCGCGGGTCAGAATTCGTCGCGTGGAATCGCCCGACACCCCAGCACGCTTCCGCGTCTGAGGCGGGCGCCTACCAGAAAGGCGTCATGCTGCTGCACATCCAGCTCCACCCTCTGGCGCACCTGGCGCGCGCGCGGCAGAACGCTTGCGCCCCAATGAGGGGCGGTGCAAGGAGGAAAAAGGAAAAGCCAAACCGGGAGACCCCCTGCCCACCACTCCCCTGTCGGACCATTTTTTGGGGTACACGTTTTGGGGTTGGCTGGAATGGATACCCAAGGCAACACGATCCAATTTGGGGGGTTTCTGGGACTGCGTCGAAATGAGAGAGGCCGAACCTGCTTGGACTAAGTCAATCCCACAACGTTCCAGGCTTGGGGCCTGGGTTGAAACATGGCGGCATCTGCTGGAGGGGTAAAGCTGGATAGGTCCGGCGTTGAATTTCTGTTCTGATGGCGAGGCCCGCCTGTCTTGCCTAGCACATGGCGGGGTCCCAAACAAAACTCCTTTGCAGATTCCATGCGCGGGTGATCAAACGGGCCTTTGCAAACACTGTTTGCCCTTGCCCCCCCTTTTCGGAAAACAAAGAACAACAGTTGGGCTTTCTTGTGGTATATGCAAGTAAACAAATATGTTGCAGCACCCAGAATTCCTCCGCAAAAGATGTCCACCATGCGAAACAAACCAAGGATCAAAGGATCAGCTCGGGCTAACAAACTCAAACGACCCCCCCCCTCTCCCCCGTCATTCCAATCCATGTACCTCATTTGTTGCTTCTAAATGTACTTTTGTTTCCCGCTTTTTTGCTGAGATCGTTGTGAAACGCTCCCTTACGACGCATCCCTGGCACCCGACTGCGGGGCCCTTCGGGGCTCGCCTCGCCAGCCACGATGAGCTCCAAAGACAAGTTGGAGAGCGAGGGCTTCCCAGCCCAGCTGGGCTTCTGGTAGTCCGGGCCCCTGAATCACCGCAGGCGCCACGTTTGGAGGTTTCAAAAAGGGAAATGGCTCGGACACCCTAATTCACACTTGATCACTCCCTATCCCTGGCCTCCTGCCGCTGTTTTCCTTTAAGACTTTCCCCTTTTCACAGTTTCGGTCTCCCAAGCAGAGATTCCCCAAAAAATATGCTAAGCTGGCTCCATGTTAATCTGACGGGGAGTAAAGGAAGGGGGTTGGTGGACCAAGCAATCAGAAAAGGGATGGCATATCCAAGCATTGTCTTCCTCTGGGGCGCCCGGCCCTGTCATTGGTGCCGCGGCCATGTCAGATACCTTGGCGGGACGATGACTGGAGATCCCCACCGCGACAGCCGTGAAGGACCGGCGATGCATTTTCATGGTTGCACCGCTCACTGGAAATGGTGGTTCACCACATCGGCACGTGTTCATCGCCAGTGAAGAAAGGGGCCAATCGATTCACATTCCCTGCTGTTCAGGTTGATGTCAAGGATTCGCCCTTTGGCGTGAAAATCGTTGAAGCAATCAATCAGGAAGCAGGGCGCAGCATCAAACAAGCAATCAGTGGGGAAGAAGACTTGGTTGACGTTGCAAGGGGAGCAACAATTTAAATTTTAGCAGTTAAGTGGGGATTTCCCCCCCCCAACAACAACCATGCAGACATCCTACTGACAACTAGCAGGCTTTGCAGCCAAGCCGCAAAGTCGGCGGGCCGAGAGCATGGGCAAAGCAAGGTGTTCTGCTTGTGCGTGCCAGCAATTGCTTGCTTGATGGCTGTTCAGACAGAAACAAGTCACAGGCACTCGGTTAGTGGACTATGTTTTGATATGTCCGGCTTTCCGAAATCTGAGGCCTTCATCCAACACCTTCACAACCATCTTCACATCCAAAGGAATTCACATAGTGACGCGGATTGTGTCTGTTGGCTTAAGTCTAGTTACGCCAAGTGGCAACACAGCTTGTCCCCGCAGGGGCCACTTGCGTGTGCTTTGTGCTTTCCAGGAGCTGAACAACGGCTTGTTCTTCACTGGGTAGCAACACGGGGGTCTGGAAAAATCAGTCATATCCATCACCTGTGGCTGCTAATTTCCTCAGTATGTGCTGCCAATTTCAGGCAATGCGCTCTCGACAGCGAAAAGCGGCTCCGGCACAAGGCATGGTGCACACAAGCTGGTAAGTGCTGTCCTGAAACCCGAACACCTTTAGTACGGCGTCTGTTCCACAACTAATGTTTCTACGAGTCAAGAAGAGCAGGGGTGAGGAACTATACAATAGGAACGCTGCAGCTGAACGCAACACAAACACACATGAGTAGTTTTTGCGCAGGCAGTCCTACCTAAGAAGGGTGTTATGTTTCGAGGCCCTAGGTACACCTAATTCCAGTGACCTCTTCAAGAACCCACCAGGATTCAATCGCCCTTGGTGTGAGTTGACTGCACTATGCCCCGGCCAATCCACTCGTCCACTCCGAAAGTGCAAGCGCACGTTTCTTCGCCCGCACGCTGGGCAAGCCGTGTTTGGAGCGGACCTCTGGTGACGGGCTGCCTCCAGAGCCATCAGGGCAGCAACAGCCCAATCCCTTTCGCACCATCCAAAGGAAGGGTCCCCATTTCGAGGCGAGTCGTTAAACATTTCGGGTAAGGAGTGGCAAGGCAGCAGAATCAGCTGCAATATACACATCCGGACTGAGGACGCGGCATTTGAGCAAATCTCATGGCAAACAATAGAAACGTTCTTTGCTGGAGTGAGTCTCATTTCATACACGTATCTATATCTCAATTTAGTTAGGATGTCTACCAGATAAGCTGGAGCGAAGCTGGATGATGGAAGTTGTTGAAAGAAAGAAGCGCCTATAGGAAGTTTTTGATTTTGTGAAACCCAACATGGCTGCCCCACCTTCGTCCGTTTCCACAGCGAGAGCAGCAAAGGGTTGACCGAGGAGTTTGCAGATTCGCGCGGCGCAGCAGCGAGAGCGCCTCGACGCGCACGATTGCCGCAGAGGATACATCGGGTGAAGCACGCCGATGCAGTGCTCGCGACCGTGCCACGGGCAACTTTCCGAACCCATGGCGAACTCATGCGCTGCACAGAGGTAGCCTTCGAGACTCTGTGACGTTTGCTCTTTTAGCATTGAATTTTTGCTTCCTCTGGATCAACTTTTCGTATTGCGAAAGTTTCTATTCCAAGAAGGAAACGTGTCATATGTATATACACATATAAATATATGTATGATTCATTGATACTCCAGCATGGAATTGATTCGCCCAAATGCCTTCTCTGTCCCGTCGCACTGCCTTCTCCTCGTCTCACCTCGGAGAGAGGCGGGCAACGTGTTGGGGGGGATGGCTGCTAGCGGCTACCTTTCCTGAACTGGATGTAGGTAAACTCTGAATAAAGGACCTTCAAGCCATTATGGTGAGCTGAGACCCCCAGCTGAGCTCGATATATATATATATACATATTCATTCTGAGAGGGAGCCCTGAAACAGATGCGCGATGTCAAAGGCAGCATGCGAAAACCCTACCGTGAGGGTGCAATTTAGGAGAATCACCCATAGTGAAAATGTTCTGCCTGACAAGCCTTCAACTTCTGCAAAGGTGATGCTCAGCTGTGAGGCTGAATGCGACTGCCGCTGGTTAAACACACATGTAATGTGGAATGCTTTTCAAGTATTGCTCAAGTCGTGCATTCCTACCATTCATGGCAGGGCAGGGATCCCTCTTTCCAAACAATTGCCACCAACATGAATAGTGAATGAACCTGAGGACTCTCGATTTCCATCCGTTGTCTGAACACCTCATGGTAACTAGGCCAAGCATCTTCACTTTTTACTTGGGATCTTCGCATGCTTTGCATAGCTTCATGAATCCTAGCTCGCCATCTCTCAGATCGTCTCAGTGGTTCCTCCAGGATGGATCCCTGTCATCCAATGACCCGCTGGCAAAGGGACCCGCCCCAAAAGCCAAAAAGCCGAGGCGCTTCGTCAGCAGGGTGGGATACTTGCCCCGCTGCATGGGAGGCTCCAGGCCGTTCCGCGCAGCGTTGAGGTTGCTGAGCGTCGTGTGGCAGATGCTCAGCAAGGCCTCCCTGGTGAAGAAGGCCTAGATGCCCAGGGGCCATGGGCAAAAGAAGGGCATCCGTTTTTGGCCGGTTGAGTTCAAAGAAAAACCCTGCCCCCAAAAAGGGAAAAACGGGCGCCACTGGGCAACAAAGGAATGGTTGTTCATGGCCTCTTGCGACTCTGCTTGAACCTTGATTGCAATTGTCTCAATGACTCCACGTAAACAAACTGCATGGCTTTGTTGCACCGTGCGCTCGAAGTTTAAGCTTAGGTCGTTTCGTTCAAGAACAAACGCGCTTGACTGCTTGGCCCCGCAGCGCACACGGCTGAAATGGCAACATGTCAATTGCGAGGCTGCTCCTGCTTGTGGGTGTTGAAAGGGTTTCTGCGAAAGGTGAAACATATTCATCCCTTCACGGCTTTGTTCAGGGGAAATCAAGTGTAACACAAATAACAAGTTTCAACTGTGGTCCCCTCCACAGGTTCCCTATGCTCTCTCCGAACCCCAAACAATCAGATAGTAGCATCATCAACCAACGGGGTTCACATGTTGTTCTGCCCGAGTTGCGTGGTACTTGCTGAATTGATATCGGGTCCAACAATTACTTTGCCTAGGAACCTGGTTATATTGATAGTCCATGTGTAGGATGCATCTCTCGCAAAACAGATTCCTGTAACCTACTCAGCAACTGCAGAATTCAGACTGCGCGTTCCTGCTTCAGGTGTGAGTGATGTTCCCGGCTGAGAATTCAGAGCATTTTCAGGTTTCTCAGTTTACACCTGCCTGACGTTGTCAAACAACAAAATTATGAGGGTATGATCCCCAACATTGTAGTTGTCCTGTTGTTCTTCAAACCACGGTGAAAAGGGCTCTCTCAGAAAACACACACACACACATAGAGCTGTGCTTGAGCTCCTTCACAACTTCAGAAGCTCCGGGATATGCAACGTAACGAAGAAGACACATGAGCAGCAAGAAGATTCACGGGAAGCACAGGAAATCATGTTTCGGCCCCATTGGGGCAGGCAAGCCTCGCCCGGCCTCCCACGGCCGGCTTGGGATTGGTTGAACAAGGAACCAAAGGGTGGCCGATCTTCATCCTTGGCCTTCGCTTGCAGCCTAGGCAGTTGCCCAGCCCAGGAAGGGATCCGATTCGCTCTTTCTTTTTTGTTGCAGGGTCCCACCAAACAGAAAGGGATCTGAAAAAGATGAACCCCAACATTGTAGTGTTCTTTGTGTTTCTCTGAGCAACCAACCAGAACGGGGTCTGAAACCCACTGAGCCAACAAGCGCGCGTGCAATGACGGACCTGGTGGGCAGTGATGACCACGTTGTTGAAGCAGCTCAAGACGCTGAGCTCGTCATTGAGGAGCTGAGCAAGGCTCGTGTTCCGGGCCAAGCTGTGGTTTTTGGGGGGGTTCTCAAACAACTTTTTTTTCAAAGGGTTGTCTATTTGGGGGGTCCCCAACAATGATCTTTGATTCCTTTGGGGGTTCCCCAAAATGGCAATGGCTTCCTTTTTGCTTCCCTTTGAATACCAACCGAAACAGGGGATTTCTCCCCGCTGGACCAGGAACCATTGCTTCCATCGCTGCCTGAAACCCATGGATTGGTTCGTCCTCCACGTGAAGGGAGTAAAGCCAAGTAACATGGCCAACAAGGCTGAACGCTCATTTCCAGGCGCAAACAAACAACGTTTACCATGGCCGATTCCCCGCCAAAAACCCTAAGAAAAAAGTAAAACACTTTGCCTTCAGCAGAGGCAATATTTGGATTGTAACAAGCGATGCTTCCAAACGCGCCTGCCAGAAAGTAATTCAGTTTGCTGCGGCGAGGGGGTTGGCTGTGCAGAGATCGTTGGATCTCTCTAAGACTACCCACACCAGAAGGAAACTCACTTTCACACAACACAAACCAAAACGATGACGTTCATAACTTAAGAACATAGCCAAACCACGTCCAGCAGCCACTTTGTTGCTCCAGTTGTGGAAGAAGTACTCCTCCTCCTCCGCCAGCACATCCAAACCAGCTCCGCCCACGATGCCTCCACAAGTCTTGTGCAATGGGCCCACCTGTCAAACGATGCCTTGCCGCAACACCCCCAATCTGTCCAACAACACCGAACACACAAACAATAAACTCAACAACATGAGGACCATAGGTGCGGGGCAAGATAGCTAGAGGCCCCAAAAAAACCAAGCCCCCATAGGGCACCTAGTACCGAGTCTGTGTCATGCCTGTTCCAAGGGTCATGTTTCCTCTACCTCTCTACCAGCAGGTGATTCGCGCAACCTGGTCACAAGTCACTCAAGGCAACCAGCTCGCAAGTGTTCCCCATGCAAATCATAGTCCATAGGTGGCCTTTTGGAAAAATAGGTGGCCTTGGTAAATGGAATACACCCCATCTAAACCACGGCCCTCTATTTGTTAAGCAAACCAACCAAAAAGGACACCTATGTCATAGTCCTTTTGAGGACCCAAGAGACCTTATGTTTTGCAACTGGTCATTCAGAAGGTTACACCTAAGCACGTAAACGGGGAAATTTTACTCAGCAACCAGTGACCCAGCAGAAAAACAACAACCCTCTTTCAGCAAATCGTCGAACGACGAAGGAGCGGAATGCGCTAAACATGGGACTCCTCTTCGTCAGCAGAGGAGGATCAAAGAGTGAAGCGCTGCAACAACTCAATCAAAGGGCGCAAAACCCTCGACGCTCTTTCTACAAACATATCCGCCAAATAGCCCACTTAATTGGTGATGTCCACTATTTCTCCTTCTGATGTTTTGGACAAGGTGCTCCCAGAGTATCCATTTAAGGGTGGAATTAATCCACCCTGTTTCCCTGTTGGTGTTGTTTCGCCCTGAAAAGTCTGAACTTGTTCCTATTGTAGCTGTACCCTCATTTCCATCCTCTTCAGTGATCCTTCTCTTCACAAACTGGGCCGAACCCTGAAACATCGGTGGTTTCGAAAGAGAACGATGGGTGACGAGAATGGGAATCAAAGGATCAAACCTTAGACCATTTTAGACCTACTGTGGATGGACGAACTCCTGCACCACTTGGAAACCATGGGACACCCCTGTTGGTATTTTCTAGGGGAATCATCAGAAAACAGGGTTTCTGAGGTGGTGCGAGAAGCGGATTTCGTCCATCCACAGTATGGCTCTCCCCCGCCTTCCTGTAGGCCCTGGATGAGAGCTTTGGTGTCGATGAGGCCTCCGCGAGAGGTGTTCACCTGGGTTCGGCGGAAGAGGATGGCGTGTGTCTCGTGGAAATGCACCGCAAATCCACGGTATCCCCTGGGAAGTGGGAAGTGGGAAGTGGATTCTTTCGAAGGGTAAGTGGGAACCCCTGGTTCGTGTGGAGGGGACGTGGGAACCCCTGGCTCTTGTGGAAGGGTAAGTGGGACACCAGCCCGGAGACCACCAATTTCCAAACCACCCATTGGAGGAAAGCTGCACACATGGAAACTTCCCTTTGGAAAACCGATGAAAGCAAACCAACAAACGTCTTCCCGAAAACATCACACACACAATCCAAAGAAAACTGGATTAGCCCAGTCAAAATCAGGAGTCCGTTGCGGGATGCCCGAAAAATGGCACCAGGGTCTAAAAGGCCTGGGGATTGGGATAAATCCATGGTCTCCTTTGAGTTTCCCAAGACCGAGAAGAAGGGGTTCCAAAAACAAAACACAAGCACACACACAAACACACAACACACACACACACGCCGGGGATGGACAAAGCCCACTTCTCTCCAGTTGGTAGGTGGTTTGTCCCAGTATTTGTAGGGTTTTTTCATGCATCCCAAGCGATGCAGGATTTCGTCCAGCCACTGTGATCTGGGCGAAAGCAACACCCCAACAAGGCTATCCTCATCAAAGAAGACTCACTCACATGCATCACCAGCTGCATTTGCTCAAAGCTATGTTTGTTCCGGCATTTCCACTGGAACAAGGACCTCCCAATCTGGCTCTTCCGGTGATCTCCCTTCCGGATGCTTCACAATCTGACTCAGGGGAAGGTATCGATCAAAGCATCTTGAAATGGCTCCTTCAGGCCACTGAAACACCTGAGAGTCTGCCCTTCACAGGGGACTTCCATGCGTTCCTATTCTTGACGTGTCTAAACATGGGACTTTCGCTGGGATGTTCAAAGGAAGCTCAAAGGGAAAGCAACTGTTCTAGGAGTCCATACTTTGGTGAACATGATCTGCTCTATGTACCCTTGACCTAGCCCCAATTGCGCAATACACTCACTCTATCCCCCCCTCTCAGAGTTTCCGTGTCACCAAACCCGCCTAGCTAGGGAACCCATGACACTCTAAGACTCCCACGCTATAAACGGCATGACCATCGGACTAGAGGCTCTCTGGAGCTCCGCAGTTTCGACTGCCGACACCGAGCCAAAGTGCCTGGAAAGATCACAAGCGCCCCTTTGGTAACATGCTTGCCTTTTGGAAGGCACATGTCTCTTATGCACTTTGCGCAACATTTGATCCGCAACCATAGCACCCCAAACAGAAGGCGTTTGCGAGGCAGCAAACAAAAACTCCAATTCAGCCCAGACGCAATGATCACACCCCGCTTCATCTTCTGAATCGCCTCTGCGTTGATGATCCTCAGCAACAAGACCATAAAAACTGTGGCAGTGAAGAACATAAAACATAGCCAGTGTCCAGCTAAAGTACGGGACTCCACCGATGTGCTGACTCCATTGGCTTCGCCCTGAAATGATCTTGAAGCAATGCCTGAAGGCGAAAGTGAGAACAGGCATTTGAAGCCCAGCTGTGCAAAGTAAATAGGGATCCGTACAACGGTAATGTGAAGTTTCGCTTCTTAAATCGACTCCTACTCATCAAAGAAGGGGCTATCTTTCCTTTTGACCCTCCATTTCTTTGCACGACCAACAAATGGCTCCGGCCAGTAGTACATCGTCTGACGCTGTTGCCCGAGCCGCTTGTGCGTCTCTCGCAAGAGGGGCGCATGCAGAAGAATGATATCGCTCCGAGAGAAGATCTCCTCTTGCGACCTCGGCTTTTGGAGGCCCTTCGTCAAGGGCCAACTGGTTGTGCTCAACCACGGTGCCAGATTAGTATATAGCCCAATTGGTAAGTACGTTTATATATTTACACCCGCAGAACATGGATTTCTATGGCACCTTCAGCAGCGAAACTTACATCATAGAGCAACACAAAGCTCGCAAACTTACATCATCTTCCATCCCTTGAGGTCGCCATTGCTCTTGCCGAGAAGAAAACACTTAGAACCTGAGCGACTGGGTTCTGCTCGAACGGTCCCTTTCTGGGAGTCGTGCCTCTGGAACAAATATGGGTGTGTACTTTTCTGATGATACCCTGTTTTGGTGCTTGGGAAGGAAAGCCAAAATCGGAACCCCACCATTTTAGGGCGTCCCCTAAAGAAAGACACACCCAAACAGGTTCTTTCTATTTCTCCGAACCCTCCGAGGAATCTGCGAAACATGAGCTCATCGGAAGGCGCTCTCCTAGCCCGACTCAAATGGACACCCCCCCCAAGAAAAAACGGCTGAACGGCTCCGAGCGGTGTTCGGGCCCCATCCCGTGTCCGAGCCGTGCCAAGGAGCACATAGGCGATGCCCAAGCCATCTGGAGCTGCGTCCTGGCTCCGGATGGGAAACGAAACCCGGTGACGTGTGGAGGTGGAAACCGTGTGGGTGGATGGACAAATGAACGTGTGGGTGACGGTCAAAAATAGGCACTCAAAATGGGCTGCCCAGCCTGGTGAATGGAAACAAGGACTAAAACCTGTGGTCCTCTGGTGTTTCTCAAAATTGGGGATCGATTTCTCCAGGCAGGTGGCTTCCTTTTGGCTGTCCTTGACAAATCTCCAAAATGGGGTCTGCCATTTCGAGAAACCCCTATAACATGGATGGACGGACAAATTCCATTTCGCACCACCGAAGACACCCTTTAAGGATGTCCCCTCTAAAAATAGCCACAAAAACAATGGATTCAAACATGGTTTCAGTTGGTGGTGCGAATGTATTTCGTCCATCCGCTGTATGGGTGTAAAAATCTTAATTGGGAGGGGCCCTTTGGTAGACGTCAAAATTAAAAGAACAAGAACATGCCCACTTTGGAGAATCTGTCAAATCCATAGCCATAAAATACCGGGAAATGAGCTTCCTAATAGAGCACAAGCACCGTGACCTGGGACTGTCCAGTGAACTTGCCTATTGGTGGGAGAAGGGAATTCATATTCTTCCAATGATCAATGGATCATAGACCATGGTTGCTGAGTTATTCTTGTACTCCTGAGAAAAGAAACATCGGAAAGGACCTCCTGTTGCCATGTCATCTTGCAAAGCTCCAACCTCTCGATGCTATGCCGGCATCTACTCAAACGCGTCCCTGCACATTTAGCGGCTGTCCACAGCCAGGTGACACATGGCGGTGTTTTCTGAGGGTACCTTCCTCCGTTTGAAGGGCCTGAGGAACCATGCTTCAGGCCCGCCCCATTTGGACACACCACACCACCAGCCAAATCAAGACGTCGGCTCCTTGACTTTGGGGTTCTCCACCACATCATTGGCGATGACCTCACAGCCGTAGCCTGGCGCGTCACCACTTGGGTTTGGAGAAAAGAGGACTGGCTTCCTGGACACCAGTTTCCCATTTTTTAATGGACACAGGACGTCTCCGTTGACATAGCCTATGGCTACCCACCACTCCATGCCTCCACTTCCGCGCCTTGTTTGAAGATCCGCGCAGAGATGCTCCCAGTGAGGCCAGTGCCAATGATACCCACCTCAGGGCCAAGTGAATCCCGTTCCAACAAAGCCATCCGTGGAACAAACAAACACCGCCGCCCCACCCCGCCCCGCCGTGCCCCACCCACACACCCACAAACCCACAAACCCACACACCTAGACACACACTCACACAGCCATACGATCAAATGCTTTTCCGTAAAGCTGACACCCCACCTGATTTAGGATGATTAAGGCTCTTAAGCCAAAATTAGCTTGTCAAGAAATGGCGGTGCCAAAAAAAGTCATCGAGCCACACGTGTTGCCTCATGAACGCTGGGGGCTCACAAGCAATCACAGGCTACACAAAGGCAAGCGGAGTGAAATCGGCTTTAACCTAGGTGGCCTTCTCGACAAATAGATGGACATGATTTGAACCAAGCTGAAATCAGTGCCATGTATCTTCCAGCAAACCAAGCAACAAGGACACCCACCTATGGCTCAATCTCCCTTGTCAAGAAAAGCTGAACACCATGCTAGCCTTGGGAACCGCACTTTGGAACCAGGACTCTCCAGAAAACAGGATGCTGAAGGTACTTGCAGTGCCTTCTCCATGTTCCACCTCCATGTTCCACGGGGGAAGGCACAAGTGAGGACTCCTTTGCGATGTTTCCACACACGAAGCCAAGGGCGTCCTCATTCGACACAAGGCACCCCACGGCCCCCACAGCCCCCACGGCCCCCACGGCCCATCGACCCCGGCCGTCTTGCCGATCATGTCGAAGCCCAGCAAGCCGTTGAGCGCAAAGTTGCAGCGCCTGCGCCACTTGGCACCATTGAGAGGCACTGCCGATGCATCCGCTTGCCACCAGTGAGGCGAAGTATACCCTAGTATCCATGAGGTTTACCCAGGCACAGTGTGTCCGTCCACAGCATCTAACTTGACCGCTTGAACTTTGAACTGTGCTTCAAACACGACTGCTTATTTTTGGTTCCACTGGCTTTTGCGGCAACCATAAATCCTCACCAAGGCGTGCCAGTAAAAAAAAGGACACTTACTTCTGGTTACATGCAGTCAAGGACAAATCAGCATTCAATGGTCAGTACTGTGTCTTGTGTTTATCGCAACGCTGCAGTATCCCGATTCAAGGCCGCAAGGATTCGGATAATGATTTCGCAGAATGGGTAAGCACAACTCCCATGTGAAATAAACTTCATGACAGCCTAGCAAATTGTCGGATTCATACTGTATAAGTACCTGGCTGATGTGCCCGTAGCACCCTTTTTCCAAAAGTATAACGAGGGCAGACAAATTCTGCGGAACCTGTGCACCTCGAGGATCGCGGCGCGGTTCAGCTTGTCCGGGAAGGTCTGAACAACGCCAGAGCGCAAGGGCACAGGTGTGTAAGAAGCGTGCCGACATTGTCGGCTCGCCCGTGCATCGCGCGCCTATGTGTGCCGGCTACGCTCGGCACGACCGGTGTAGAGTGCAAAAGGCAAATTAAGGCATGCTTTGTGCCTTGCATTTGATCGTTAAATGGGTATGGGTCAAAATTAAGCCACCAGCGGACCGCAGGCTTTTTTTTGTCCTTGTTTCCATTTACCGAGGTTCCATTTTGGGTATTTTTGAACCACACCCGAAGATCTTTAAAGAATTCAGAGCTTGGCGGCCGGCTGTTCATCCAGGCTTTCCTGCGGACTGTCCCGTGGAGTGGCATTGCAAAAGTCGTCTCGGATCGCGTCGATGAGCGGCTTGCGGTCTGCCGGGATTTCAAAGCCCCGCCACTCCACGTAGCTCGCGCAAACGCGGCGGATCAGCCAGTCTCCGAAGCAGGGTCCCTCCTTGGCGTCCCCGGCGGAGGTGAGGCTCGGGTCTTCCAGCAGGCCCTTGGGGATGCGTGCCGTGTACTTGGGCTCCAGGAACATGGGGCTGGAGAAGCGTTCCCTGCCGATGTCCAGCACCCGGTGGAAGGTAGCCTTGAGTTGGTAGCCGCTGAGCCGCGCCAGCAGGTCGCCCACGTTCACCACCAGCGCGTTTTGGGGCGTCACCGCGCTGCGGTACTCGCCGTCCACAAAGACCTGGAGCCCCGGGAACCCGAAGGTGGCGAGGAAGGTGAGGAAGCCCGAGTCGGCGTGCTCCGGGGTGGTCAACTTGGACTCCTCCTGGTTGAGCACGGACGAGTCCACCAGGCCCGCGGAGCGCGGCAGATAGTGGATGGTGCGCATCGTGGTCAGCGACCCGTCCTCGTACCACGCGTCGAAGAAGCTGGACGGCTTGCCCAGACCCACCGCAAGCAGCGACATCACGCGACGCGCCACCTGGTACCAGGCCGCAAAGGTCGTCTCGAAGGTGCGTTCGATCCACTGCAGCTTCGCCTCGCCGGGGAAGGGAGTGACCTCGTACAGCGGCATCTGCTGCTCCTCAGCATTGATCTTGTCGAGCGATAGGCCCTGGTCAAAGAACTCCTTGTGCGAGGGGTCATTCGGCTTGAAGGGCTGGTACCCCCGGTACACGTTCTTGTTGCCGGCTTCGTCCTTCCGGAGGTACAGCGCGCGCTTCTCTTGCTCGGGCAGTGCGTGCAGCGCCTGGCACGCATCCATGTACGCCGCCTCGTCGTAGCCTGCGACGTTGGTCAGCACCAAGAACCCGATGCTGGACAGCTGCTGCATCAGCTCGCGCCGCACCTGGTCATCATCGCGGCCCAGGTCGATCACGTGCAGGTTCAGAAGCTCTCCTTCCTCGTTCCAGACTGCCTTTTCCTGGTGGCCCATCTCTTGCTGGCACTGCATCTTGGAAGGTCTCTCTGGATATCAACTACGTGTAAGCCTTGTGTTTGGACTCTGCCTACGATTGTTCTCTACAAGTCTTCTGGCAGGTTCCACGTTAGCGGTTGGAACGGTAAGTCATAGATCGAACACATGGATTGACTGCTTAGATGCTGGCTGCAAGGTGCAAGGAATGGATCGGAGAAGGAAAATGGTTGCTTACCAGCCTAATGCACTCTTGATGGCGCGACTGCGGTGCTGCAAATCTAACGACCACCTCCAACCTGCCGACAGCAAGCACAGCCAAGCCGAATCGCACTGCAACCAACCAGCGAAAATCATTCCACGCACTCAGCATCCTGAGCACCACCAAATCTGAAGATGGGCTGCCCTCAAAGCCCCTGCAAAAAGCCCCTAAAAGCCGAAAAAGCTAAGGGGATGGCTGGGAGCCACCAAGGATGTTCAGTCGTACCTCTTGAAACAGATCTCCCTCTGCCTCTTGTTGCCCCCCAGAAACGGGGGAAAACATGGGCATCTCCGAACTCTTGGCTTCGTCGCAAACATCTCCTTTGGGTGTTTTTTGGGGAGAACCCCGGGGCAACTGGCCATGCCGATCGAGGTTTGGTGGTTCGAAACCGGGTGTCAAGGAACGCCACGGAGAACTGGGCCATCAGCAGCCGAACAAAACCCATGAAGCGCAAAGAAACGGAGAAAAGGACAAGTCACTGGGCCCTTTTGAGCCAACCCTGGCCCGAAACCCGAAATTTCGGATCCCCAACTCAAAGGACCTGAATCACAGGTTTCTCTTTGTGACTTGCCAAGGTCGCCTCCAACAAAAAAGAACATCCGCCGAAGCCCTGGATCTTCCTCCCCCCCAACCTCCCCAGCGTCACGAAGCCGCGGCGCGCCTGGTGTTCTCCACCGCCTGGGGGATGCAGCGCACCACGGAGGCCACCAAGGCCGCCGCGTGCTCCGCCACTGCGCAGGTGCCTGGTTTCAGGTTTCGAGGCCGCAGGTGAAGTTGGTCACGACTTGACTAGCGGTACTTTAGCTTGTTGCTCCATGAAGAAGTGACGCCGTGCTGGTTGAATCACCAGAGAAACATAGTCAGCATGGGATATTTTTTTCAGGGGAGAACCTTTGCTCTAAAACCAAAGTCACCATAGAACCATTTGGGTGTCATCCGAAAACCAAACGACTACGACCAATTACGGAAGTTACCATGCTAATTTCTGCAGCCCCCAAGATAGCATGCGGCACTTTCCGGCGCCCCCTTAAAAATGAACAACTTATTGCTCCATGCATTTGGTCAGCGCTGGCAACTGGCAGAAAGTTAGACATTCGACCAACAGCTCCAACCAGTCAAACTCAAAAAGTGAAGGTTCCTTGCTGCTGGTTGGGAGCATTTTTTTGATTTTTTGCAGTTCAGTGGTTGAAATGTTGGATTTCAACCACTAAACCACAATAAGCAAAAACAAAATGTTTCCCACCAACAACCATGGACCACTCCACATGGAAAGCTCTAGATCCAGATCCAGCCAAGGCGCTGTACGCCGGGACGCGCGCCACTGCCACGCCTCCGCGTCGGACGACAGTCACCCCGTGATGGCAAAAACGGCCCATGCCCCATGACTTTCTCACTTTCATGGTCCCCTACTGGAACTGGCAATACCCTACTGCAACCATACAGAACCCTACTGGAACCGGCAAAGCCCGACTGGAACTGGCAAAACCAAACAAATGCTCAGAACTGGCACCCTTACTGCCAAAATTTGACATCAGATCTGGATCAACCAGGACCCACATCCGGTGTTTTCCCCTCGCCTTGCCACCCATTGCACACTGTGGATGGACAAAATCCTGCACCACTTTGAAACCACCGGACACCATTGTTGGTTGGTACTTTACAGGCGAATCATCAGAAAAGAGGGCTTCTGAGGTGGTGCGAAATGGATTCGTTTTATTATTTTTACATGTCTGGAACCTGCGCCCATTTCATCCAACGCGCGCCGCAAGCGCCTAGCCGCGCTGCAGCCTCCAGGTCCACGTTGTTGAAACCCGCGCAGCGGAGCGCCACCATCTTCACGCCCCCCTCCCTCAAGAGCTGCAAGACCCTCGGCCAGCCGGATCAAAGCACAGCTCGGGGAAAGGGCAACGCATATCACATGTCAAAAGGGTTCGGTTGCAGGAAAATCTACAGGAAATTGCCCAAACACCTTAAATAAGCTGTTTTTCCGGTAGACTTTCCTGTACTGTAACCCAGCCCTTTGAACATGTGGACATGTAGTTGCTATTTGCTTTTCTAATTTGTCTTTCGGGGCCCAAAAATGAGAAACTTTTGGGGTTGATGTGCAAACGGGTGCTGGCGAACAAGCAACCCCATGTTGTGGAAATTTCGGGCGTCGACTGTTTGCCATTCGATTCGTGTTTGGCCCCAGATGGCCGCATTTCAAAGCACCCAAGCTGTGACCAGAAGTTTTGCGCCAAGGCAACGCCACACAAAGCTCTCCCATGGTTTGGCCACGCACGCAACCACCAAACCGCTCGGCGAATATCCAAAGCCCTCGGGTTGGAAAGGGGCTGAACACATTCACTGAACCGGTGGCTATCATTTCTCACGTCCTGAGTGGATTGCCCAAAACAAGTCCAAGAACTTCTTAATCAAGTACCACCAAAATGGCTTTCCCAAAAAGTATAAAGTCCAAGTCACCCCAAAAGAAGTGAGCTGTACACAACGCCGAATGCTCGACAGTCATCTCTATGGCCGTCTACCTTCTGTGAACGGACAAATTCCTATAGGAAGTAGTTGGTCGTGTGCGTGTGTGTGTGTGTGCGCAGCCTCACTGCCCAAGTAGACCAGCACAAGCAAATCTTTCTCAACCCGCAGTGCAATTGGATCTCCAGGAACTGTGAAACGCCCACCCTGTGACACTGAATTCAAAAACCAAGGACCTAACCTAGCCCTAACTTAACCCTAACCCTAACCTAACCCTAACCTACCCTCTCCAAGGAACCTCCATCGAGCCAATTCAACGGATCCGAGCGCTGAGTGGGTGCCGAGGCGCGGAGCCGAGCAGTCATCGTGCACGAAGATGCACACAGCATCCGCACCTGGAGGTAGACCAAACGAGCCCCGGGCGCTTCATTTTAAGAGATCCGCCAAAAATGGCCTGAGCTTGATGTGGCTTTTTCCATGCTTTAAGGAAAACACCCCTCAGGTTGGCATAAGGGGTGGAGACAAACTCAAAACAAGCCAAACTTGATGGTTGACCCCTGACATGTTCTCTAGGACCCACTTGGCGCTGGACACCCAGACGGGTCTGTCAGAATGGGATGGTGGGAAACGGAAAGGAAACCAACCACGTGGAGAGGTATCTGATTTGACAAAGCACCTGTTCAAACGAAAGTACGCAGGAGAACCAGCTCTTAGAGATGTTTCTGTCATCCAACCCCATGAGTCTTCAACACGGACTGCCAATGCATCTGTGCTACGTCCAAAACTCCAACGGGACGTGCTGTGAAATTGTTCTGTAGGCACCTGCTCTAGTGTCCAATTTCTTCCCTCTAAAGATGGAAGGAGACCCCTTGCGGATGTTGTTTCGAGGACAAAAACAAAAACAACGCAACAACTGTCGAGGCGTTTGCACATTCGGACCACATGCCCCTCATTGCATGGCGGTTGGGATCAAGCGCATGGGCGCGGCTTCCAGGGTACGATGCTCCAATTTGGGCACAAAAATGGGGAACCCCCAAATTCGAATCCCCGCCTCGCACCAAGTCCACGGTGTCCAAACACAGCTGCGCGCTGTGGAAGCAGAAGGTGAAGTTCCCCCCGAAATCCTCTCGGATTTCAAAATGAGCCGTTGCAAAGCCACAAACTCCGAATGTTGGCCATTCGAGAAGTTCGCATGGGGGTGTCTTTTTGTTCGGGGACCCACAAAATGGCTTTGGTTCTCCTTTCGGCTTCCCTGTAAAACCAACCAAAAAGGGGTCCCTCAAGAAAGACACACCCACATGCCAATATGACACCACACTTGTGCTATGGTCAACACTCGTGGTGTGAGGCGTGGAAATGCTTCCCTTACAAGGAGCCATCTAACAGCTTCCACAGCGGTTGACCATCTCTGCTAGCCCCAAGAGCAAGGGGGCCAGAGTCACATGCCCAAGAGGCCTGAAAACAAAAAGTTAACGGTTAACCTTTAAAATCGTGTCAAGTAGACCTACACAGGAAATGAAAAGGTGGATTCGATGTGGTGAAGCAAACTACCATGGCAAACAACTTAATACAACATCATGCGGATGTTGGGCTGCATCTGGCCACCTGGTCGGCCAACACCTGGTCAACAGTCTGACAATTGTCTGTACATTCAAGCGCGGTGTCAACTCAACTTGGTGTTTTGCTTGCCCTTGAGGTGCAGCAGAAATCTAAAGCAAAGCAACAGTTTGGGGGTGGTGCTCTATGCTTTTGGATTGGTGTTCCATCTGGCACCTGAGTTGGTCAGGTTGAACCGGTCGGCTTAAGTCACTGCTGGTGGTTTCGGCATACACACCCAGGTGTCAACCTGACCTTCTCTCTCCCTTCAAGCATCACCCCTTCGAGGAAAAACTCACTTTCCACCGAAAAGTGATTCCCTCTAAGACTCTAAGGTAACCTAAGAAAAACCCATGCTTTTTCCTTGCGGCTCCCCTTTTCACTGAGGCAACTGGCAACATTCAAAGGCTTCTGGTTGGCGGAAGGGTTATTTTTTTCCTAGGTTCGGCGCGGTGGTCCGGACCCAGAAAAGCTGCAGAGGGTTTGCCTTCTCGAAGCAGCAAAGTCCGCAGAAGGTTCACTTGCAGGGTTGGCTTAGGGTTGGTTCTGGGTTGGTTTGGGGTTGGTTTAGGACTGGTGCAGGGCTGGTTTGGGGTTGGTTGGGTTGGTTTAGGGTTGGTTTAGGGTTGGTTTAGGGTTGGTTTAGGGTTGGTTTAGGGTAGGAACAACACAACTCGGGGCCCCTTCTGGTTCGAGTGCCCCAAAAAACCTCGAAGTTCCCAAAGCTTCGCCGGTAACCCCATTTACCCTCCCTCCAATCATGGAAGCCGCCGATCGGAGGCTTTTTTCCACACTATCCTTTTGAGGAGCCCCCTTGTCCACTGACAAGCGGATATTTTTTAAGACTATCTTTTTGAGGAGCTCCGTTGTCCACTGAACCATGACTATGACTGGGCGGGTACCTGAGCCATGGCGCGTCGCTAAATTTGTCGCATGTCCCTCGCCTCATTGGCCTGCTGGAACTCCTCGATGTCGTGCTCACGGGCCTCGGCAACCGAGAAACACGCCGCCGAGCTCCGAGCAAGCGACACACACCCCGAGACATGTTTTCGGGGGCTTTGAGGGGACCCGTTCGAGCGTTCGAGCCCCAACCGGTTGGATGGCCCCAATAAACAGGGGTCGCCGGATTTCCCCTTCAAAGGCTGATCAATTGACGGGTGGTTTCCATTGAAACGATCGCCACTTTTGCAGGTTCCAAAAAGGGAAATGGAGGAAACCATGATAAACAAAATGAAATGGAGGTTGGGGTTCGAACAGGGTCCCCCCCAGTTTGTATTACAGCCACTCTACACTGGCTGCATCTGGGAGGGTGGTGGTTTGGAGTCTTGCAAGAGATTTTGTGTTCTATGACTGTACGCTTAAAATGTCAAGCTCCACTGGAAAACTCATGATATGAGCTGTTTCCAGACGAACTCATATTGGACCTGGGCCCCTTCACCAAGGTGTAATGAAAGGAGGGAGCCGTGAGTTGTATAAGTTGCCTTCTCAGAGGGGAGACTTCAGTGCTGTTGGGAACATATCTGTTTTGTTGCCCCAGGCATGAGCCCATGCGCAGGGAACATGAAGCCAGTTGCCTCCACAGCACATCCTTCAGGAGCTGTCATTCACCGTTTTTCAACGGCTTGGTGGGTGGAAGCATCCTCCATGGTCAAACATATTGGAGGACATGTGTGCTATGGTTTTCGGTCCACTGTTCGAAGCCGAAAGGGATGGCCCGGGAGTGTAATTACTTGTTTGTGGACATTGCTGACATACAGGTCTTGACTGAAAGAAACAAACAGCTCAAGACGGAATTACATAATCACAGCACACACACACACACAAGAACAAAGAGACAGAGAGACAGAGAGACAGAGAGACAGAGAGACAGAGAGACAGAGAGACAGACAGACAGAGAGACAGAGAGACAGACAGACAGAGAGACAGAGAGACAGACAGACAGAGAGACAGAGAGACAGACAGACAAACAAACGAAACACACAAACAAACCATAAGACACAATTTCAACAAAGGCCAGTCACCAGGCAAGAACTTCCAACTCCTCTCAGCAGAAACGTCTTTGTGGTGCCCCAAAAACGTTTTTGTCCACGGCACCGAGAAGACCGCAACCTTGAAGGGAGCTCCAGTGTTCTCCAAGGGTGGGAAGTCAGCTGCCTGAGCATCGATCGATCCGGGAGCAAGTGACATAGAGCCATAAGTTGACCAGATGTCTAGCTGTGGGTCCAAAATATCCAAAACGGAACCCTAGTAAAAAGAAACATGGACTAAAACCTACGGTCCCCTGGTAGTTTAACTTTCACCGAGTTTAACTTTGACCCACACACACATGTCTGTCTAGCACCCAAATGATGGTCCCCAAAAAGTGTGAAGACCAGAGACTCGAGCCAAGTCAGCAAAATGTCCAATTAAGCCGCACAGTTCGACAGGCGTTTCGAAATGAGTGGGCGCACCTGCAAACGACGGCACTCAAAAGTTGACACGACGAGAGCCTAGTGTCCAACACCAGCTTTCCCCGCCAACTCGCAAGCAAACAGAGTCTAGTGCTCATGTTTGGGGGCCAAAGAGTTGAACATGAGAGGGTGAACCATGCTATGGCTTTTGCTTGGGAACCTCCCATTGGCTCGGTTGCTGGTTGATTTGTGAGCCCGGCCTGCTTCTCCTTGTGCACTGCAAGGGCTCGGTCGCCCAGCTAGGAACTCGATGTTAAACATCTCTCGTGGCAAACGGTTTGCTTTTGCTTTCCAATCAACGCCGTCCAAAAGAAGAGCCCGGCCAGTTTGAAACGACCCCTTTCTCTGATTTCATGTCTTGCTTCCGGAAGCCGGCACAAGAGTCAAGGGACATGGCGACCAAGGTGGCGCTTGTTCAAAGACTTCCTCGCGAGCCCTCCGAACCGTGACAGGGTTTTGAGAAACGGTTTAGGCAGCAACTCAATCCCAAACCCGAATAATTCAGGGGCAAACTAATTCCTCTATTGGCCAAGGGCAAAGTACTTGAGCAAAAGTTCAGCATCTCTTAGCAGTCTAAACCATTGATATCTCTGCTCACTCTATTAAAGATGAACACGGAACGCTCAAAAAACATCCTCACATCAGTAGACCTTGTTGCTGTTGGGAGAACCCCCTTGGCATACAGATGTGGGAACTTTCGAAAGAACAACAACTCCATGCTATGTTCGGCAAGCGACCCTGAGAAAAGGATGACATGGTGTTCGGACCCCCCATCCAGGTTTTGGGAGGGACCGACTCCCCGAAAAACACTGAAAGTTGCAGCCAAAAACTCGCGGACGGGGAGTCGCCATATTTTCCGAGCTCGCCTTCAGCGGCGGCGCCGGATCCGGCAGGGCAGCCATCAGCTCCATCCTAATCCGATCCCACGTGGAACGATCCGCCGGAAAAGGCTTTTCCAGACTGTTGGTTTACCTTAGAATAAGGATAAGGGTACCAACTGTTTTTCTAAGGGTACCAACTGTTGTTTTTGTTTACCTAGTCTTGGGAACTATCTACTAAAGTTCATGCCGCCACTTCGGCAAAAGTCCTTCCCAACCTAGGTCCTCCAGTGGAGGTTGGTTAGAATAAGTTGGTACCCGATTTGTGTTTTCTGTAGTCTATTTTAGTAGGGCAACCCTCCCCGCAAAAAGTTGGCAACAGGGCACTACTGGGGGACCAGGTTACCCTCCCATCCGCTAAGATGGAACCTGACGCTTCGGGGTCCTTGAAGAAAAGGCGCCCTTTGGTGGGTTCCATGTTGGTGGACAGGAGGGTAGTGAAATGGTCTTCCCAAAAGCATCAAGTTCAGGAACCTTGGCGGTTCGCTCCCCAAAAGATTTGCGAATAGGGGTCCGGAATAACACAACATGATCTGTCTCTTTTGGCTTCCCGTTGGAAAGTGCATGGTTGTTGGCTATTTTGCAACTGCAAAAAGATCCAAATGAATTCTCGAACATATATCAGTAGGCAACTACTCAATCAAAGCAGGTACCCTGGTAATGTTGGTCGCTGCTTCGATCCCGCAAGAAGAGGCTCATTGCCGGGGTGTGATTGAGATCTTTGACCTGCGCCTTAGGAAGTGTTCGATTCGTTTTTCAGCTTGCCAGACAATTGGAGGCGACTGTAGATTCCAGGGCCTTTAGAAACCAAACACAACTCGGCCAACCAAACGCTCTGGATCTTCGACCTCTGCCAACAAATGTGCGATTGCTAGTCTGGGGGAACTGCTGAAATTCCTAAAGGTTGAACACTTATTCAATTCTCTCGGAAGAGCAAGAACTATGGCTCAAATTCCCAGAGGCAAATCGATTAGGAGCCAGGACACGGTCCACTCATTACATCCGAACGCCGGGCGGTGAGCCGTTTGTGGTTTGGGGTGTCAATTCTTTACCTCGACCGGGTCACACAACACATCCCACAGATGGCATGTTCGCCCTCTTTGGGGCGTACTTGGCCCTTGCCAGAGATTTTTGGGGCCATCTTTTTTTCGGGACAGGGTCCATAGGGGCGGGGCGGTACTCTGGAAACAAGGCTCAAACTCAGCTCCAAGTTCTATTCCCGGAGGGAACACCCCAAACCGGGTCCCAAGATTGCCGAGACTGAATCTTTTACCAGCGATGTGGCCGCTGTGGCCGTGAGCGGCCATTGACCATCGCAAAGGATCAATCAAGAACCCCCCCCATACAATGGCATGAGAGCCAAGGCCCATCTCCCACGGCCGAAGAGGAGAAATCAAGCATCATCGAAGGCTAGCAGAAGACTCACAGTTCACACCAAGGGTCCTTTCCATCCGCTCAACCTGCGGGGTCTTGCTGCTCGATGCGGCCGGTCTACACACCTGGCGTCGAGCCAATGCAGAAGGCAGAGATTGTCATTGTGGCTTTCAAGAGCTCTCTTCTTATGGTGTGTGTCTGTGTGTCTGTGTGTCTGCGTGTGTGCGGTGTGGTGTGTCTTGGTGTGTCTCTTCCAGTCCGTGTTTCGAGTGTAGCTACCCTCCGGCCCATTAACAACTTCAGGAATAGATGTTAAGATGGACTGCCGAGGTTCACATCAACAGCATGATGGCTGGCATCTACCCTGGGCACAGTATAAGAAACACCAGGATGGATCATGCGACTGGGTGGCTAAACAAGATCTGCCACAGCAAACACAAAAAACACTGAAACATTACACATAATATCTATGCATATATATATATATAAAGTATGTATGGAAGAATTGAAGACAAAGTTTGTATGTATGAAAGAATGTATGTATCTATGTATGTATGTATGTATGTATGTATGTGTATGTGTATGTGTGTGTATCTGTATATGTATGTGTATATGTGTATATGTGTATATGTGTATATGTGTATATGTGTATATGTGTATGTATGTATGTATGTATGTATGTATGTATGTATGTATGTATGTATGTATGTATGTATGTATGTATGTATGTATGTATGTATGTATGTATGTATGTATGTATGTATGTATGTATGTATGTATGTATGTATGTATGTATGTATGTATGTATGTATGTATGTATGAGAATACCACTTCCCAAATCCTAGATCTTTGAATGCGAAGCGGCCAAACAATTTTCCCAAACATTACACCCATAAGTTAAGGAATGAAGGGAACGGCCGTGAAAAGGCCCAAGAAAAGGCTCTTGAACGGCAGCGGAACTTTAAACAGCATATCTTCAAAGCAACACCTCTCAAGCATGAGAGGTGACAGCATAGCCTTCACTTTACTCACTTGCGCAGTGGACATGGGGAAGGGTACCTTTTGGCGGTTTTCAAAGACCAAGAGACAACTGAAGAAAGGCGGACGGATTGCCAGCCCAATGGCTGCAAGTGGATTGAATGATTTTTGGCCGGATCTCCGCAAACTTTCGAATCCCTCAGCCAAATTCCTGGCCCATCAAAATAGCTGGACGAGCCATGAATCAATTCTTCAACACGGCTCTGGAAATGCTCCGTTCTGTGATGCTCTTGGTATCACAGAAAGCTGAAACCATCAGCCCCACTTTTTCTACAATTCAAGGCAACCCAAACAGGCAAAGGAACCCAACACATGCAACCCTCTTAAGCCGAAAGCAAATCCGCCGATGCCAGTCGAGCGTGTAGATGGCAGTCCGCAACTTGGTCTTCCTTCGGATCTCTTATCAAAGCCGAAGGCTTTTGGGGCTGCCATCTTTTGGGCATGGTGTGCTGGGTCTCCAAAACCCTGTAATTTTCCAGTGTTTTCGGGGTTTGCATGCTAAAAACCTGTTCCGTCTAGGTCTGTAGGGGGGGGGGGTTTTCCGGACGCGCAGGATCTGCATCCCCAGCATCATCAGGATTCTCTTGCTGCTATGAATTTGTCTCTTCTTTTTGCAGATGCAAATGGTGTTTTGCTGTTTCAAGCGATGTTGGAATTGGCCTGTTAGGGGTCTGGGTGGGGCCAAGTGCAGTGATACGTTGAGGAACTGTTTGAATTTGCAAAAACGAGTGTTTTTTGCAATTCCCCACCTGTACGGAGCAGTTACTGCGCAACATCCCCTGCATTATCGTGCTTTTGGAAGTCTGTTTCTAGGGTATTTGAGGGGGGTTGCTAGTACCGGCTTTTGATTGTTGATTTTGGGAAATCTCAAAAATATCATGGTTTTTTTAAACTTTTTTCTGGCCAGCCGGCTGCATTCCCAGCATTTTCGCCCTTGCATTTCCAGCATTTTTTTATAGGGAAATGTCTGTAAACTGGCAAATTCAGACCTTCTATCATCTGGTGCCAACAAGCAAGACCTCCCTGAAAAAAGAAAAAAGGTCTTAAAATCCCTTGCACCCCACTGGCGTCGGCGGATCGCGTAGCGATTTCAATAACCATGGTGACTGGGCGGCTAACAAACGGCAACCCAACTAAAAAGCGAAGCTGCAAAGCCACCGAAGCGCACTCCGCTCCCCAAACCCCCCCCCCCCCACCGTGTCCAGGGTGCCGTTCTGCTTGGGCGGGCCGGCGCCGTCCCTCACGCCTCAATGTGGCAGCGCTGCCTGGAGCCAAAGAAAGCCATCGGTAGTTTGTTGGTACTTGCAGGGGAATCATCATTTCCGGTTTTTGTTTGGTGGTGCGAAATGGATTTCGCCACATTATGTGTTCTGCGACCCGGTCGAGGTAAGTAATGAACCTCCAATCCGCCAGAAACGGCTCACCGCCCAGCGTTCGCATGTGAGTGGACCGTGTCCTTGGTCCTAATTGATTTGGGAGACGTGGCGAGCAAGGATTGCCCTTTGAGCAATAGTTCCTGCTCCGAGTGCACGGAACAATGCCCCACAAGACCAGCAATCAAACCGAAGTTGTGTTGGCCATGAAATGAAATCTGTATTGCTCATGGAGGGGGTGCCAGGGTGCCTCACTAGAGCCAGGCACTACCACCAAACATGGAAGGACGCAAGCCCAAAAGGTTCTCCCCAACCTCACAAATCCCCAAAATGGCAGGTTTCCTTCCAAAAGCAAACCCACGAAACAACGACCTGGGCCAGCGACCCGCCAGGCTCTTTAAGGTGGTCTCCGCGATGGTAGCCAGCGCCTCCTGACCCGACCGGAAAAGCAACCAGTGGGAGACCAAAATGCTGTTTCCAGCTCCAACTTGCCATGGCAACTTGGAACTATACGTTCGAAACTTCAGCGAATCTATATATATATATATATAGACATATATGTGTATGTGTGTGAGAGGTATGAAATTCAGTTGGAGGAATCGCAACACTTGCGTTTCGTGGGGTCTTCTAGAAAAAGGATCCATGCCTTCCTCATTCTACTTTCGTCCTGGCGTGCGAGAATATGTGCAAACATGTGGGCACATGGGCAAACAAATTATGTTATATGTATGTATATAACCAAACAAAGCTGAGCTTAGGAAGCTTCCGTGATACGAAAAGTTTATTGCGCAAAGTGGAGAGAGTCGAAAGAAACCAAGCAAGAAGCACGAAGAAGGAGATAGAGAAGAGAGGAGAGGAGTTGTGTGGCAGGCGTTGCGTATTGCGCGCGGGTTTGCCACAGTCTCGAATAGGCCCCAGAAGCACGGCCGCTCGCATATCGGCGTGCTTCGCCCGAACCCTCTGCGGGGATCGTGCGTGTCGAAGCGCTCCTGCTGTGGCGCCGTGCGAATTTGGAAAAACTTCAAGTACGAAAGCAGTACGCGTGCGCTCTCCCCCCCCCCTCCGGCTTGTCGCACATTTTAGGCACGAAAGTAGTACTCAAAGTACAATAATTCCGGAGCTCTGGCTCAAACGTCGCATCTGTCAAGTACTACTTGCTACGCGAAGTACACTCTCGAGTTCTGGCTCGAAAGTCGCAACTTTCAAGAGTGAACGTAGTGCCGGAGGTACACTCCAGGAGCTCCGGCTCGAAAGGTGCAAGTTGCTCTGCGCAAGTTGCTCTGTGCAAGGTGCGTTTTGCAAGTTGCTCTGCGCAGGTTGACCTGTGCTAGTTGCTCTGCGCAAGTTGCTGTGTGCAAGTTGCGGTGTGCAAGCTGCTCTGCGCGCAACCCTTCTGGATTTCCCGAGGCAGCTTCTTTTCCCGTAGACAAACTGTTCTAGAAACTTCAGTCATCCCTTTTACTTGCAGCCAGATGGATGAAGGGAGCACGGGCTTGGGCGGGCTTCTGCGAGAGCAGGGTTTTTGTGCGGCGGGCCTGCGTATCGCTCCCTGCTCCCCGGTTCTCACCATTCCTCCAATGCAAGTATCGAGTGTTTCTTGGAGAAGTTAAAGTGTGACAAACAAGTTTTTGCGGGGAAACGAACAAAGTGCTTCGTAGCATGGCTGACATTGGTTTCTCATGTTACAACGCATGCCAGGTAATCTTAGCAGGCACACATGAGCCACTTTCTGCCGCAGTACGGTCAAAACAATCCGAACGGTTCATTCTGGCAATCCTCGCAATTGCTGTGGGATTGCCCGAGAAATTTCGTACACGCATTTCAAGATCCACTGGATATTGGGCGTGTCCCCTGTCTCCGCCCCAAATGAACCACAACTCCCGCGAGCGACACCAGGGAGTCGGGATTTCAAAAACTGTGTATTTAAGGCAAATCAGAAAGTGTTTTAGTTGGGCAAACAGGAATCCCCACTCCGAGACAGACTGACAGTACCCGTAGGGATCACGGGTATGGTTGACAATAACCCCAGTTTCAACAAAACATATTGGAAAAATCCACTCGTGGTTCCGGTTTTGGGTCTCGCCTGGCGCCGGCTGGCTGGCTAAGATTTGTGTAGTGTGGCTTGCAAGAGAAACCAAGAGCAAAGCGACTTGAAAGGACCCCATTGCCAGCCGATAGCTTAGAACGCGTTGCTCGTCTATGGCTGATCAGCTCAGCTGCCCCTTAGTGCTCTGAAACTACTCCCCCTTCCCCACGTGAAAGCCAAAGCCAGGCGCTGAACTGAGGCTTCAAAGCCGATTTTGTCCTGCCATCGTCAAAGCGCGTCTCTCTGCGACTCGCTAAGCATGCGCTAAGCGCGTACCAAGCGTTTACTGAGCTCTTAAAAAACTTGTGACAGCGTTCTCTCTCAGCGCGCTTGCTGAGGGCCCTGATAGGTGCGCTCAGTTGCGCCAAATTGCGCCTGGAGCGCGCCTTGTCGCACTCAGTTGCGCAGGCGCCAAATCGAGCTGAACCGGGATCTGTCGCCACTAATTCAAACGCGCCCTTGGAAACGAGGACTGCTGTTCAAGGCGTCAGAAGAAAGATGAACCTCACAAGCTTGGGCGACTCAACCCCCTTTTTAAACCATGGCCATCTGCTTCTTACACAACCAAACGTCGGTTCTCCTATCGTTGTTGCATATCTTGCCACCAGCCCTGCCTCCCTGGCCACGGCAAACCGTTTACCGCAGCTTCACGCTGCGCAGTCTCCACACGCGCCCAGATGGTCTCCGGGGGGCTCCGCGCCAAGGGGAGGAGCGCAAGGGAGCCTCGCACCTGGGGCTCCCTACATGTTCCAACTTGAAAGATACTACGCCTATTCGGGGGCACTCACCTATGGGCCATTGAAGCAAAGAAAATATGGCGGTTATCCGCAAGCTAAAATACACGACCGAAGACCCCAGACAGTTTCAACCAGACCTCGTGAAGCCTAACGCGGCAGGGCGCTCTCATGCAACATGAGCCCCCGAGCGCGGAGTGCGCGGAAAGGGAAGGGTGCGCGCGGAGCGCACGAGCGGAAGGGAGCGCGCGGGGCGCGCGCGACAGGGGAAAGAGCCACAGCGTTCGGAGCGCGCGCAGGATAGCGAGAGAGCGCAAGGGGGAGGAGTGTCGAGAACAAACAGCTGAGCGAGTCAGACCATCTCGTGACAGCATCCAGACCAGCAAGCGCGTGAGGAAACAAGTGGGGCGATACGTGGAAACAAGTGAGGGAAAAAAGCGCCAAGCGCGTGAGCAATTGAAGTGGGGAGACAAGTGTGGCTCGCTCAGCTCAGCACTCCACGCGTCTACCGACCATCTCATGACAGCGTCCAGCCCAGCGCACGCGTGAGGAAACAAGTGTGGAAACAGATGGAACTAAGTGGGAAGACAGGGCTGACCGAGCCAGACCATCTCGCGACAGCAATCAGCCCAGTGAGGCACCAAGTGGGAGCGCGCAAAATGCACGAAAACCAGAGCGCTCGGATGGAGCAGCAAAGCGCGCGAGACAAAAAGACACCGCGCGGAGCGCGCAAAACTACAAAGACGGAGCAACGCAGGATATCCCTAACTACTTTATGGGTACCAGATTTGGGGGTTTAGATTTGGGGGTGTTTGCTTATCTCGAATTATCTCGAATTCTGTTTCAATTGCCCTGGCCACTTGGGTTTTTTGAATTTGGTTGTACCCATTTTCTTTGTTTTTCTCTCTGTGTGTGAACACAAATGACGTGCTTGACCGGAGCTGCATGTTCCATGTGAAGGCGTCATTGTGTGGTTTTCATGTTTTTCTCCAAACCTGGAGTTGTCCTTTTTTCCTCGGCTTCCCAAACCTGGCCCCTACGTCTTTCGCGATGTGATTTTTATCCCTTCCGCTTTAAGATCAATGAGCACTCAATGGGCACGGTCTGGCTTGAAAAAAAAGTGCCTCTGGGCAGTTGGTAATTACAGTCATTTTGCTGAAATATCAATGGAACTCAATGTTGATGGGACTGTGATGGAATTTGATGGGCGTTTGATGGAATTTTGAAAGGGGTTTTGAGGGAAGCTTGAGGGTACATTCATGGGATGTTGACATGATTTTCAGGGAAGATCAAGTCATCGCAAGTCATTTAATTCTCACCCCCAACTCTACCTCAAACTATCTCATCTACCGTATTTTATCGTATTTTAAATTATTTTATTTCACATTATATCAAAATATATCAAAAAATATCAAATGATCTCAAACCCTCACCCCACACCCTATCTTATTTTGTTTTATTTTCTCCCAAAATATCTTAAATTTTCTCAAATCAAATCAAACCACCTCAAATTATCCAAATGCATCTTATTTTTGCATCTCATGTGCGGAAAAATAAAATAAGATAAAAAAAAAGGAAATGTGCAAACACATGCGACAATGTGCCGAACAAGGTAGCCAATACAGCGTAGTCATATGCACACATTATCCCACATTTATCTCAAAGTATCTCAAATTATCTCAATCTTGCAGGTGACATGACATGAGTCAAGATACTTTGAGTTGGCTTTTCCGAAAAGTGGCGTGCGCAAACTGTGAGCAGGCTGAAAACTGTGATGAAACTTTGTTGGGGTTTTGATGGAATTGTGATGGTATGTTGAGGGAAGCTTGATCAAAGTGTGATGAATTTTGAAGGGAGTTTGAGGGAAGCTTGATGGACATTTGAAGGAAATTTGATGTTTGGAGGGAAGAAGCGGAAAATCTAGAGGAATTGCGGGGAATTTGTTGGGGGTCCTGTTCGTCAACTGCAAAACGAGGGCTGTGCATCTTTTGAAACAAAAAGCAGCAACTTAAGCGGTTAGCGCAGAACAACTGAGTCTGAATGGCCATACATTCAAAACGCTTCAAGGTTGCTAACGTGAAGCTGGCTTTCACTTAGATGATTGATGGATTTTTGAAGATTTGAATTTTGAGTCATGCTGCAGAGGGGGGAAAGACAATAACTACAGATTCAAATTATAAATGACTGTGCTGTGATTGAATGGTGGTAGTGCATTTGCATAACAAACAGACTCAGCTTATGAATGGCTGTGCTATGATTGAATGGTGCACATCCTTGCATGCTTTGCGTGCTTGCATGTTGTCGATGTTCTGTTTTTAGCGTGTGTGTGTGTGTATATTGCATGTGTTTGCACATGATTTGCATTTGTGTTGCATCTTGTTGCATTTCTTGCGGGTTATTTTTGCCGGCTTTATCTTCTTTTCTTTTCTTTTTTCTTTTTTTGTTTTGGCTTGTTTGATTTCTTCTTTCTGTTTTTTGTCTTGTTTTAGCTTGTTCTATTTGAGATAATTTAAGATACTTTGAGATAACTTAAGATAATTTGATATAATTTGAGATACGGTCAAATCCCCGTAAATCTGGTACCCATCTTGTTTTAAATGAGGATAGCGAGAGAGGGGGCTGACCGCGCCAGACCATCTCGTGACAGCATCCAGCCTAGCAAGAGCGTAAAACAACAAGTCAAAGCGCTCGGAGCGCACGAAAATGCGTGTGGACGGAGCATGCGGAGCGCCCGAAGGAGAAAGACACCGCGCGGAGCACGCAGGACTAGGGAAAGCCGGAAAGTGAGAGGGGGAGCCGACCAGACCATCTCAGCCTGGCAAGCGCGTAAGGAAACAAGTGGGTAGACAAAGCTGACCGAGCCAGCCCATCTCAGCAAGCGCGTGAGGAAACAAGAAGGCGGCAAACAAAGAGTTGACCGAGCCAGACCCCATCTCGTGACAGCGTCCACCCAGCAAGCATGGCATGAGGAAACAAGTGGGGAGACAAATGGAAACAAGTGGGGAGACAAAGAGCTGAAGAGCTGACCAAGCCAGACCATGTCATGACAGCATCCTTCCCATTAAAGCCCGTCAAGCGCGTAAGGAAACAAGTGGGGAGACAAGCCAGACGTGCGTGAGGAAAGAAGCGGGGAGACAACGAGCTGACCAGCCAGCAAGCATGTGAGGCAACAAGAAACAGAAGACCTGACTGAGCCAGACCATCTCGTGACAGCATCTAGCCCGGCAAGCGCGTGAGGAAGCAAGTAGGGGGACAAATGGAAACACGTGGGGAGACAAAGAGCTGACCAAGCCAGACCATCTCGTGAAAACATCCAGCCCAGCAAGCGCGTGAGAAAACAAGTGAGGAGCTGACCGAGCCAAGCCATCTTGCGCCCAACCCGGCAGGCGTGTGGTAGCATGTGGTAACAAGTCGGGACATCTCGTGACATTGCATCCAGCCCAGCAAGCGCGCGAGGGAGACAAGTGCAGGCACGTGGGGAGACTAAGGTCTAAGCGAGCCAGACGACATCGCGACACCAAGTTTGGAGCACCTATGAAGGGAGAAGCGCAGACAAGGGGAAGGAACCCAAGCCTGTCATATGAGCAGTGAAAAAAACCCCTGTTACCCGTAAAGGAAATTACTCCAGCTTCCGCAATCGCTTGCGGAAAGCTTCCGCCAACCGAAAGGTCGCTTACGTTTGCTATTTTTCGAAGATGGAGCTTACGCATAGCTTACGACAAGTTGCTCGTGCCTGATCAACAGCTTGCAGATGGAAAGGCTGCTGCACAGGCCCAGCAAGACAATGGAGGGCCAAAAGCTGAAAACAAACTTTCGGGGCACGAAAAGTTGTTTTCTGCAGAAAGCGCGCGGAACCTCTGCGAGCAAGAGGCGCCAGCAGGGCAGAGCAACAACTTGCCTGGAAAGGCGCAAAGGCTTTGCTGCACAGGCTCAGCAGTGACATGGAGGGGAAAACTTTCGGGACCCGAAAAGTTGTTTTCTGCGAGGATCCACACGAGCAAGGCGCCAGCATGACAGAGCAACAGCTTGCATGGAAAGGTGCAAAGGCTTTGCTGCACAGACATGGAGGGGCAAAAGCTGAACTAAAACTTTCGAGACCCGAAAAGTTGTTTTCTGCGCGGATCCTCCGCGAGCAAGAGGCGCCCGCATGACAGAGCAACAGCTTGCACGGAAAGGTGCAAAGGCTTTGCTGCACAGACATGGAGGGGCAAAAGCTGAACTAAAACTTTCGAGACCCGAAAAGTTGTTTTCTGCGCGGATCCTCCGCGAGCAAGAGGCGCCCGCATGACAGAGCAACAGCTTGCACGGAAAGGTGCAAGGCTTTGCTGCACAGACATGGAGGGGCAAAAGCTGAACTAAAACTTTCGAGACCCGAAAAGTTGTTTTCTGCGCGGATCCTCCGCGAGCAAGAGGCGCCCGCATGACAGAGCAACAGCTTGCACGGAAAGGTGCAAAGGCTTTGCTGCGCAAGCTCAGCATTGACATGGGCACATCTTAGGGATTGAACCCGGGCCTGCCGCATGCGAAGCGGGTGTGATACCACTACACCATGTGATCCTGATGTTGCTGCCCGAAGCCGGTGTTCAAGCTTTCACGGCCAGAGAGGGGCAACAGCTCAAGAAAACTTTGCAGACAGCGCACGGGCGCTGCGAGCAAGAGGTGCCAGCACGGCAAAACAAGCCCGGGGCTGAACATGTTGTTGTCCAAGCCCGCAGAACCAAAAACAACTGTTCGGGGCACAAGTGCAAAGGGGCCTTCAACAACAAACAGGCACGTGGAATCGAGCCCCCACACTTCCTCGAGCTAGGGTGAGAGGCGTGATCTTCAACCACTACGTGATCAAGTCTTGATATTCCGGGTGGCTGTCACAAAAAATTCTTCAAAACTGAAGCGGGCGTCAAAGCATGCAGCCCCAAAAACAACTTTCGGCTCGAAGAGTTTTTTCCAGTCCGCGGGCTTTTTTGGGCTTCGGGGCCCTGAAAAGTGCCTGCAGGTGGCAAGAGGTGCCTCGCAACAAAAAAACTTTTCTGGGCTCGAGAAGGTTTTTTTGTGCTTTTCAAGCCCGAGGCCCAAAGGTGAAAAGGCAAAGCCGCAGCAAGACAAGCCCGGGGCTCAACATGTTGTTTTCCAAGACCGCGCAACGAAAAAGGTGAGGTGCCAAAACAAAAGCAAAACGTTCGGGGCTCGAAAAGTTGACGCGAGCTTTTTTGTTCAGCTGGCCAACGCGCTGTGCTCGGAACATTGCAAAAGGTTTGCACAAGCAACCCAACGGTCAAACAGCAGTTGTCTGAGCCTGAAAAAGTTGTTCACTGAAAGAATCCCTTTCCTTGTTGCTAGAACCCATTCCAGCAATCTGATCCCATTTTCACGCCTAAAAGCATTACGCGGACCAAAAGCAACTTCTACCAAACAGTCTGAACGAAAAACGGGTCTGACAAACAGAGCTTACGCAAAGCTTACGACGAGTGACTCATGCATGCAGCTTACGCAGGACCTTCCGATCGCTTACGAATCTCGCAAAAACGCTTGCGACTGCAAGAGTAATTTCCAGTTTCATCTAAATTGATCTACGGAGGTTTTTTTCGCCGCTCATATGGAGGCAAAGGGAGGCAAGGCGGCTGGAACCCGCCCAGCCGAGCCGAGTTTGGAGCACATATGACGGGAGACAAGGAGAGACAAGGGGAAGGGAGAGTAGGGGAGACAAAGGGAGACAACGCAGCAGGAAACAGACAAAGAAGGCGTCCAAGCGAACCCCGTGAAGCACGCATGTCGGGAGACAAGGGGAGACAAAGGGGAGACTAGGCGCCACGAACCCGTCCAGGCGAACCCAGCCTGGAGCACATATGAAGGAAGACAAGGGGAGATAAAGGGAGACAAGGCGCCAGGAACCCGTCCAGGCTAACCTGCTATGTTTTTTAAAGAAAGAATCAAGAGCCCCTACAGTAAACTGTTTGGGGAATAACTTTTGTGGCCTCCGTCGCGGATCTTTCGCGGGGGCTATTCTCACAACACTCGTCACAAAAAGTCTCGTGCGAAGTACGAGTCTCAACTTTTGTAGGTCCTCCAGTAGAAAGGTTAGAGTAAGGGTGCCCTTTTTCCTGTAGTCTATTTTAGTACGGGGACCCTCCCCAACAAAGTTAAGGGCACTACTGGCGGACCTAGTTTTGAGTACGAAAGTAGTACACGAAGTAAACTTCCGCAGCAGCCCGTTGGCCACCCGGGGCAGGAAGGTCTACCGACTGTCGCGGAACTTTCGCGGATCTTTCGCGTAACCGAAAATCCGGCTGGGAAGTCGCGCTCAACTGGTCCCGAAAGCTTCAAAAGTCCAACCAGCTGCTTTCTGCTGTGGGCTGCCCTTGCAGCGGCGCACATTCTTGCGGCAATCCTCAGGCCGCTCTTTCCGACTAACTTTGCGCATTCTGCCGGCCAATGCGCATGGTTCAGCATTGCATCTTTCTTTTAGCAAACCACCCTTGCAAAAAAACTTTCGCGAGAAAACACAACAAGAACGTTCACGACCTCCATCGCAAAGCTTTCGCGGAGGGCAGCACTAAGACCAACAGGTCACCTTTTTATACCTGAATACAAGGACACTTCGGACGACTCCCACTTTGGAACCCCTATCACACAAGTGGATTGGCCAGAGCCGCAAATCTTGTTTAGCATGATCTACTCTGTATGGTTCCAAGACTGTGCCTTGCAAACAGTGACCCGCGATGTCCAGCCGCGTTGTTCCTCAAATAGGGAACCCCCTTAGATGTGCTTGAAGGAACCGTAGATCTTACGAAACTTAACCCAAATCCACAGTGCGCAAGATGTGCTTTCAGATTCTGGCTGAATATGATCTACTTACTATTTCGACACATCCCTCTAACTGATGCTTTGTGGGGGCACCACCCCTCCACACATGGGCACGAAGCTTAATTAGGGACCCTGTGGCGGATAGGTCGGGATTCATGTCAACCAACTTGCTTTGAGGTGATTCCCTATTCAAACTCAGAGCCAAAAGCTTTTTAGGGATCCAGTAATTCGGCGCCAATAATAATTTCGAGCAAGTGACGTTTTCTGGATTGCACTCCTCGAATTTCAGGCGCAGCATGGAGGCCAAAAGATGCGCCAGCTCATCACTGAAGGTCTCAACAAGGGCTGGAAGTCCATGCCTGGAAGTCGATTGCGACCGGGAAAAAAGTGAGAAGTAACTCCCCTCATCACTGCCTCTTAATTCTAGCCGGTTCGTGGGAAGCAACATGGGTATGGCTTGTGCAAATAGAGATGTGGAGCCTGCAAATGGTGGCTTTCCTCTTGATTCCCTTCAAAGCAACATTTGAAAGGGACATCCTCAAAAATACACACATCCGCACGTTTCCAAAAGTTGAAGTTTGGACATCCAACCAAATGGCCGAGTTGCGAAAGGCGGAAATGGACATGCAGCAGCTGCATCAACTCATCGCCCTTGAAGTCGCTTGGCTCAAACTGCGGAAATACGTCTACGGGCTCCATCCACAAATGGGGGCAGTTTTCCATGGAAAGGACGACCTGGCGAAATCTACGTCTGGTCAGCCGGCTGGGGTCTTTCGGAGACGTGTCCTCAATCAGAAGGCGCCTGCTCAAATCACGATCTTCTCGCACTTCAGGTGGAAAGGTGCCATCAACGGAAAGCACAGCCACGCCAGTGATGGAACCACGCTCATTTTTGCACAAACTCATCAGGCCAGGCGGTCGAGCTGGAATTGGCGAGGTGGCGGAGAAACATGCGATCCACACCACATGCTTGGTCCAGGCGTGTTTGAATCTTTCCAAGGCAGGGTAATAGTCATGCAACATCGAAAGGTTGAGCATATTCCAGCGTTCTCCTTCTAATAGTTCTGCCTGCAGCACTTGCAAAAAACGATTCCGGACAGAAGTTGACTTGTTGGCACCGATATACTTGTCAGCAAGCTGCTGGAACTTTGGCTGGATCTGGTCCAAGTTTGGCAGGATTTGTTCCCAGTCTAAGTCATACGTTGGCAACCTGACATCAAAAGCACCGCGCTCGAAGGCGTCAATGACCTGCGCCACTACTACCTGCTTCGGCCTCGTGCAAAGGACAGCCTCGCCTCAAATGTCCATGGGAATGGGAAACACGGCAACCAGGTCACCCTTGTTTGGTTGCTTGCAAAGGGAAGGCTTAACACGCTTCCCCCAAGACTTGAATATGTGGATCGCTGGGCAACTGAGTTGCCGCCCAAGACGTTGAGCACTCGCTGCTCAGGAGGTGCCTCTTTGGTGCTCCATGCGACCTCGTTCTTCCGAACTCTGACAGCGAGGATCTGCGAATCCAGCCTCGCAGAAAGCTCCCGGAAGGTGGCCTAGGCGGGGGGAAGACAAGTGCGAGTTTTCTTTTGTAATCCCGTTTGAGATTTAAACGGACGTATGGGCCACTCCTGCAAAGCTTCCGTGGTGTGAAGAGCACCTTCCGCAAGCATGGCTCTGGTGCTTTTCGTGAATCATAGCATATATTTTGAAATCACGCCACGGGGTTCCCGGTGACTTAAAAACAACAACACACGCCTGGGGGTCCCTGTGTTTTGTTGAATTCACTGGGCCCGGGTGTTTCTTTGCGAAATCTCGCCTTGGGGCTCCGGTCTTTGCTTCTTTTCATCTTTTTCTTGTGACGCCCAGGCGTGATTAAAAAACAAAGAAAACGCCAGGAGCCCCAGGCGTGAATTGAACAAAAAACAAGCACCCCGCGGTAGAGGTTTGCTTTTTTCCTTGGGGCCGGGTTTCCGTAGGGCTGGCAACATCTTCATCACTAGGCACCAGTCCCTCTCTTAGTTGCTTGCTCGTTTGGTTTGTGAAAGAAAGCACCAACATGGCAATGAGGAATTTCAAAATAAACAAGGGTGGCGTGAATCCGCGAGCATGTTTCTATATAAGTGCTTCCGCGGGCCTGCCGCTGGCAAGTGTTTCTGGGCATGGAGGAAGGTAGCTTCCGCGAAGCAATTTGTGTGCACGATTTGCTAGCAATTCAGGGAAAAACAACATGTAGATTCTGGAAAGTGTAAATCAGCCACGTCCCTTCTCCGAAGCTTCCGTGGCTGCAGCGTGGTGCTACCGGCTTTTGTTCATATGTCCATCGTTAGACAAGTTGCTTGAGCGGGGAAAAACACACACACACTCATATGTCCATCCCCTGATTTAAAATACACTGAAACAATCAAAAGATGATCCATTGCACCAGATATCATTTTGACGATGGGTGATTTGCACCCAGTGGCATCCAGCGGCAAGGAGAGTTCACAGCAGCGACCACTCAGGAAGTAACAGCTGAGAAGTATCTTGTCTGACTCTCGAGTGCAGAAGATCTGTAGCTCCAGAGCCATCTATCTGCCGAAAGCATGCATCCACCTTGAGCCAACATCTCAGGGCACACATCTCGCTTTGGAACAAGCGGATTGGCCACACAAAAAAAGACTCGTTGTTTACCTGCAATGCATGGAGTCAGACATCCTCCTGCGGAAAGCGTCACTGTACAGGTGGGGAACCCCTTCGGTCTATTGGACAAATCAATGGAAGACATTTGTCAGCCTTATTTCTTATCCAAGCATCACACCAGGGGAAACATAAGAATCTCGGAACGCAGAAGGCGTGGGAGGCTCCCTGAACTGGGGGCCAGCGCCAGCGCAGAGGCCGCTCCGCAAAACGAGAAGCAAACACGTCAGGCCACTAAGATAATTCCCGTGGCTTCTGGCCTTTCCTTTTCTTGACGTTGGAAGGGGAGCAAAAACCTATCTTTTAGCAGTTGAGTGGGGATTTCCCAGTAAACCACAATAAGCACAAAGGTAAAATGTTTCCCAATTTTCCCTGGATTGAGATAGCTCCCGTGGCTTATGGCCTTTCCTGTTCCCCACTCCCGCACCCTCCCGGTTTCGTTTTTGGAAGGCTCCCGGGTGAAGAATGCCAGATGAGGGGTGAGGATCACATTGGGCATCCGCAGCAGCAGCGCGATGTTCGGATCCGTGATGCAGCTCCCGGAGTGGTCCCTGTCGGAGAGGACGAGCGGTTTCAGGAGGCTGTAAGGTAAGGGCGGAAGGAACCTGTGAAGAGCCCTGCAAACCACAAACCTCTTTGAAAGATCGAACCTTGAAGCTCCGAAGGTGCCTCAAGTGCTGAAAGGGCTGTGTTTTGGAGCCAGCAATCAGCAGGTTTTTTTTGGGATCCTTTGTGTTGCTTTGCCAGCTTTGGGCCAGTACCTTGACTGGCGCACGCCCACATCCATTGCCAAGCTCTAGTTGAAGCCCTAGATATATTGGTGCAAACACTCGGCTTCACGTCGATACAACCAACTCAACTTGAAGGTGCTGAGCCCGCCAAGTCTGATAAGAATCTGCACAGCACTCAGTTGCAATCTAAAAAGAGCATTGTCCACTTGCCTGCAAAACTACCACTAGGATGTAATGGCCCAAAAACCAAATTCGGTGTCATCATGATGCACCCATAAACAGTTGCTTTGAATGGAAACCAGACCAGCCAAATATCATTCAAGTGACTTCAAGCAAAAATGGACGAGGATCGCCTCTAAAGTGGGTAGTTGGAGACCGCTCAACGAAATGTGACAATGCCTCCTAAGCGTTCTTTACCATGCTTGCCCGTAAAACGCTCCCAGACACAGCTGCAGACCGCTGTGTAGCCAGTCTAGCATGCAAAAAGGCGGTCCATATTATTTTTGGCACCCAAATGGCGGGTAAGGGTGCCTTGCCATTGTTTCAGGTGAGCAGTGCAAACTAATTCCTTTTGGACATGTTAGTAGGTGGTTCTAGTTTCTTCTCCTGGGAGCAAAGCCATACGTAGGCCATTGCCATGCTGAAACCCAAAGTTGGGTAGCGGATGGTTTCACCCCGTGACCCTTCAACGAGATTTCCAGGCACTCGCCCGAGATCAAGATCAGGGGGGTATGTCTATACTGCTCGGGAAGCGTGAAGCTGCGAGCGAGATGGTGTTAATGAGGAAAGCATGTATTGATTTTGTGGCCAAGTGGACACCCACAGCAAATAGAAGGGACATCCCCAGCTTCCAACATGAACCGCTGCAAACAAAGGACATGCAACATGGTTCCTTTCGCAAACCTTCCAAGGGAGCTACTAGCCTCAGTATTTCAGTAATTCAACCAAAGGATGCCCTCTTTCGGGATTGGTCATGCGTGAAGCCACCATGGCCAAACCAAAATACCTAAAGAGCACTGACCGAAGAACTTGAAATCTGAAGCACTCTCTGTCTGCCGGCCTGCCACCCTCAAACCAAAACGACAATGAAACACCCAAGGCCCAAAACGCACCTCTCATGATCACCCGGCCCGAAAGCCGCCCGCCCCGCGCCTGAAGAAGTAGGGCGCCTCTCCCTCCACCACGTCCAGCGCCGCGCCAGCGATGATTCCCTGCCGCAAGCCTCGCGGTTCGCGACCGGCCCTAGATGGGTTCGAACACACCTGGTCCTATCCAAGCGATCCGACCCCCTCTAAAAATTGTGCCCCGATCGAGTCATGGACTCCATCTTTGTGTGGAAACTTCGGGATTCCATAAACTTTCAGCCCTCAGCAGTTGAGAATGGCCATGGACCCCGCGCCAAATCCTCGTTCTGTGGAGATCTGTAAGGGCAAGGAAGTGCACTACCCGCTAGCTGTCGTTTTCGCTGGACAGAGTCCCAAGTTGCCTGAAGTTCCCGCTGCATCCTTAGTCTTTGAGCATGACATCTAGTGCAGCAAGGCAATGACTGGATGACTGGATTGTGGGTGCCGGAAAGTCTGCATTGTGTCTGTTGGCGGCTACTCATGCGTTTGAGTAAGTCGCAGGCAGACAGGTTGCGGACGCCGAATCAACGTCTTTCGGGCGAGAAGCAAGGCAGTAAGTTGCCCCCCTCATGCAGAATCATGCACTGCAACCGAACTAGCGCCAACCAAAGCCGCAACCGCGGCCTCTATGCAGAACACATGCTGCGGCTTTGCCAACAAATAGGAAATCATCCAAACTCACTAGAGGGAGGCGAATGCGTCAGGCAGCTGCATCTAACAAATCGATTTTGATTAAATGGATGTAAAGGGAGGTATATGGCTGTGGCTCAAAGTCAGGTATCCCCCCGTGTGTAGGAATAAAAGAGCAACACAAGTTGAAAGTTATGCCCAACTAACCAGCCACGAATCCATGCATCCAGCAGTTGTCGCGCGCTTGCGGAACGTCCGGCCTTTGATCAAGGCGTTGGTGTCGATAAGGCCACCACGGGAGGTATTGACAATCCTTGGCAACATGGTTGTGAAAAACAACAACCTTTCAAGTCATACCAAAGTGGTCGATTCTCATATCCTTGGATAGTGAAACATTTATTGAAGGATACCAACGTGGTACCAACTTGGTTGGGAAAATAACCCTTTCAAGTGATACCAAAGTGGTCGATTCTCATATCCTTGGCCTCCTAGACTCTGGCCCAAACCCCAATTTTGCACAACCGTGCCTGTCAACGCGGCGTCCCTTTCAGGGAGTGAGACACGTGGTGATTTGCTGCTTGCAACAAACTGCCTGCGAGAATCTGAATCCCCATTGCCAGTAGTGGGGTGGACAGTGGAAGAAAGACTCGTTGTTGTTGCTCTCTTTCTTCCTGTGTATCTCTCTATCTCTGTACCTCTCCACTCTCTATGTCTCACTCTGTCTCTATCTGATTAGTTGTGCCTGAACATGGCAATGAGTGGACTCAACGGATTTGCTCCGTCTTGATTGACCATTCAGTAAGCCCCTCGGCAGTTTGAATTGGTGAAACTGCCATCGGTCACTCACTCTAACAAACACCAACCTGAATCATCTGAGACACTGCAGCCATTTTCAAGCTCAAGCAAGCTGCATCCAGCGTTGCTAGCCTCAACGTTAGTTCGACTCCATACAGCTTGGGAATTGCTTTCGCCTCCCGGAACCAACACACTGCAATGTGTTTCTACTTCCCCTCTGATCATGGGCTGGAACTTTAATGCAATTATATGAATTGATCGTTGCCCACCACTTGAAAACCCAAACTGGCGCGCAAGAACGGACCACCAAACTCATGATCACCCTGGCCCATCCTGTGCGGCTGGGTTTCATGATGCCTTTCTTCATGATCTTCAGCCGCTCCTAGCAGGGTTGGGTATGACTTCAATCGGCCAAGCATCGGGCAGTTTGAACATTGACTCACAAACTGTCGGTTGGAACTGTGCAACCAAGATTCAACACGGGCGTGCAACGAATTTAGAGATATCCCGGGCACAAGGCAAGAAGAGAACGAAGCGTCATTCGGATCCATTTTGCAAACCACCAAAGGAGCCCCATAAAGAGACCGGGCGGAATCCACTGTGCAACTGGGACTTGTGTTGATCATCCCTTCTAAACAAATATCGATCTCCTTTAGGATACGCATTACCATGTGTATCCCCCACTCGCGCTTGCGGTTCGGCACGCGGCCTTAGGGGCGTGGCCAGCATTGCCATGCTTAAAAAGGCTACCTCTCAATACAATGGGCCCGACAAAAACGCGTCGTTCTCTTGTTTTTTCCTTGGGACAAGCAATCTGCTTGAACCGCCTCCCAGTTCCATGGGCCCCACAAAAACGCCGTCCGTCCATTCTCGTTCTTTTTCTGGGGGGGGAAACCGACCGAGACTCCGCCTCAAGCGCTTGCGCTCGCGCTCGCGCTCGCGCCTCGTTGATCATGTGCTTGGTGGTGGGCAGCAAGGGCGCGTGCAGGGAAATGAAGTCGCAGCTCGCCAGCAGGGCGTCCAAGTCCATGTAGGGGATGCCCAGACCTTCGTGGGGCTGTTGCTTTTCACGGGGGCGGCTAAAAGTAGCTGGATCCCAAAAGTAGTTGGAACCCAAACTTAGTTCCAAAAGTAGTTGGAACCCAACAGTAGTTGGAACCCAGGTGGAAAGTGAACCAACAGCTTCTTAAATTGTTCCGTGGGACCCCCCTTGCTTTCTTCTGGTTTGCCTGGCCAAAACGTGGCCGGTCCCAAAAGGCCCGGCGGTTTTCGTAACTCGGGTCACTGGCAGGGAGCACCGGCGGCCATCTTCTTGGAACCAAAGCGTCCTATGTGGAGCTGCCATTTGCGGGGTTGGCTTGCTTGAAGCGAAGCCAAACGGAAGCCTAAGCTATCCATACTCTGAGAACTCATAGTATAATGGAGTCTCCAAGCAAGGTACTGAGCTCCCCCTAGCCACCCTTCCAAGGCAAAGGGCATGCTTTTGGGTTCATTTGGGTTTCGTGTCACCAAGTCTCTCACTCCCCTTACGTCCATCTCGATTCGGCGAACGTAATGAATATGTCGAAAAGGGGATTCTTCTCGATCTCTGCAGCTTGCGGTCGAAGACTAGAAACTACCCGGCAACCAAAAAACACGCTGTATCCCAGCAGTACCAAGGTATCCCTACACAAAACCAACACAAGAGAGATGCATTTAAAGCAGCACACGGGTGTCTCCGAAACTATTTTTGGAAGGAGTCCTTTCGTCTCCCATTGAAACGCCGACCAAGGGGCGGTCCGAATTTAGGAACATTCCGAAATCGTAGCATATAGATGTATTTTGCTGGAGAAAAGGGAGATAATTCCCAGTCGGGATACCCAGGGCGCACGCACATTTGGGGAACATGATATCGATCCTCAGAAGTCATCTACCAGCCGAGCAGATGGAGGTTGCTCCAGCTTACGCAAAGCCACTGGTGTCCGAACAAACTGGTCCATGCTCAAAAGCGCGAGAAGTTTGCGCATCTGCACCAATTCCCATGACGGCTCCTTGTAGGTTCACCACGAGAAGATGCAATCAACATGTGCCAATCTCTCACATGTAAACCAACTGAAAGGGACATCTAAGGAACAAAACAGTGGCTGGCCGATGGGCAGGGTTGGTAGCCGGTTGCGGTGTTCCTATACTGGCGCCGAAATTCATGTTCCATGAGGATGTTCAATGGCTGATGATGAGATAAGCTAAACATGCATACGTTGTTCTGGTTGTACCAAGCGTGGTTTTGCAATTTGTCCAGGGACATCGCTACGTCAGCGTGGGCAGAACAATTGACTGCCTTCCTTGCGGCAACTCGCGCTGTGAGCGCAAAACTTGCATCTTGAAGGCGACCAGTGGCCCTGGATTCTTGGCTCAATATTCGTGCTGTGTAAACCCCCAGCGGATTCATGAGCGCTACCATCCCAAGTACGGGGGTTGTGACCACTGCACACATGGACCTGTTGCAACTCCAAACCCTTGTCCCTGACATCAGATCTCATTTTGGGGCCAGTCGTCCCTGTGGCCCCATGGCCGGGGGCGTGTACTTGGGACCCTGCCTTCTGGCTCCGGATTCTTGATCTTTGGGTTCTCCTGGGCCGAGCTTTCAAACTTCCGCAATGCCGGGTGAGGCGATTCCTACGGCCGTTGGTGAAGTTCTTTCAATGCCTCTGCCTGCAGGTGGAAACTACTGAAGCCTTCGTGGAATGATTTCGGCGATCGAGTAAAGCGGGGAAAGCAATCAGCACCCTGCATTTATGCGCCATACGTCACCATGCGATTGGCAGCCAAAAAGCGATACAAATCCCAGCTGTCAGGAAAAATACACGGACTTCTGGCCAGCTATCGAATGGACGCGCACACGCCATCAGCCGAAGCTTCATGAATCCTTTCCCTCAACCCCAACAAAGGCCTTGGCGTACCCCTCACAAACCAACACACACGCACACGCACAGACACACACACACACACACACTCACACACACATGCACTCCTACACCCACATGTGTTTCATGCATCTTGGCAACCTTTCATGCATGATTTGCTTCTTCTTCTTCTTCTTTTTTCTCTCTCTCTCTCTCTCTGGCTCTCTCCTCCTGTCCCGTTGTTCCCTCTTTGCCTCCCCCCACCATCCTTCTAATTTAGTTGCCTCTCCCGCCCCTTTGTCTTCTTTTATCCGGCTTTTTCTTCGGCCCGGGTTCTTCGGTTTCGGACTTTATTTTTCTTTGCGGCTCGGGCGTCGAAGACGTCGTAGGCCACGACCTCGCAGTCGAAGCCCTTCTTCAGCACGCGCGCCGCGATGCTGCCGATGAGACCTCTCGGCCGCTTTGCTGCCGGGCTTCGTCTATTTTCGTAGGGGAACCGAATCTCCCAACCAAAAAAGAAAGGGTAGAGAAGGGCACCAATTGCTGGGGGACCTAGTGAGAAGAAACTTTGCGCCAGCTCCCACTTGGCAAGATGAACTGGGCAGATCTCTTGAGCGAACCAAAAATATATACGTTCCCGCAGTGTCCGAGAAACTATACCAAGCGGACTCGGCTTGTGATATGGATCAATGGCATATAATACAACGTACAATCCACGTGGCTGTGGCTCAAAAAACCAGTACCAAAATGAAACCCTGGCAAGTGGAAACTTTTTTCGTAACCCCTCCTGTTTAGTTTTGAGCCGCCCATGTCTGCTTGCATGCTGATCACTCAGCACCCTAAAAAACACACGCCTTTGAACCCATGGCCTCATCGGCGGGTGGCAGATCGAGCTGACGGGCCCAACGGATTTTGACGCAAAGCGCTCCTCTTTTGGTGGGGTTGGTTTAATGCGAGAACAGAAGGAACCTATGTTTGGGGTGCCCCTATTTTGAGACTGACCCACATGTCTGTGGAATGCTCAAAATGGCACATGTCGAAATGTCTGCATGCTCGCATAATACTTTTCTTGGCACCCTGCTCCACCGTGCGAGCTTTTCTAGCATAGTAGTGCTAATTCCCCTTCCACGTCTAAAGGGATGGACATGACATTCTGCTTAGCGAATGTTCACAAACAAACACACCATTCTACAAATCTCTGTATGTTCCAAGGGTGCCCAAGTGGCTTTGTCCACAGAAAACGAATGTGAAAGGATGATTCGCGACATTCCTTCTTTTGGGATTCCTGATTGAGTCATGCACCAAAGGCCCGACTGTTCCCTCTGATGTAACCCGAAACCCTCGTTGATTCGCATTAGTGCTCACTTGATTGCGAAGCTAAGAAGCAGAGCGGATACAGTGCGCCCTGGCTTCGCCTTCCCAGGAAACATGAGCCTTTTTTTCTATCAGCAGTGAGCTCAGTCTTTGGTCCAGAATGTGTGGTTTTCACTTCTTTCCATTTGGAAGTCTTGTCTCTGCATTTGCAGAGCCAGAGTCAGCGACCTGCTCACTTCGTTGGTAGCTCACGTACTGCCTCCAGGATCTTTCGCATCACTTCCTTCAGATCGGCAGGCAGGGCGTCGCCGGCGATGTGGGTGAGCACCCAGTTGGCTTCGACGCCCGCCGCCTCGGCGGCCGACTCCTTCTTCACGGATCTCACGGTCAAGGGGACGGATTTGCTGAAGTCCAACCCCAGCGGCTTAGAAGTGAAGACCACTTCTTTCGTGGAGTCGTCAGGGAGCTTAAACATGAAGCCAGCTTTCGGCGCCTCTGGCGCTGGTGCCTCAGGTTCCGCCGGAGGAGCTTCCTCCGGCATACTGGGAAGAGCGTGCACCTCCTCGATCTCCCCTCCTTCCTTGGCGCAGCAGCAAGCCATCATCATGGCAGCAATCCGATGCGGGCGATTGATGACTGCAACTATGTGGTTCTTTTTGCCCAGAGACGCTTGAGCCACAAGTCACGCAACCTTTTGGACTTTTGAAAAAGTCTGTCTCCAAATGGCAGAAACCCGCTTGGGACTTGTGGGTCTTTCATCAAAGAGCGCAAGCCCCTTTTGAGTGGCAGTAAACCAGTTCTTTACTAACATGGTTTACCGAAAACCATGTAAAGAATCGAAGAGGCGGATCCGCACCCATTTATCTGCAATTCTTACTACAATTTCCAAAAAGCGGAATTAAGGGCTCCCCAAGTAGAGGATCTTTATCATGGTGGGCTCGTTTTTTTTCCCCTCCCGATGGGTGAGCTCGCCACAAAGTAGGCCAGACATGTCTGGCAAGGGGATGGTCCCTTAGCCTCCAATGTCCTGGGCTGTGAGGACGTGACGTTGAAAAGGGGTACCTGAGATAAGACAGTCATCTGAACGGAATCTTGCTGCCTTCAATCGCACATTCTCCCAAGGGAACCTGCGCTGCTTCCGTTCTCCGAGGCTCAGATGGGCGATTTTCTATGAGACATGCCCAAATCCTTGGAAGCAGGGTGCGCTTGGCATTGATACTGTCTCTTCCTGGGTTGAAATTCTGGTAGCAGCTGTCGCCAATCCCTTCCCTGCGCCTTTTTGACGAGTCGTGCGGTTGTTGGGTGTACACGACTCCTTCTGTGGTGGGCAATTCGGGGCTTCGAGAGCAATACTTGCGTCTGTTTCTTGGGGTGCTGCAGGGATTCTGGTGTTTGGTGCCAGATACATATATATATATATAATGTATGCATATAGTATATATAGCAGGAACAACGAGCGGAGGTTAGCCCTGGGAGCAGCTTTGTTTGCAAAAGGTTCGAGTACTTGGTTTTGGGCAACTCTCTTGGCAAGTAGACGACGAAACACCCCGATTTCTGCTGCATCTGCTCGCGTGGCTGCGACCGCTTGGTGTAAGAACTCAGGCTGCAAGTGTCACAGGAGCCACGAAAACACTCCGATGCCGTCGGACACTTGTGTCGGCAATCAATCCTCACACCCCTTTACTGCAAAGCTCACCTTCCAACATGTACTGCCAATGCTTGCTTCCAAATTCAGGTGACTGCACCGAATGAAGGTCATGATTCATGAAGAATAACATGTGCTGTCACGCTGCCCTGGCCGAATATTCAGCAATGCTTCATGTGTGTCAAAATCAAAACATCTACTTACACAAGTTGCATTCGCCTTGCCGGTACCCCGATGTCTTGCCAACATGGTACCATTGCTTTAAGTTGCCATGTCATCCTGCCCGTAATGCCGATTGTGTAGCCCGGATGCCTGCCTGTGCCGATAATGCCCACACGCTTGCCGGCCAAATCTTGTCCTGAGCAGAAGACGTCTGGGCAAGTGCTATGCCTGGCATGATCTGAGCCATGCTCAAGACACAAAAGGACACAGCGAGTCCGTCCAAGCAAAACCGTGATGATCGGTGATGTGCCTCTTTCAAAGCAGTGACAGTGATCTCCCGATTGAACCTAATAGAAGAAATCTCCTGCATCATTGGACCAACCAAAAAGCAGGTATGAACAAACCAACACACTCATATTACGTTCAGTGCACAAAGCATTGCTCGTCGGCCTTCCCCAGGCAAACTGATGCAGGAAACATCCCTGACAAACACAAACGCTCAACAATCATCAATTGTCGAGCAAGCAGCCATCCAGGCATGCTCCAAACAGTGTCAGTTCAGTGTCTCTGTTGGGAAGTCAGCGTGGCATTTCCATACAGGATCATTCATCGTGATTTGGGCCTTGTCTTGTGTCGATCTTGAGAGCAGGACAGCTTGTCAGATTCACCTCTTACTGCTTGATCATGATAAAACACACACACTCTTGGCCAAAAGTGTGCTTGTGTGAAAGCAAGTCTCCAATCCTTTTTTTTCCTCGTTGCTATCTACAACGATGCTCGTCTGTGTAGGGTTTGAGTTGGGGTCGCACTCGTTTCCCGGTTTCACCTATTGGTGGTTCGGGGATCCTGCCTGTTGGCTTTGGGGCTGAACATCGAGGGAACCAAGAAAGAGTTCAGATTGAAAATTGGCGAAAACCAACCTAATATGATTCTAGCTGCTTCGGTGCAAGCAAAAAGGCTCGAAACCAACAAGAGAGGCACTACTCTCTCCCCAACAAGGATAACACCCCCCCAACATGGCATGTCTTTCCTTTGATTGGTCACTGGCCAAGCACGAATTGTCCTGAAGCCTTGCGTGCAGGAAACAGCTTGCTTTTCATTTGGGGTGTCCAGAGAAGCTGCTCAAACTGACATGGAGTCTGTGCTTTTGTGAGGCCATCCTATTTTTGGGGTCGGTCTAAAGAGAAACCCAAAAAGCCACATTTTAGCATTTGGGGGGTAGTTCTCAAATTAGTGGACCCCGTTTGATTGGGCTTGGGAACAGGAACAACCGCAAACGCCCTCCCATTTTGGGGGGTCCAAATGGGTTTGTCCTTCTTTTGGGCACCCACACAAAAAATGGCGAGCTTTGCCTTCCCCAAACAAACCGAACACGGGGAGTCCCTTAAAGGGGCCACACGTCGAACTCCCCTGGACAGCCCAGTCACCCAACAAGCCCGCGAGCTTGAAGTTCCCCATGCGGGAGTTCCGGTAGGCCCGGGCGATGTGCCGGTTCCTCGCCGAGCAACACGATCCGATCCCATGGGCAAGGAACGGAACCCGAGAAAGTTGGGAACCCAACATGGTCTGAAAACAGCCATGTTCATATTGCAATATTTGTTTTGGGGGGGTCGAACAAATGGGGACCCAAAGTTGAGGTTGGTTCATGATACGAGTTTGAGTACAAATGGGTTTGCCTCAAAGGAATCCCACATGTGAGGTGTTCGCAATGGCTTCAAGGGAAAACAACATCAACCATGTACCCTGAAAAAGACAAAGCAAGTAAAACATGGGAGCTTGATTGTCAGAGTATTGCACACTGGCAAGCACTTTTCGTGGCGGCGTGGATTCAATGGTTATCTATACCAAATTTGTTGTTTCGAGTAGACTGGAATGTTGCGGTGACCGTGCACTCTGCTTTGCAATCCGCTCCCATGACCGGCACGTCAACCCGGCACTACAAGAAGAATGACGTCATACCGTGTGGTCCATGCTAGATTGCTTGAGAAGGCATCATTGCCCAAGAAAAGGCACTTTCGCTTGATGACGTATATTATTGAGTGTCTTGTAGACCCGTTTGAACAGCAATGGGCCCAAAAGCTGCGTAACATGTGAAACAACGCGAAACTGGCATGCGACCGTCTCCAGTTCCGACACTCATTCTAAGAAAATTGTTGCCAGTTCTTTGTCAGTTCGCGCCTGTGTCATCTAAAAGTTGATGCCATCGCTAGGCAGAAGGCAAGGGACAAAAACCAGCGAGGTGGCAATTGAGAGATCTGCAGAGTCCTAGTCTTGAAGTTTTCATCCCCATGTGAGTCATAATCAAAACCCGGCATCAACATGGTCTACCCAGAACCATGTGAGAATTAAGAAGGCGGCCGCAGCTATTTTTGGTTGGGAGTATCCCTTGCTACCCGGGTTTGGAGAACGTGGCTCATGTGTCAGTGTCACATGTCAGCCTCCAACACTCCAACTATCCCCCAGGAGCTCGAGCACAGCCTTAAGATTCTGACAAAAATAATCCACACGTCCCGCGACGAGAGGCAGGGACAAAAGAAGAGCCACCGCGTGTTCCCCGACGGCATATGGGCCTGGGCGGCGGTTTCTCCAGGTCTTGGTTGCTGTTTGACCCTGCCAAATGTGAACAACTTTTGGTGGGTTCAATTCGGAAAACCCGGTGCTTTCAAGCAAAAAGTGAAAAAGTCTAAAGATCCGTTACCCAATAGCAATCAAGAAATGGTGTCTTCAATTTCTGTCCCCAAGACAGAGCTGCTGGCGAATATGTCGACTTCAAGACACGTTGCGGCCTGGAGACTTCAAGGGCTTGACATCAGCCAAAAACACAGCTGCCACTTTCTGAAGGGGACCCACGTTTTGCCGGCCTCTTGCCTCACGCCAAACGCGTCAAAGACCCCCAAATTCAGCTAGGAAGGTCCAGGGAGATGATGCGGGCGAGCGATAACCGGACACTCCAGAGTTCAACACTGGCGCAATTTTTTGAGCTAAAGAGCCCACCTGAAGGGCTGGCAGTGCACGTGTCGTCTGGGCTGCCCTCAGATCCCCCGCTAAAAGTGACGAACTTTTGGTTGGTCGAATGGAAACTACCAGTAAACACGAAAAGGCTAAAAAGCTAAGGGGATGGCTGGGAGCCACCAAGTCGTATACAACCTTCCCAATTCCTGCTTTCCACCAAGGTCTTCCTTGCGATACCTGGCTGCGCCGATATCTGAAAGCCTCCAAATAAAGCTTCCTAACAAGCGAGTCGGTACCGTCAATGGAATTCTGCTACCACCCATCTGCCAGCCCGGCTTCGGTTGTTCCTTTGTTCGATTGAATCAACCATAACAAATATATTTATACCCCACACGCACACAACAGAATGTTGCCAACACCCGTTTTTTGTCCTTCATCGCTGCTGCCCAGGCACGTCCTACATACGGACCAAAATATTCCGGCCACTAAGCTGGCTGCACAATGCCGGTCATTCCGGGCAAATCCTGTGGTTGCTTGATTCAGATCCTCTTCTTCTGCTTCTTCTCTGCGGGTCATTCGAGGCAACTCCTGTGATTGCTTGATGTTCCTCGTCTGATTCTTCTCTGCAGTAGACCATCAACACATCCGTCCCATCATAGCTTTCGGCGCGTTCGTTCTATGTCCACTGCGGTGCTACCTTGCTTTGCTTGTCCGCACCCTGATAGGCGAGTGCCACTTGCATCTTGGAGAAGCACTGCGCAGTCAGCTGAGGATGCACCTCTGGCATTTCGCACAGCGAGTAAGGGACGTTCTGGCTTAGAATCTCAGTTCCTGCTCTTGTACGAGCTGTTTGCAAAAAGTTCTTGATCGCACCATCGCTCCGCACCCGTGATTTCCAGGCCCGGAAGCAGTGAGAAGGCTTCAAAAGCAAAGCCATGCGGGTCTGGCGCCTCCGCGACTTGTTTGTAATCCAGCAACGCCCAGTCATGCAGCTGTGGTTCGTCAATGAGCTCAACCATCTGTTCATAGGGCTCCACACTGAGTCGAATCACGCCTGCCTAAATAGAGCAATCCGAAGTCTATGAAAACAGGAAGCGCCGTGCTCCCCCTTGTCCATGTGGATGTGATGAGGGCCGCCCCCCACTGAAAGCATCTCCAGGCTCACTGAAATCAAAGCCACTTACAGCAACCCACCTCTCCTCGCGGCCTTTGCTGAGCCAATTCAAGCGTGGATCCACTGAGCCTAGGCCAACGGCACCCGGCTTGCAACGAACTGATTGGAGATCGCAGGATGCGAAGAAAGGGACAATCTGTTTGCGATGGGCAACTCTGTGCAGGCCAGTGCGCTGGTGCGGTTCCGGACATGGCAACACAAACACAAATAGAACGACCTTGCTCGAGCAGTTCCTGGACTGAAGGCTGTCAAGTCCCTCCTTGTGATATTATCACAAGGAGGGACTTGACGGCCTTCAGTCCAGGAACTGCTTGAGCAAGGTCGTTGGCGGCGAACAGGGACTCCTGAAACCCGAAAAAAAAGAGCCCGTGATTAAAGCGATTCCTCGACGTTCCCAAGACCCAGGCCGGGCTCGGCCGTATAAAGAGCGCCAGTCCCAAGGAGGCTGAGGCACATCCCTGGCCACATACCGCGGACACCGCGATGTTTGCGGATCCTGGAACTCGTTGCTACCATGGCCGTCGCAAGACTCCACTGGTGATTCCTCACATCCGCTGGATGCGTGGGTAATCTGTACGCCTGGCTGTTTTGACGAGCGCTCGCGGGCAGCGGAACCACCTCACAACTGGTAACTTCTGATGTCCACCATTCAGCTGTTTCCTGCTGTGGCTTTAAAGGAAAAGGACAACTGAAAGGACAACCTTTGGACCATTTTGGGGGGTGTGTCCTCCCCCCCCAAAAAAAAACCCCAAAAAACGACAAGTTGAGCCACCCATGTAGTTCTCATCCATCCCCTCCACCCACCCCCCCCCCCCACCCCCCAGACGTGCCGCGGCGCTATAGGCCGGCACCCGCGCCACCGTCACGCCGTTTTTCTGCGCGGCCTCGAGGTCCACCCGGTCGAAGCCGGCGCAGCGCAGAGCGATGAGCCGGACCCCCGCCTGCCGTGGGCCACTTGAATCTGGTCCCGAAAACGGCGGTTTTCTGCTTGGATTCCCTGTAAACCAATAAGCACCTGACCAATCTAAGCAATAGTATCCATTTCACACACCCAAATGGGTGTGTTTGGGCCACTCACTCGCCCAAAGGACCTGCAAATCAAAGGTTGACCTTTTGGGGCCACCGAAAATGGACCATGGGAACCAAAAATGGAGCACGGGAAGACAAACGCCAAAGGTCGATTCGCTTTGGACAACTGAGAAAAGCCCATGCAAATTTAAACATCGAAGATGGGCACGACGGAGGCTCCATGTGCACACACTTTCAAGGGCTATCCCGGAAGATATTTGGGTATGGATCAACATGGAAGTACCAGGCGCCATTTTGGGCTCCATATTTGGAGCCACAGCCTTGATACCCCGAACATGATACTGCGGGGGGTCCTGTTCATTGCGAGCTGCTTGCAGGTTGGACCCCCAAATTGGAAGAGCCAGATGGCCCCTGAGCATTCTTGGCGGTATCCCGGGCAATGAGTTTCTATGGCTCAAGCACAAGGCCCACCAAAAAGTCCCTTTGGTCCTTTTGCAACAAATCCGGTTCTTGATCCATCATAGAAGCTTCATTTGTATCACCAGCAAAAAGTCAAACGGCACCTAACTCCGCACCAGGCAATACGGCATTAGTTGTTTGGTACCAAAAAGGACCTGGCTCTTCGACTCTCTAGACAGAACCACTCAACCGCAATGTGCAATCAACTGTATGGCTTCCGAACCATGGAGCCATGGAAGAGGAAACCTTATCTTCCCGACCCTTTAGTTCTAGTGCTCTGGATAAATCGACCCCCAGGCATCCAACGATCATAGATTCAACATCTTTTCAACCTGGGTTTCCACATGTGTCCTGAAACTAATTGAATCGGGAATTCGGGGTTGCCTTTATGCTCCGGGTTTGGCGTTGCCTCCCTTAGGCTAAATCTGCCCCTTTTTCCTCATTGGAACACCTCCTCCATGACCGGAGAGTGCCTGGCTCAACTTCTCCACCACCTCGGCGCCTTCGGTTCGACGATTGAAACCCACAATGATTTTTGTTTGTTTGTTTTTTCCTTCGCATATCCACGGTCAATATTCCAATGCAATCCCCCTACTACAATTACTACAACACATTGTGGCGAATATTGACGCGTTCTCATGTACCAAAAAAAGCAAATGGATAGCAATTGAGGTACAATGATCCATGCCAGTTGCGCAATAAAGTTATGCTTTCCGAAGTTTCCCGAAAGGCCCTTCTCCTGTTGCCAGGCCTTTCTTCACCTGGGTAAGCCGATCTTCGCTTTGGGAGCTGAGGGTAGGGGGTCGAGAGTTGTCCCACGGCCAAGGCAACCAGAACCTGGATTTGTCGATCCTGGTGCCCTCAAAGGACCCCTTTGATCATCCCAAGGGTTGACCGCACAAACCATGGAAGCGCCACGGCTTCAATTCGAGCTTCGTCCATTGGACACGGATGTCTGAGTCTGGTGCAAAAAGCCCCGAACACGGTCAACCGCTAGGCCTGCGGCCCAAAAAGCCCCTTGCCAGGTCAGAGGGGGGTCCGCAAGAAAGGAACCTTGGGTCGGACATCCCCTCTTCCGTCTCTCACCTCTTTCAGCATTTTCAAAGGGGCACCATTCTTAGGCTTTCAGGTTGATTATCAGGCATTGAGCCAAATAAGCTCACACTCTTCTGCCATCTTTTCACTTTCTGACTGCGAACTGCTCCCAGCGGAGAACTGCGAATTGCGAACTCCGGGCGCGCCTGCGTAGTCATTAACAAAGGTGCACACAGCATCGCAGCCAGAGGCGAGCTTTGTCGTCTCCTTAGGCGAGAGCCATTCAAGGCATTCAACACATGACCTTCAAAAGACCTCTATGGATCGAGACGCGGCATGTGAATCTCGCATAAACACCCTGAGGGCTGCCCGGAAACTCGTCGTTTTTTCTCCAGTGGTTCGCTTCAAGCCGAGGCTTGCTTCAAATCCTCCATCCCTGGGAGGAAAAAACCGGGGGGCTGAGAAATGACATACTCCCCCCCGTTGGCTCCGGGTGAGAAAATAAGTAATGGCGATTGAGCACCCAGAGCCGGAAGGGTTTGCTATCCTTCGGGCAGACCCGGCGCATCCCGTCTGCCATGTACCTCTTGAAGCCAGATGGCCATTCATGGTGGATTCACACCCCCCAAAGGAGTGGACGGGTGGGTTACAAAAACGGGATTGCTTATTACTCGGCGCAGAACGAGTCAAGAGAAACCGACTGGAACCTGAAAAGCCAGTACCCTCCGCCCAATGATATGCCAAGAGTCATGACCAATGATGCATGTTGGAGAAATGAATGTCTCGCCCAAGTGAGCGGCCTTTGTGTTCTACCAACCTGGTCAGAACAACTTTGTAGAGTGCCACCCCTTGATCCCCACTAAGTCAACCATGGAGAAAAGGAACCTCTTACAAAGATTACAATCATGCGCCGCTTTAGGTTCTTTTCATTGATGTCGTTGACTCTGCTATCAACCAGACGTTGAAACCAATATGGGAAAGCGCCTTGAGGCACATGTTTTACACATGTTCGTTTGGAATTGGACAATCACTTAAACACGCTTGACCAGGCGCATATGTCAATACTCCCTTTCGACGGTCGGACAGCCAACACATCAAGGCAACGAAAGGGGCTGACCGACGAGAGCCCTGACTTGGGGTGTGAGGGAACCCCGGGGTTTGCACACTTTGGATGCAGATCAAATGCACTGTGGAAGACACTTGCAACTTGAAGGGGTGAACAGCCAATCCCAAACCGGTGGAATGCCTACTATATGCTTCCGACTTTCGGACCCATGGCCATGAACTGTGCAAAAACAAACACGGGATTTATGACCTCACACCAGCTGCCAAGTGGACATGTTGCACAACATCCGCCGTCTACTCCCCCCCCCCATCCATCGACGTGCCCCGGCGAGGTTTTCTGCTGGCGGCGAGGGTGAGCTGCTCTTCGAAGTATCTGAATTCAATGCCCATGGCCAAGTCCTCACCCGGTTCCGACATCGGAAGGCAAAGCACGCACATAAGCACGCAGCACATCGGATCGATGGCCCGCCAAAGGTTGGTACAAAGGGTAACAAGGCGATTTGGATCCAAGAAGGGCTGGCCATGGTGTCTTACAGCTAAAGGGCAGCCTGCAATTTTAAACTTAGCAACTTTGGAATTGCTCGCCGTTTGGAGGCACAATGCGGTTGGCTGCACTAGCAAAAAGCAGGAGAGCCTACCAAACAACCACGTTGAAACGCAACCTTCCATTTTGTTCCAGCATGATGCGCTGCTTGGGTTGACTTGCATGCATTCGCTGACTTATGGGCATCATCTGATGGCGCTCAAACCTCCGGCAGACATGGTGAGGTTCAGGAGGGTCGGTAAAGACTGATTAATGACTAGCACCTGAAGCCCCCCGGAATTTTGTGCAACTGAAGTTCCCTGGGCAACAACAACGCATAAGCCCTTTCATAACATAGCTGTCCTAAAGGTTGATCTTCGCTGTTCAGATGCCATTCAAATTCTTGGCATTGTGGAGAAGGATTTCTGAAAACTATGAAGGGACGTACAGCTTGAGCAATCCACACACGTGAATAGAAGTAATCGGGTTGTCTTCAAAGCTCATGTCATGACCACTTTGCCATTTGGGTATGTGTCAAAATTGAGGGGACCCCAAAGAAATATGTGTCCTTTTGGTTTCCCTTTAAACCAAGCTGACCAGGGTAAGCACAAGGGTACCCTCAAAGAAACACATACCCAGTTGCCCCCCCCAGGTCGCAAAGTTCTGCAGCTCATGTCTATGCTGTGCATCTGGCTTCGATTCGCGCAACAGTGCGAGCGAGCTCGCCGAGTCCTGGTTTGTCTTGTCAAACCACGCCTTGTCGTAAGGCGCGCTGGAAAACAGGGCCACCTTCCGACCAAGCGAAGGCGATACGGCGGAAGACGGTCCATGCTGCAAACCCTGAAGCAAAGCGGTCGCTCAGCAAAAACACGGATCCCGGGCTTGCCGTTGAGCTTGACTCCACAAGTAGAAAGATTCCGTGCACCGGCCAGGGAGCGGAGCTTGGCCTTGCTGTGGGAAGGAGTGATTGCCTTGCACGCAAAGATCGACCTTTTCTCGAACTACAATCTACATTTCATCTGCTTGTTGCGCAGCTTCCACCGAGTGCTTCGGGGTGCCCAGTAGTCCCTGTCCGGCCGTCTCTATTTTCCTGAGTGCCCAGAAAGAGGGTCAAATTCACAAGTCGTTCAAAGAAATGCCACAGGAATAAGACTCCTCGAGTGATGCCTCATGATGTTGACCTCGGCATTGATCTGAAACCCCTGGTTGTTTTATATTGGGCATCCAATGCTAGAAGAGAGCCTTCAGTTGTGGGGGTGTCGGGGGGGAGGGGCGCGGCAAAACATCTCAAAACAAACACAATCTGCCAGACTCTACTTCCCAGTTGCCCGTGACTCCTGAACAAATGTCCCTTGGTTGACCGCTAGAAGGCACTCCACCAAACAACCAAAGATTCAGAGTTTGGGTGAAACAGAACGTTTCGAGCTAATGTTCATGTTCTGATTTCCATTCTTCGGCCAAAACCATTCGTGACAAGCCCCCTGTGCTTGGCTTACCAAAAGTCGAGGCCCGTTTTTTTCTTTTTCAATCCAAAGCGATTCGCTGCTCGCTAAGCCCTCGGCTTCGCGCCTTGAAGCTGCCGGACGGCGCAAGGCTGGCCTTGGCTTTGAAGAGCCACGCCAGGAACGCCTCCGAAGCCGCGCGCGCGCGCGCGCCGAAGGCATCCGGAGGCTACGGCTGCAAATATGAAATCCAGGTACCAGCATTATGGGGGGATACGATTTGGGATACCAGGTAGATTGAAAAGCGAGGTGCGAGAAAGAGAGAACCCCAGCGCAAGGATTGGAGAGGGGTACTGGTACATGCAGACCTTGCCAAACTCCAAAACAATATGGAGATGAGCACCCATCCAAGCTAACCAGGTCCTCCAGCAGAGAGGATAGAATAAGGGTACCTTTCTTTATGTAATCTATTTTAGTAAGGGAACCCTCCCAACCAAAAAAATATAAAGGGCACTACTGGGGACCTATCTATGCTAAAGGGCTGGGTGCGGTGGATCTCTGCTGTTCGACTCACAGCTATCTTGAGTCCGCAAGGCCACGGCAGGTCAAAGACAGTGAAACTCCCCTTTTTCAGTCCCCGGACCCTCAAACTACCCTTGAAACACTTGCGGACACACTTTTGAGAAAAATGGAGGTGTATCTTGAGGGTCCAGGAATTCTATTCGTTGCTTCGTCTTTGATCTCCGTCGCCCTTTCGCTCTTTGTTCCCCGCCCCCCGAGAACCACTGAACAAAAATCGCAGTCAGCAGTCCTCGTACTTCACCTGCTCGCCCCAGGGAGTCAACAACATCTCCTGGGCAAACCAAACCGAACGCGCGGATACGTGGGGGTTGATCAATATTCCGTTCGGCCCGCAAATGACCATGGGACACGTTTCCCGTTTCGTGGGTCACTTCTCATATTTCTAGTGGCTCTCAATGGCCATCCAAGTTCCCGGACCTTAACCAAACACTGGGGTCACTGGATGTCCCCTATCCTTTTGTTTTTCTGGCGACGGAAAATCGATCGCTGGTTCCGATGGCGCGGCAACCTTGAAGGTGCCCCAGCCGTGACGTCTAAACGAATGGCCGTTTTGGCACCCATTTCAGGCAACTTTTTTTTTGGGGGGGTTCCACCAGTTCGGAGGCCCTCAACCAGAGGACCTGTGAGTGGCTCGTCTTCCAACTTTTGTTTGCCTCGGACCCCTCAACATGGCGCAACGGTTTTGCACTTGTCCCGTAAAAACACCAGCCAAACGGGGTTCTCCCAAGAAAGACACGGCCCATATCTTCGTAGCAAGGGGCGCCCAAGATTTGGTGATGGCTTGCACCATTTCTTTGGGCGGGCTCAAATAAATTTCACCGTGGGCCAAAACAAAATCAAATCCACAAGGATACAAATATCAAATCGGGCCAGCTACTGTACATGTGCTGTGGATTCGAATCCGAGAAGTCCGTTTCACCAAACCACACCAAACTAAACCGCACCAACCCAAACCGCACCAACCCAAACCGCAAAAAACTTCTTCGGCCAACGAAACACCCAGTCCCTCCTCCCCTTTCTCGCAGCTCCGAGAAACAAACACCACCCGACCCGACGCGGCGACGCGGACGCGAGGTCGCTCGCCAGCGACGCCATCGGTCGGTCCACGTCTTCTTCCTGCCACGAGGGCAGGTGCTGCTCCAGGGTCAGCAGCAGCTCCGCGCGGCCCAGCGCGCCGGTGCCTGGAGAAGCGGACGTAGCCTCGCCTTCAAGGTCCTCCAGTAGAGGTTGGTCTGGGTTTCCAGTAGGGAGGTTAGAATAAGGATACCATGTTTTTCCTATTTTGCTCCCCCCACAAAAGGGTAGAAGGGCACTACTGGACCTAGTCTTCTTTTTTGGGGGGAGCCCAAAAGAGGGAAACTCTTGGCGGTTATGTTGTTTTTTCTTGTTTGGAGGGAACCTCGTTTCTGTTTGGGTTTGGGGTTTACATTGAAGAACCAAAGGAGCATGATCAGACTTTTTGGGGTTTCACTGAGACAAACCCACATGAAGCCGCCACCATTTGCGTGGCTCGTCTTTGTAGAACCCCCCCCCCCCCCCCAAACAAAAATCATAAAGAAATGCTCATTTCGGTGGTCCTGGTACAAAAAAGACAGACCCATGTGTAGATTTTGCATGGGAGGGCAAGACACCGAAAGTGCGACGTTGCGTTGATTTGGATTTTCTGGGGAAGGCAGATTTTTGAAGACTGATTTTAAGGTTTCCCGTTGAAGGAGTTCAAACAACTCTTCAGATTTGACGCTTGCACATGCCGGAATTTCTCGAAATCAGGAACCGGCGCAATTGGTTGCTTTGCTCTTTGGTTTCCAAAGCCATCCACGAAACAGCTCCTCGTTTTTGCAATGCAAACCAGCCGTGCAGCTAGGGAAGCCCTGACCCCATCAAGAAATAGCGATGGCCACTCCGACTTTCCATCCCGAGAAGGGAAGCCACAACGGGGACTGGCTACTTGCTTAACCCAAGGTAAGGATTAAGGATTAATTTTGGAACAGCCCTGCCTGCTGCATCCAGAGCTTTGCACTCCCCCAAGATCTCCGAAGCCATCAGGAACCTGGCCTCTTGTTTTCTTTTGTGACAGCTTGACAATCGGGACCAAAGCTGTGTTTGGCTTGCCGAGATCTGAAAGCTGATGAACCCATGCTGAGCAAGGGATAGTTGTCCCCAAGCATTGCCAGTTTGGTTGTGTGCTCATGGACGCCCAAAGTAAAGAAGGGTCATTATCACAGCCTATCCCGCTCTTTGTGCCAATCTGCATCATTAGCATCTCTGTGCCTTGACTCAAGCCAGGGCTCGGCACGGATGGCGTTCTGAGCTCTTGTTTGGCTTGGCAGAAGAAGTGAGAAAAAGGCTAGTGCAGACTAGGAACCCTTTCCGGCATGTTGTAGAAGGATATTAAACGAAGCCAAATCAGTTGGAAGCTGCGACGTCAGACACAGGTGCTTATGATTACAATGTGAGTCGTCAGGAAGCTCCCGCTATCTATCTGCGAAGCCACCCGCTCAATTCATGATTACAACCAAGCAGACAAATCCCGGGTGCCATACCGCTTCGAAGAGACTGTGGACATGGGACCTTCCATCACTGGCGTTGGCAGCACCTTGTTTAAACACCAAAGGATGGTGACTCGAGCGAACCTCTTTTGTGCTGAGTATGAGCCCAAGGAACCTTCGTCGGTCGCAAACCAGAAACGGGTTGGCTTAGAGGCCGCAAAAACCCACAGCGGTTGCACTCTCTTTGCTTTTGACTGATTGCACTACGCCGTCGCTATGCAGGGGTTGAGTTAAAAATGCTGGCTTGTACCTAACGTGTATGAACAAAATAGAGCCCTGATAGGTGAACTGCTCCCCATGTAAGCTGACCTCAGCAGCCTCAGCTCAACCCCTGCTACCTGAGTTTCCAGGCTGCAAAGCCAACGGGCAAGCGGCGACAACAACGTTGCTGAAGAGAGCGTGGACGTCTCGTGATGCGAAGGTCTTTGCGTGGCTGTGAAGTAGGGCGAGCACCCCAAGCAAAATTCTGAGACGCAGCCAATTCTGTGTTCAAAAAAACATCACCGTGAAACCCCGGCTTTTTACTGGCCCCGGCTCGGCACAAGGCCTCCCTCCAAAGAGGTTGGCTGGGGGTTGGTGGCCGCATCGCCAGCATTACCGGTTTCTTGCGTATTGGGCATGACTTGATGCTCGGGATAGCCGGCCGCATCGCCAGCATTACTGGCCTCACTTGGACGAGCCTATCGGCCCTTTGCCGAGGCTAAATGAACCCCAAACAAACCCAAGACCCGCCCACATTAATACCTCAGCAAGCCCAACACTCACCCCAAACCTGAACGGCCACCAAATCAAAGCCAATAGGCAGCTCTCGTCCGAGTGAGGCCAGTAATGCTTGCGATGCGGCCGGCTATCCCGAGCATCAAGTCATGCCCAATACGTAGCCGTGACAAGAAACCGGTAATGTTGGGGATGCTGGGGATGCGGCCGCCCAGCTGACCAACCAACCAACCAACCATCCATCCAACCAACCAACCAACCAACCAACCAACCAGTCTCCGAGCCGGGGTAAGCCCCGAGCCGGGGCTAGTAAAAAAAAACACCGGTTCCGAATATGGGTCGGTCTCAAAAAAGGAGAACCCCCCTTTTTGGATGCCTTTAGAACAACGCAAAGGTCAAAAACCCTCGTTTGGTTCTGCATTCCTAAAAAACAAGAAACAATTTAGGGTTCCGGTCGGGCAAACCCAACTACGTCAGACCAAGCTTCACCTGCGTCTTTCTTCCTCTTTGGGCTCAGGGCTGGCTCTCTTCAAGAGCGGCCGTGAGTCTCGAAAGCACAAGTGCTCGAGCAATCGCTTTGGCTCATTCAAAGTCATCTTCCGGCCATATATGTGGAAACGCGAGTTGATGCACCGCACATTGTAGGTATGTACTTTATTGAGCGTAGGCCCTTCTTTGTGCCCTTTCAAGGGGAAACCGTAGGAAAAGGAATGTCCACCCCACTTCTGGCCGGCGCTTTCGGCCCTGTCCTGGTCTTAGAGAGGGGGGCAACTGCAAAGGGACACGTGGAGGTTGTTCAGACAGGGGATGCCCCCTACTCAACACAAAACGGTTCTTCCTGGTAACCTTTGTGTGAGCTTCCTCTTTTGCAACCGAGCACAAACAGGAACCCTTGTCTTTTTGCAAGAAAATTGGCACTGGCGTCCAACATGGGGACCCATTTTTTGAACTACACGCATGTGCGCTACCTGATGGCCAGCTCACCGGGGCCTAAACAAGGCCGCCCATCGCAAGTATCCCTTCATGCGGGTCCTTGATTCACGTCTTGGGAGATCTTTCATGGTGCTGGAATGTCATTCATGTTGCATCTAAGCATTCTGTGTGAGTTGTTGAAGGAAGCATATCTTGGCAGCCCGTGTTTCAATCCAGTGTCAACAGACAACATCGCGAAGACTTGTCATCGCGTCTCCGCATGCCATTGGAGATGTTCTCAACATCCGCAGTTTGGATTTTTCAGCCCACGTAGTGCAAATTATGTTTTGGGGGATGGGTCCACGATTTGGCTGGTGCATCCACCCTTTTCCGTGCTCAGGCCGCCCAAGCCACCTGAAGCCGTTGTGGAGAGCTGGCTGAGGGGCCGCATGGGGTTCGGGGGCCTCCGGGGGCGGTCACTTAGGGTGCTAGAGGAAAACATCTTCTTCGCGCTCAGTGAAGGGAAACGCTAGGCAGTGCTTCTTTTGCCGAAACAAATACATTCATTTGAGCCGACCAGCATGCGCACCTCATTCGAAACACGAACGACCCAGGCAAATAATCATCTGTTGCAACCAAAAAACTGCACTGCAGTAGACCGATGCAAACCGATTGCATGGAACTATGTATATATATACGAGGGACCCCTATGTAGGGGGGAGGGGGGACCCCCACATATACATTTAAGCTGCGACCACAATCCTACCGCACCCCCCCCAATATACATAAAAATCCGCTTTTGCTGGGTTTTGCCCCAAACATCAGCAAGAGACCAAAGCCAAGCAGGCCCATGGCGGACCCTGAAAAATTCCAGCTGCGCAAAAAGAAACGGCGCCCACACATACAACAAGCAAATTGGGAGCCCTCCTGAAAGACGTCCCACTTCACGCAAGTGATCAGCCCGACAAGGTAGGCCCTGAAAGAAACAAGCTTCGCAAAAAAAAACGGGGGCCACACACAAAAAGTCAAATTACAAGCCCTACAAACAAGATCTCACTTCACAAAAAGCAGCAGGCCGACCCAGCCGGCCAGCGCTAGGGCCTGAAAAAACACAGCTAGCGCAACAAAACGGTAGCCACACACAACAAGCAAATTAGACACCCTACGGAAAAAACAATTTTAAGAAAGCAGCAGCCCGACCAAGCAGACTAGTAAACGACGAAATAAATCTAACCGCGCAAAAACAAAAAACAAAAAACAATCAAGAAACAATCAAGTGGGTTAGTGACAAGCCCGAAACAAAAACAAACTGCAAAAACACAAAGCGCAGCGACACACAACAAACAAATTAGAGGCTCTACTTGCCAACAAACAGTTGACAAAAAACAGCTGCCCGAACAAGCAGACCAGTGACAGGACCTGAAAACAAGCCGCGCACAAAAAAATCCAGAAGCCCCACGAAAAACATCCCACTTGACGAAGAGCAGCAGCCCCGACCAAGCAAACAACTAGCAGGCCCTGAAAAACAACTTCGCAAAAAAGGCAGCCACACACAACAAGCAAATTGGAAGCCCTACTAAAAGCATCACATTTCACGAAAAGCATCAGCCCGGGCCAGTGACAGGCCCTAAACAAAAGCAAGCTGCAAAAACACAGCGGCAGCTACAAACAACAAGCAAATTAGAACCATTGACGGGGCGACCGCCGAGGGCGTCATGGCCCGACCGGCGACGGGGTCGGGGCCCGACCGCCGGCAGGATCGGGGCCCGACCGGCGACGGGGTTGGGGCCCGACCGGCGACGCGGTCGGGGCCCGACCGCCGGCGGGGTCGGGGCCCGACCGCCGACGGGGTCGGGGCCCGACCGCCGACGGAGTTGGGGCCCGACAACAGGCCCTGAACAACATCAATCTGCACAAAAGAAAGGCAGCCACACACAAGCGAATTACTTGACGAAAAGCAGCAGCCCGACCAAGCAGCCCAGTGACAGCCCTGTAAAAAATCAAGCCGCGCAAAAAAGGGCGGCAGCCACACAACAAACCAGAAGCCCGGCGAAGACATCCCACTTGCAAAAAAAACAAGAGACCAGAAGAGCACGGGAGCAGGAGACTAAGGAACATGATTGAAACGTGTCTTGTTTTTTGATGTCCTTTGTAGCCACCTGTGTAGGTTACATTTCAGCGCCCGGTCGCAAAGGAAACTGTGCGCGCTGTCGGGCCCCGACCCCGCCAGCAGTCGGGCCCCGACCCCGCCAGCAGTCGGGTCCCGACCCCGCCAGCCGACCTTTTCCCGAAGCAGGATGTTTTGAGTAGCACTTCTAATCTGCATGTTGTCTGTGTTACCGCCTTTCTTTGTCCAGCTGGATATTTGTCAGGGCCTGTCACTGGCCTACTTGTTGGGCTGATGATTTTCGTGAAATTTGCTTTTTCTCCAACAGCTGAAAGCTTTGGGGTCTCAGCCCAGATAGGCTCCGGGGTGGTCCCGGACGGCCGTGAGGTGAGGTTCCACGAGCGTTCCACCAGGGTTCCACCAGGGTCCAATGAGGGTTCCATCAGGGTTCCACGAGGTTCTGCAAGGGGTGCGGGGTGGTGCGCGCACTAAAAAGAGCACCGCATGCTGTTGGGGATGTCACCCGAGCTTATTTTTTTAGGTAGAGCGACTGTTTTGAATTTGTTCACCGTTTATTTTGGGCAGCTGGATTGTTTTCAGGGCCTGGCACTGGCCTACTTGTCTGGCTGATGATTCTCGTGAAATGGGAGTTTTTAGCAGAGCTTCTAATTAGTCTTTTGTGTGGGGTTGCCGCCTTTTTTTTGCGTAGCTGGATTTTTGTCAGGGCCTGTCACTGGCCTACTTGTCGGACTGATGATTTTCGTGAAGTTGTTTTTTTATGTAAAGCTTTTTTTTGTTCGCCGTGTATTTTGCGCAGCTGGATTTTTTCAAGGCCTGGCACTGGCCTACTGGTATGGCTGATGATTCTCGTGAAGTTGGCTTTTTTCAACTAGGGCTTCTCATTTGGTTGTTGTGTGTGGGTGCCAATTTGTTGTACAGTTTTTCCTGGGCCTGTCACTGGCTTGCTTGGTCGGGCTGCATTTTTTGTGATTTGGGCGTTCTGCAATAGAGTTTCTAATTTGTGTTTTGTCAGTGGCTGCCTTTTTTTGCGGCTAAAGCCATTGTTGCGTCAGGGGTCACTTGTTCTTACGCCCGGCGGGCTTAAGAACAAGTAGGCACTTTAGCGAACAAGTGACCAGGTCACTTGTTCCGGTTGGCCCCCACTTGTTCTTATGCCCGCCGGGCGTAAGAACAAGTGACCCCTGAAAACCCTTGGGCTGGGAACTAGCCAAGGCTTTTCCAGGACTTGTGGGAGCGGCGCAGTGGCAGTCTGATACTTACACCAAGCAGCGTATTCGCTCTGTCGAATTACTTAATTCGTCGCACGGACGCCCGTCATCTCGATCTACAGACGGCATCACTGGCATCGCCAGCATCACCAGCAATGACGTCTAGCTGATTCTCGCTCTGACGAATTAGCTAATTCGTCGCGCGGACACCCGTCGCCTCGATCTACGGAGTGCATCACCGGCATCGCCCGCATCACCAGCATTATCAGCAATAAAGTCTAGCTGAGATTCGCTCTGGCGAAGTAAAGGTAATTCGCATTACCAGCAATGAAGTCTAGCTGATTTTCGCTCTGACGAATTAGCAAATTCGTCGCACGGACACCCGTCGCCTTGATCTACGGAGTGCATCACCGGCATCGCCAGCATCACCAGCATTACCAGCATGAAGTCTAGATGATATTCGCTCTGTCGAATTAGCAAATTTGTCGCGCGGACTCGATCCACACACTGGCATCAACAGCATCGCGAATCCCTGGAGCACAATGAGTGCATACGCTAAGGCGCGCTGCTTGCTATCTGATTGCTCTGCTCAAAATATTTAGAGGCACCCCTGCCCCGGTTCGATGTTCTCACACCTCTGTGATCCCGACAGCAACGAATCCAACACTCGCCGCCCTTCCATGCAACGAATGTATCTAAATCGCAGCCCGGCCCCGCTTGCAATGATGTGGGAAACGCTGGGACTGCTGGGCGGCACAGTCCCTTGATCAATCAGCTAGCTCTCTCCCACACAGGCTTTCTCATCAGCACTCCCCTGCTGGAATTTTCGAAAGCCTGCGGCTATCGGTCTGACGTAGTGGATAGCAACGCATTGCTCCGATTGCTCTGGGTAAACCAGCTTGTTTGCCAGGACTTTGCATGCTTAGTGAGGGCTCCATGTATCTCAGAACCCACGATCGCCACGGTGTGGTGTGGATCGACTTGAACCTTGGCCGGGAAGTGATCACAGGGGCCCAGCTGAGTTCTGTTGCGCCTCGCTTCGCAAAGTTCGTGCCCTTCAGCATGGCGCCGCGACGATGCGCTTGCTTGAGCTAGGAAACTAAACACCACTACTCTTTCGAACGAATGCTTCCTAGGGCTCATACCCGGCAGTGCGTTGATTCAGCGTCACTTGAAAGCAGTGAAAACACGTACTTTGTCTTCAGGGCGGCCCTACTCAAAGCAAAATGCAGCAAGCCCTATACGAGCGGCGGTCGTAAACCACTTAGCAAGTAGATAGGGTCCGCGTCTGTACTGCTGACTTCTTGGCACTTACTTCTCAAAGAAGAGACCGAGGTGAGCGACACGATGCCCCAGAAGACGGTGGCGTCAGCAAGACTGACAAGCTTCCAAACAAGGCGCGCGGTGCTTCCCCCGAAGCAATCCCAGTGTTGACTTCGAAGCGAGCTGGAAGTTTGACCCTCATCACACTTTCAAATCTTGGGCCCTCTCGGAGGCGCGTGCTTTTACACGTGTGAGATGCAGGAGCTAGAGCTGTTGAACGCCGGTGGGGGGGGCCTAATTGGAGAGACAATTGTAGTGGGTGTTGAAGTAGGCCAGGGCCAGCCACTTGAAGCAACCTTGACAAAGTTGGCGGATATGTCCCTGGGCTTTGTCCACGTGGTCCGCGCAAAGATCCGCGCCTGTTGAGCAGCAGAAGAGTCTCACAATCAAGGAATCGGGCACCATCGCCTCCATCAAGCCCTAGCAAGTGACAGCCCTTGACAAGCTTGCTCAACTACATGCCCACTTCAACACTCCGTACGAGTTCTAGGACATGTTTTTGGCAAAGCCCGTTCTCGGGCTGCTGCCGGAATGCGTGATGCGGATTGCTGGCACATGGGCCTCTAGAATCGCGCAACACATTATTTGAAAGCATTCCAACACTGAGCCGCAAACTCGCGGACCTTTCCAGGTCCATTTGCAGCCATTTGCTAATTGTGCCTACCTTCCATAAGGCTGTGACTGTATATCGCTTTCTTAGGTTCTCAGCCTTGGCAAAGCGATTTAGACTGTTGGGGCGGCAAACGTGGAAAATGTATTACATACATTGCCCCCCCCCACTGGGCATACATTATGAAAGGGGTCCCCCGTATATATATATATATATATGTATATATACACGCCGATTGCAACATAATAAACCTCGAGCAAACATTCTCCTGTGTTCGAAAGTAGATTTGTCTCACAATAGGGTACCCCAAAGAAATAGGATTCCCTTTAGTTCCCCCTTGAACACGGGAATGCCCCCATTCCGGAACAACAACTCGGAACCTTTGTCAAGGGTTGACTCCTCTGGTGCGAGCCAGATGCTTCAAGCGTTAAATCCCAGCTCAACAGCAAACCCGTTGTCTAAACCAATCCAGATGCAAAATCAGGACAAAAGAAATGGATCCCCAAGCAAAGAGCCTACGATTTGTGGCTTTTTCCATCGTTTACGGTGAGTTCATGCATAACCCTGGATCCCCCAAGTAGCAGCGTCGGGTTGGCTCGTCTTTTTGTGAGGGTGCCAGCTGTTTTTGTGTCTTTCAAGGAGCGCCAAAAGGACAGTCACCAATTTCGTTGCGCGGTCGAAGAAAGACACACCCATATGGATGTGTCCTGCTTGAGGGTGCCTTGTTTTGGTGTTAAGCTTGCAGTAGATTGCGAATAATCTGGGCTAACGTCAACAACTGGGAGCACAACCATGCAATGCATGTGCTCTGGGCATGGTCATAGCCCACTCCTGGTGTGAGGAAACAAAACAAGAGAGGAACACCACCAATGTCTGGGGTCCCCCAACTAGGTCCTCCAGCAGAGTGAGAATAAGGGTACCCTTTTCTTTTTCTGTAGTCTATTTTAGTAGGGGAACCCTCCCAACCAAAAAGGGGTAGGGCACTGGGGGACCTTCGGGAAGTCGGCCAGGCCTCAAGTTGCACCTCCCGCATTTCTGCGTCACACTGCCGAAACCTCGGACCGCAGAAAACCCCGCGAGAAAAAAACACCATCTGGGCTGTCCTCGGACCTCTAAAAGTGACCCACTTGTAGTTGAAAGGAACTCCCCGCTAAACACGACAAGCTAAAAAGCTAAGGGGATGGCTGGGAGGCATCAAGCAATGATAAAGGCAACCCAGCGGAAAAACTCGGGAAGCCGACCAGAAACAAAAACCCGGTAATTTGAGGGGCACCCAGGGATTTAAGTAAAACACATGCTTAAACAACCGCCCTTTGGCTTTAATGTACAGGGGGCATACACCTATGACCTGAGATGACAAAATAAAGTGCAAACTCACAGGTTTAGTGTTGGTTCAGCCTATTTCATTCTTGGACAGAAATGAAGCTAGGTTCTTAGAATTTCAGAATGGCCCTGATGAAATGGCACCAACCACTGCAAAGAACACGTTCCATGACACAAAACGGGTGTGTCGTGTTGACTGACTGACTGACCGACTGACTGACTGCTGGCTGGCTTGCTTGCTTGCTTGCTTGCTTGCTTGATTGATTGATTGATTGATTGATTGATTGATTGATTGCGTTGATTGATTGATTGATTGATTGATGGATGGATGGATGGATGGATTGCTTGATTGATTGATTGATTGATTGATTGATTGATTGATTGATTGATTGATTGATTGATTGATTGATTATCTCACTGACTGACTGACTGACTGGCTGGCTGGCTGGCTGGTTGGCTGGCTGGCTGGCTGGATGGCTGCCTGGCTGGCTGACTGACTGTGTGTGACCGACTGGGGGTTTGCAGGCTCCCGAGACGTGTTTCGAAAACTTTGCAAAGTGGGCAGTTCTCCTTTGTGGCTTCCCTTTTAGTCCCATTCACAAAGGGGGCTCTTTGATTTGGGACAATTCCATATTTTACAGCCCACTCTTTGCAAAAGGGAGGCGATCTCGCCCACCGTGAAACCACGCCAATGCGGTGTGTTGGCTGCACTGATCATCTGCAAGCCGCCAATGAACGTCTCATCAACCAATACCCAAAGGAGCCAGGCAGTATATAACAGGTATCAATTGAATGAGAGTGTGCTGACCGTGCATCCTGCTCTTCTCGCAATCCTGTCGCGCACAGCATCACAGGCACAACAGCAAACATCAGCATCACAACATGTAGGTGTGGGCTAAATTAGAGACACTAAAACTTTCGGGGCCAGTGTCACTGCCCTTCACACATTGAATCCACATACGAGTAGAGCCGTTTCAAGGAACCTCACACCCCAATCGCCCAAACGGGGGTTCCAGTTCGTTCTAGCCTGGGAGAACAACCCACAAGACAGAAATCTCGAGGGAGTTCCCCGTCCACGTCCAAATCTGAGAAAGACCAGTGGCTCCAATGGGCCGCAGCACAGCTCCTGCGGTGCCGACTTGATCCAAGCACGAACACCCCCGTTAACCCACCCCACCCCCCGCACCCGTTTGTGGCAAGTGGTGGAGCCCCCAAAAGGCTAGAGTGCTTTTGGTTTCTTTTTCTACAAATCGATTCCCCCTGAATGGGGAACCCTCAAGCAAGACACACGCAGTTCTCTCGGTTGAGTGTACCTAGGTATACTTGAACTGGTCCCGAGGTGACAGGTCCAGGCCGTCACAGAGCCAGCATCTGATTTTTTTTTCTGATGGAAGTCAGTCGCTCGTTCCTGTTCAGACATGGAACTCCTTCCGTTTTCTGCATTTTTGAGGTTTCTTGTTTGGAGTCGCAAAGGACAAGCCAAGGAATACCCCCCAAACAGGTCTTTTGGGGGGCCCTCCCTATTTTCAACCAGGCCAACCTACGGCCACAGTCTGCGTCAAGCTGCCTGAAGGGTGCCCAAAAACCCAACGACTATCAGCCCAGATAGTTCTAGAGCCGCATTTTGCCCCCTTTTCCATGCAATAAACCTGGCTAGGTGCTCCAGTAGAGAGGTTAGAATACGGGTAGCAACTTTTTTTCTGTAGTCTATTTTAGTAGGGGAACCCTCCGCTACTAACGCTGGGGGACCTAGTTGCCAGTGGGCGGTTTTGGAGCCGCTTTCTGGGCCCCTCCTCATATTCCCTGGCGCGCTGCAGGCGGCGCTGGAACAGAGACTGCGCGCGATGCCCGCAGGTGTTCTTGCCTCAGAGCCCCGGACCAAACAATTGTATTCAGGTCCGCCAATTTAGGGGGGGAGCAGACACACCCAAAAAGCAGAGTTTCCGCAAGAGGACATGGGAAACTTGGTGCCCCGTAGTGAACTCAGTCGCAGCGGACCCATTTTCGCCCAGGGCACATGCAAATCAAGGGTTATATACCGTTGTGTGATCCTGAGGGTGTGGTGCGCCCCCAATGTTCTGCGAAGCAACATCGAAGCAGCACCCCATGTTGGCTATACCTAGACCTTCCGACATGTAAAATTAACGTTGTTTCCCAAAACAGCAATATTTCCCCAAACAGTTTACTGTGAGGGGTTCTAAATTCATTTAAGGTGGCTCGCCTGTTGCCAAGCCCTAGCCTGGATGCCTGGCACAGCTCTCTGGGTGGACGGGTTCATTTGTCTCCCTGTGTCTCCCTTCATTTGTCTCCCGTTGTCTCCCCGCCTGGATGCCTGGCACGGCTCTCTGGGTGGACGCGTTCGTTTGTCTCCCTGGTTGTTCACTTGTCTCCCATTTGTCTCCCTTTGTCATTTGTCTCCCGTTGTCTCCCAGCCTGGATGCCTGGCACGGCTCTCTGGGTGGACGGGTTCATTTGTCTCCCTTTGTCTCCCTTCATTGTCTCCCAGCCTGGATGCCTGGCGCGGCTCGGGTTCATTTGTCTCCCTTTGTCTCCCTTTGTCTCCCTTCATTTGTCTCCCGTTGTCTCCCAGCCTGGATGCCTGGGTGGACAGATTCACTTGTCTCCCTTTGTCTCCCTTCATTTGTCGCCCGTTGTCTCCCAGCCTGGATCTGGCACGGCTCTCTGGGTGGACGGGTTCATGTGTCTCCCTTTGTCCCCTTCATTTGTCTCCCGTTCTCTCCCAGCCTGGATGCCTGGCACGGCTCTCTGGGTGGACGGGTTCATTTGTCTCCCTTTGTCTCCCTTGATTTCTCCCGTTGTCTCCCAGCCTGGATGCCTGGCACGGCTCTCTGGGTGGACGGGTTCATTGTCTCCCTTCTTTGTCTCCCTTCATTTGTCTCCCGTTGTCTCCCAGCCTGGATGCCTGGCGCGGCTCTCTGGGTGGACGGGTTCATTTGTCTACCTTTGTCTCCCAGGATGTCTGGCACCCCTTTGTTTCCCTTCATTTGTCTCCCGTTGTCTCCCAGCCTGGATGCCTGGCACTGTTTTTTTGGTGGACAGATTCACTTTTCTCCCTTTGTCTCCCTTCATTTGGCTCCTGTTGTCTCCCAGCCTGGATGTCTGTCACGGCTCTCCAGGCGGACGGATTCACTTGTCTCCCTTGGTTCCCCTTCATTTGTCTCCCATCTCTGTGGGTGGACGGATTCATTTGTTTCCCTTTGTCTCCCTTTATTTGTCTCCCGTTGTCTCCCAGCCTGGATGCCTGGCACGGCTCTCTGGGTGGACGGATTCATTTGTCTCCCGTTGTCTCCCAGCCTGGATGTGTGGCACTCACGCTCCGCGGTTTCCTTCACTTCCCGCGGTTCTGTCCTTTTGGCGGGGTCTGGTTTGCCTTCGGCTTTGGCCCTGGCTTCGGTCATTCCTTGTCTTGTGGATGTTGGGGACAGGGTCCTCCTCTGTCTGCCCTTCATCTGGACTTCGATTTCGCTTGGGCTCGTGGTGGGTCGTCTTCCTTGTCTATCGTTGGCTACACCCTGTCTGTTCGTTCAGTGCCTCGTTATCAGTTGCGGTCCCGAGCTGACGATAGCGGTGCGCTGCGGTGCGCGGCTTCAGCTACGAGAAGGCTCTGTTAACCCCCCGGTGAAACAAACGTGAATCACGCTGGAGTTAAATCCTCTATCGATTCTTCGAGGATGTTCAACGAACCTTACGCTGAGATACCCAGTGGTGCTCTTGGCACCTGGGGTTGTCCCGGCTCTCCCGGCGGACGGGTTCATTTGTCTCCCTCTCCCTCCATTTGCCTGACGGATTCATTTGTCTCCCTTTGTCTCCCTTTATTTGGCCCCGGTTGTCTCCCAGCCTGGACGCCTGTCACGGCTCTCTGGGGTGGAGGGGTTCATTTGTCTCCCTTTGTCTCCCTTCATTTGTCTCCCGTTGTCTCCCAGCCTGGATGCCTGGCACGGCTCTCTGGGTGGACGGGTTCATTTGTCACCCTTTGTCTCCCTTCATTTGTCTCCCGTTGCCTCCCAGCCTGGATGCCTGGCACGGCTCTCTCCCTTCATTTGTCTGGCACGGCTCTCTGGGCTTTGTTTCCCTTCATTTGTCTCCCGTTGTCTCCCAGCCTGGATGTCTGGCACGGCTCTCCAGGCGGACAGATTCACTTGTCTCCCTTTGTCTCCCTTCATTTGTCTCCCGTTGTCTCCCAGCCTGGATGCCTGGCACGGCTCTTTGGGTGGACAGTTTCACTTGTCTCCCTTTGTCTCCCTTCATTGTCTGTCACGGCTCTCCAGGCGGACGGATTCACTTGTCTCCCTTGGTTCCCCTTCATTTGTCTCCCATCTCTGTGGGTGGACGGATTGATTTGTCTCCCTTTGTCTCCCTTTATTTGTCTCCCGTTGTCTCCCAGCCTGGATGCCTCTCTGGGTGGACGGATTCATTTGTCTCCCTTTGTCTCCCTTTGTTTGTCTCCCGTTGTCTCCCAGCCTGGATGCCCCTCTGGGTGGACGGATTCATTTGTCTCCCGTTGTCTCCCAGCCTGGATGTGTGGCACTCACGCTCCGCGGTTTCCTTCACTTCCCGCGGTTCTGTCCTTTTGGCGGGGTCTGGTTTGCCTTCGGCTTCGGCCCTGGCTTCGGTCATTCCTTGTCTTGTGGATGTTGGGGACAGGGTCCTCTGTCTGCCCTTCATCTGGACTTCGATTTTGCTTGGGCTCGTGGTGGGTCGTCTTCCTTGTCTATCGTTGGCTACACCCTGTCTGTTCGTTCAGTGCCTCGTTATCAGTTGCGGCCTCTCTCTGTCCTTGCTCGCATTTGGAGTCCCGAGCTGACGAGAGCGGTGCGCTGCGGTGCACGGCTTCAGCTACGAGAAGGCTCTGTTAACCCCCCGGTGAAACAAACGTGAATCACGCTGGAGTTAAATCGTCTATCGATTCTTTGATGATGTTCAACGAACCTACGCCGAGATACCCAGTGGTGCTCTTGGCACCTGGGGTTGTCCCGGCTCTCCCGGCGGACGGGTTCCTCTCCCTTCATTTGCCTGACAGATTCATTTGTCTCCCTTTGTCTCCCTTTATTTGGCCCCGGTTGTCTCCCAGCCTGGATGCCTGTCACGGCTCTCTGGGTGGACGGATTCAGAAACGTGTGTTTGAGCGCGCGCGTGCGCTTGATCAAGCCACAGGCAGCATGCTGCGGATGCACGTACGAGTGCTTCAAGTAAATGATTGTGTGTTCTTGGTGTGTTCCAGCTGACCACATCGGCGCGTTCCAAGTGAACACGCACTTTTTGCATGTGACCACATGAGTGTGTTCCACGTCAGCACATGTTTGTGTTCCAGGTGAAAGCATGCGATTGTTCTGATAAAACACATATGCGATCCGGTCAAAATTCCTAGTAAGGGGGTTTAGTCTACAGAGGCCACCGTCGCAGTCACTTTGTGCAGTTTTTCATTCACACAAAGCGGAGTCCTGCAAATACCAATGGATTGCCCGCTCCCCACTGGAGGCGCTAGGATGGCGCTTGGTTTGCGCTAGGGTCTTCGGTGATCTTGGTTTCCAAGAGTTGGCGCGTGGGTTGCCGCGATGGGCTTTGCGTGGCTTTCAAGGGTGTAATGTTGCAGTTCTTACTTAGTACTTGAAGCCAGCCCGCACGTTTACCTTCATCTTACGTGGCCTTAATTTGTCAAATCCACACAGATGGTCGCCGTGACTCCAAAAAATACGGCGAACCCGCGCTAGCCGCGCGCTAGCAAGGCGCTAGCGCAGTGGTCAGCTGTGACCGGTTCCCAGTTACGCTTCAATCCAAATTTGCTTCCGCTCTCCTCGCATGCAATTATCATGGAGTGCGATTTGCTGGACAAAGGGGAGAAACAACGGCTGAGGCAAGACGGCAGGGATGCCTTGTACCGAGCATACGGAAGAATTGGGTTGCGTATTTCCCTGCGAAAGCAAATGCTTTACTGAATCGATACGAAGAGTTGCCACAATACGATCAAAGCACTTTAGCAATCGATACGAAAGACACTGTGCAGCTAAGCGAGAAAGAAGCGCAATGCGCCGGAAAGCTTTTGCTAAGCTGAAGCCTGTAACTGCTGGAGACGCATCCGATACTGATAGTACTAGCAGTAGTAGCAGCAGCAGCAGCAGCAGGCTCGCGCGCTAGCAATGTGTTGCAAAAAAGCTAGATTGATCGTACACGAACACTATTTTCCTACTTGGAACACGCATATAAAACACAAGCGTTGTTCAAGGCAGAGCCCCATGGAATAGCGCCTCACAGCCGGCTTCGGGAACTTGATTTATGTGTCGCCCAGGCGTGCAGGAAATGTAAATTCCATGTGAACACATTTTTGTTGTCCAGGTGAACGCATGTGTGTTGCACATTTGTGTTGCACATGTTTCTCCACATGTGCACACACGTGTGTTCCATGTGTACACATATGTGTGTTACAAGTCAACACAGAAGTTTGTTCTGGTTAAACATGCTTGTGTGATCCAGGTCTGCACCAGTGTCGCACGTGAACACAAATGCCTGTTCCAAGTGAGCGCATATATGGGTTCCAGGTGAACACATATGTGTGTTGCAGGTGAACAGAAATGTGCTTTCCAGACATACACAAATATGTGTTCCAGGTGTACGCATGTGTGTGTGTGCGTGTTCCGGGCGCGCATATATATATATATGTGTGTGTGTTCGCGTGTGCACATATGTGTGTTCCACATGTACACATATGTGCGTTCACGTGCGCACATATGCGTGTTGCACGTGTACACATATGTGTGTTCACGTGTACACACATGTGTGTTCTTATCAGACACGTGTATGTGTTCCAGGAGAACACATGTTTGTTATCAGATGAACACGTGCGTG